ACAGGCCACCAAATCCACCACCCAAGATGCACACTCGTGGACGCTGAAAATAAGGAAGAGGGCATATTCAGTAATACAATTATACAAATATAGTGGTTATAGCATAAGCACGCTGTAAATCTAACTTTTCCTCAAACATTTATCCTCACAGCCTGGCATGCATAGACAAAACAAAAATATGAAAAAAATTAACTCATGAGTCAAAAAACATGCACTTAAGACACCATCAGTATAGGCCAATTGATTTATAGTTATAATAAATTGAACTATATTCCGTGAGTATCTACACACTGTATTTTAATGCATGTCATAAGCTCTGAATCAAGTGTACCGAAGTATGTCCCCTTGGGATTTCCATATACTGAATTATGCTTCATCATGAAATAGAGAATTTGGCGAACAACTAAACATATAAAACAAAACCAACTCGCAAAGAAAATGAAAAGGAAAACCACCAAATAACAGGGGGTTCTCAACTACGGATATCTACAGTAAAGAATCACCTGCTTATCCGGCCAAGAGTATATTGGCATTGGCCCTTCATCAGTTGATGAAGGCCGTGAAAAACCACCATCTCCTGAGCTACTTGAAGCCATGAGTCTGAACAATCTAGATGGTAGTCCAAACTTCATTGGCGTACCACCAAGCCTCCATGAATTGTTGAGGATTGAATTCCTCCATACATTCAAACCTCCTGTCAGGAACAAAGTGCTAACCCATTAGATTGACGGATACATTAACCTAATCACCCCCTTTCAAATTGGAATATGAAATCACTGGAAACTGCGATACATTTGACCAACAAATGGTGCTGTCCTACGAATGCTCCCGCAACTTATGTAACTACTCTGGGGCTCAAAAATCAATTTGAGTTCATATTTGGGAAATCACTTGTGAGTAGTTCAGAAACATCAAAACCCAATGTTTTGAACTTCTGTTCTAAAAATGGTACATCCGCGCGCGGGAACTGCTCCATCTACTGTAAGATTTGAAGCATCCGACGTAAACCCTAACCCAGCATCACAACACATCCCCGCAGTCCACAGCAGCGTAAAGTACAGAGAAGTAGTAGGCGCGACGAGCTAAGCTCGTGAATCTCACCGAATGGACCGCGTTGCCGCGCCGAGCCGGGGGAGGGCCGGCCGCCGGGGAGCGACGGGCGCCCCCACGGCGCCGCGCGGCAGCTCATCGGCGGGGAGGGGAGAGGGACACGTGGCGCGCCTCCGGTCGCAGCTCCCGACGATAGAGGGGAAGAGAAGCGAGGAGGAGGAGGCGTCTCCGGGAAGACAGCGAGCGGAGGCCGTGGAGCCGTCTCTGCCTCTCCGGGAAGATTAGCTGATGCTTTAATGGGCTTCTGGTTTTTGCGATGGGCCTTAATGGGCTTCGTGTTGGGGCCCATTAAGTAGGAGCCGTATGGTGGGCTTCAGGTTGAGGCCCATTTGTTTTTGCTTGGGCCTTTTTGGACCCAACGAAGAGTGCTTAGGCTCAGAAACTGGGAAAATGGGAATTTTGAGTGTAATCCTCATCCCTCGACACATTTCCCCTCTTCAAATCATGTGAATTTTTCTGAGAACCGTCGATATTCTCGCCCGCTTTAAGTCCTAACTTTTTTTTCAAACTTTTAACTTTTCTATCACATCAAAACTTTTCTACATACATAAACTTTCAATTTTTTTATTCAAACTTTCAATTTTAATTAAACTTTTAATTTTAGCGTGAAACTAAACACAGCCTTAATACAACCAAAACACATGCCACCCTGTGTCCCATTGCCCTTCACTTTGCTCACGAGGCCCACCAAACCATTTTGCCCTCTCCACAATTCTGTTTTATAATGCTTCTTTTTTATCTTTCTCGGCTCCGACTTCTACTTTACCGTCCTCCTCAGCGGCTAGATCAATTGCAACGATGAACTTCCTCGGTCGCTAACATCGACTCATCGTCCTCCTCTTCTCCCAGGGTCAAGGTGACGCCACCATTTCCTCGCCATCCCTCTAAGCCGAGAAACACCTCCCATCAACCCAATTCACAACCCTCTCCTACTTAAACCCAAAACCTAATCAGATGGTAATTCACCACCGGAGTAGAGAAAGAGGTCATTTTTTTTAGATAATAGAAGAAAGAGGTCATGGAGCACAAATCATGTAAGAAGATATGAAGGCCCCCAAAATCGGTCGAGTATTTGACATGATTTGTATGTGTGCATGTGCAATTGTCGTTGATTTCTTCACACGTCAAATATTCGCAAAACCGATGATAAATATTTTATGCTCCTCATACTAGTATTCTAGTCACAACCCATGCAGCCATGCTTGATGCTTCCTCGAGCGGTTAGCGTCTTTCCAGTCAAAATAGACTTGTCAATGCAGGGAGCACAAGTTCAGAAACACCAAACAAGAGAGAGATCGAGACAGACAACGACACGTCAAAGGCGATTGGTCCGTTTCCGAGCTGAAAAAACTAAGCCGTTTCACACGCTCACGACACGCACTACGCGATCGTGAATTCACGACGATGGGGTTGGTTTCAGTTAGGCGCGCGAAGAACTTTCCTTTGCCGACTCGAGCGAAATCGTCTGCTACGTGCAAGGAAGCAAATTAAAGGCCAGACACGGCGCCGGCGAATTTAATTCTGCAGCAATTTGGATTCGTTTTTTCGGTGTTTAGGAGAGCAGACATCTGTTGAGGATGATCAGTAGCTACAGATTTTCCTTGCCTGACAAACGGCGAAGGGACAGACATGATCTTGACAAGTTCGTGTTCTTTTTGCTCACCGCTATGGTGAAGCAACTTGCTCACCACCAGCTGAAAAAATATCGTGAAAATTAACTCTTTCTAAATTTTCACGATATTTTTTTCAGGTTAATAATTTGTTTGAAACAGTGAATGAGAAAAATTCAGAAAGAGTTGTAGTTTATATTTAGAGTGCATCAAACCACGGAAGGGAAATTCTCTTGAAGAGGTCTTCGTTCGTCAGCGGCATGGTACTGCAAAACTGCCTAAAGAACGTTCTATTTTGTCAGCGTTTTCAGTACAAGCTTACCCGTCAATGAATTTACCCCGTGTTAGTGGCGTTCTAGGACAAGGAATACCTGTTCTTGTAAGACAGCTAGAACATAAAAATGTTTAGTCAACATGCATACTTCTTTTTTTTTTCCTCAGATTAAATTGATCAGCATGCAATTGGCTCTAATATTTGCCACGTAGTATATTCAGAGTTCAGTCTAAACAAGCAAAAAAACGTTTCCAAGAAGTTCACTGAAATACAAACAATTGCTTTTTCAAACCACAAACTTAAATAACATTTCCCAGATGCCTTCTAGCAGAAGTTTTTTGTGATCTCGTAGTCTGAATAAAAAAAAGGATGCATCAGAGGATTACAGAAAAGCTGGAAATTACGACACAAGGTAGAGTGGACATTTTTATTTAGCACAACAAGCTCAAGAACTTCAGAGTCTTCACACTCTGAACTTTTCAATCTTTGCATGTCAATGAATCGATGCTTGCCACTGAATTTTGTGATGTTCGCATTCGAGATTTTGTCAAAATTCAGAAATTTTCCAGTTGACCCGAGAGGATAGCCAAAGAGCTGACCTATTACCGTTTCAACTGCACAGTGATATCTACTACTACTGTTTCATTTTCACCCCAATAAAAGGAGATGCAACTTGTGATGTGGTTAATGTCGATAAAGTCTAAAATGATCAGCTCTTTGCTAGGCGTAATTAAATCCACTTGAAAATTAAAGATACCAGTTATTGATCACTCACAAACTCTTCTAATACCTTTTGAGCAACTGTATATATAATAATTCAGCCATTGATTTTTCTTAAAGTAAAGGTGCATCCAGACTCCAGTATGCTTCAAGCATAATAAAACATCTATGCAATCAAGTAGGCATGGCATTTGGGATCACTAGGAGCATGCGAGTCAGAGGAGCATGAGAAAGTGGCAATCCGTTTCTTTGCTGATTTTTAATCGATTTCCCACCCGTGTCATCACCAATCAAAGCTTTTATAAAAGAAGCGAATTAGTCCATGAAAACCACGCTGTCTAAACCATTGTTTATAGTTGACAGTATCATATTAACATATCACTATCGCCAAAACTTTTCTTTATCTGCTCCTTAGAGCCCTGGCAAGCACAAAATACTTGCACGATAACTTTTCCGATTAATTAAAGATGGATCGGATGAATGTGCATATTTTTCGAGCTGTTAATCGGTACTAAAAATTTTCTATATATGAATTTCTTACAATATTATTTTAAATTCATTTTAACATTACAATATTTAATTCATTCAGCTATTCAAAAAAGGAACTTATGTGCTTCAATTCCAGCCGATAAATATAATACATCAAATAGATATAAAGATTTTGATGTTTCATAACGTCTTGGCATATCTCTTTCTATACTACCCCTCCGTCCCAAAATACTTGTCATTTTGGTTTTTGTCTGTAACTTTTATTATTCGCTTTATTCAAAAAAATTATGAAATTATTATTTATTTTATTTGTGACTTTCTTTATTATCAAAATATTTTAAGTATGACTTATATTTTTTATATTTGCACTAATTTTTAAATAAGACAAATGATAAAGAAAAAGTCAAAACGATATCTAATTTGGGACGGAGGTAGTAATACATTATGGTTGTGTTTAGTTTCAGAATTTTTCTTCAAACTTCTAACTTTTCCATCACATCAAAACTTTCCTACACATACAAACTTCCAACTTTTCCATCACATCGTTCCAATTTCAACCAAACTTCCAATTTTAGCGTGAACTAAACACACCCTATGATTAATTGAGGAGTTGATAGTTGAAGTTCTTCTTTGAATGAAAAAAAAAGATGGTGAGTTAAATCATTTGATACATCAAATTTACATGAAAAATATTACAAATTCAATTAGATTGCAACTTTGCAAGTGGGATAGTGTATTTATTTATTTTTCTGAGAAAGTATAAAAATCAAATTTGAGGCCCAGCTCCCTGCTATCATCTCATTTCCCTCCTTCCTCACGGCTTCCTCCCTCCCTCCCTCCCTCCCCGCCATCTCCACGACTCTTAAACCCGCTCCGCCACCACGAGCTCTCCGGCAAGCCAAGTCAGTCAGAGCCACCCGAAATGGAAGTAATGGTGCGCCCCGCCTCGCCGCCGCCGCGCCACCACGACTTCCGGTTCGACAGCCCGGCGGCGAGCCCGTACGCCACGGCGCTGTCCAGCCCGCGTGGCCGCCTCGCCACGGCCACGTTCTTGACGGCGCCGCCGTCGCCTGACCCGTTCGAGGCCGTCATGGCGGCGCAGCAGCAGCCGGAGACGCCGCGCCTCACCCACGCCAACCCGTTCGACCTCTTCCAGCACTTCAGCAGCGCGCCGGCCAGCCCCAGGCGCGCCGCCGCCATCTACGCGCACTTCGCCGAGGGGGGCAACGGGGGTGGCCGCGATGACGGCGAGGATGAGGAGGAGGAGGACGACGACGACGACGAGGGGTTCCGGCCGCGGGCGTCGTACACCGTTAACGCCTCGTCCGTGCCGTTCGATTGGGAGGAGAGGCCCGGGACGCCGAAGGCCGGGCTCGGTGGCGGCGGCGGCGGCGCGGCGTGGGATACGGACTTCGAATTCGGCACGGTCGTCGACAAGGCCGCGCCGGAGGAGAATCTGACGACCGCCGACGAGCTCTTCGAGAAGGGTAAAATCCGGCCGCTGAAGGCGCCGCTGCCGAAGACGGCCGACGAGCTCTTCGACAAGGGCAAGGTCCGGCCGCTGAAGCCGCCTCCTGGGCTGCTCGACGGCGGGAGCGTCGCGTCGTCGCCGCGGTCGCCGATGTCGAGAGGCGGCGGCATGTGGTCGCCTCGCCGACGGAGCAGGGTCGGCTCCGGCGTCGACTTCGACCCGTTCGCCGCTGCTCTGCTGGAGGCGACCAAGGCGCCGTCGCCGTCGCCGTCGCCGCTCGGCGTCGCCGCCTCAGGCTCCCCGGCCAAGAAAGCCGACCAGTTCACCACCCGTCCGGCCTCCAAGAGCGCCGGGTGGAGGAGGTGGCGGCTCAGCGACCTCCTCCTGTTCCGGAGCTCGTCGGAACACGGCCGCGTGACCAAGGACCCGATCTTCAAGAGCTCGCCGGCGAGACACCCCGACTCGCCGGTGAAGAAGGCGAGCGCACGGCCCACGACGACGCCGGGCAAGGCCAATGGCAAAGCCGACACCGCGAGCAAGCCGAGGAAGCACGCCGGCGACAAGAACGCCGCGGCGGCGGCGGAGGGCATCCTCGGGTCCGTCAGGCTGAGCCCGCTGCAGCGGCTGGCGAGAGGGCTCAGAGGAAGCTCGTGGTACCACGGCCATGGCGGCATGGCGAAGCTTGGGACCAAAGGGTGAAGGAAATCCATGGCGATCGGTAGCTTCATTGCTCGCCATTGTCCATACAAGAGGTGGTGGTTTTTTCATTTTTCTTCTTATTTTTTCTTTTCTTGGAAATAATTTTGTAAAACTTATTTGAAAGTTGAAACCATGTAAAATGTGCCGAACATTTTTGTTTTTGGTGTTTGGTTTCCTTCTCTTTCTCGAGCTTGACCGTATTATCATACACATGTACTTTATGTGAATTTTTTTTAGATATAGTTTATATGGCTATACATAATAGAAGAAATATAAAATGACAAATGGTTAATTATTTGCTAATGTGCGCTTGATCATTGTCGCAGTCCAGCATATCGGACGTTTGTTCTAAAGTTAGATTGTGCATCCACGCAAATGCTTAAATTATTGGACTGCGGCGTGCCTGTTTTACCAGGAAAAAACACTACATGCTGCAGAAGAGGATGATACCCAGTAGGAAAAATGTTTTATAGTTACTTCTAAAATATTGTTAATATTGAGTTGCATACAGCAACCAATTCAACCAAAAAATTAAGCATATGATCATTTGAGCTCCAACTGATAATCCATATAAAAATAAACGAGCCAACAAAGATAAAATATTTATATTTCTATTCTTAGCGGTTTAAAACTCAATGCTTGGAAATAAACTACAACGAAAACATCCCAAAATCACATCCAAAATTAAATGCTAAATATTTTTGGCTGCTATTAATAAGCTAACAAGCAGATCATGAGAGTATAAACTGATGAGTGAGAGTGTTTGCTGATGAGGAAAGGCAGGAATGAATATATACTCCAACTGTCCAACAAGCTCAAGATATGTGGCTTTCATACCATATGAAGTTATATGCACTGATTAATTGTGATCATGTGGCTAAATTGATGAAGAAAAATAGACAATTCACTTATACTCCAACAGCCTAAGTTGATGAAGAAAGATGGACAATTCACTTATACTCCAATAGTTGGATACTATTTACGATCACCTTTGAAATAGTGATAATGTAGCTACATCGAGCACAAGAGAAATTATGTGAGAAATGATTTTACTTGCATAGTCACCTACATGAAACTTATCTTTCCCTTGTGGTATCGCCCATGTACTCTTTGAAAGAAACTCCTACTCCCTCCGTTTTAGGTTATAACACGTTTTGATTTTGGTCAAAGTCAAACTGTTTAAAGTTTAACTAAGTTTATAGAAAAAAGTAGTAACATTTTCAACCCAAGATAAATTTATTATGAAAATATATTCAATTATTGATTTGATGAAACTAATTTAGTATTATAAATATTATTACATTTGTCTATAGACTTAGTCAAACTTGAAACATTTTGACTTTGACCAAAGTCAAAACGTACTGTAACCTAAAACGAGTATGAAGTATTGCCTTCTAGCTATGGGGTCCACAACCGAAAGTTAGAGGATCCCCTTCCGTCCTCTCTAGCCCACTCCCCTCCCTTCGAAATTCCCCTCTCCTCTTCCCTAATCCAGCCATAATCCTTGTTCCTCTTCACTTGTTTGTGCCATTAACGCTTCCAGGTCACTTGCTATTGGTGTTGTGTTATACTTATTTTATCGTCAAGCTTGTTAGCTTATTAGTCATAGTCAAAATTAGTTTTGAAACATAATTTTGAAGTTGATTTTGGGTTTTTTTAATAATAATCTATTTTCAGCATTTGCTTTTAAACCACCAATAATACATCTATAAAATTTTTTCTATAAATTATTTTTTATTGCTTTCTTTATTTTTTCCATCGCTTAGCAGTCATAGACTCATAGACCAGACAATCAAACCCCCAGTCATTAGCCCTAAACTGTCGTCACAAGTTTGTCACATAGTACATTTGCAATCTTTGCCCACGCCGGCCATCAGCTTTGCTAGTGACTAAGTGAGGAGTTTTAGTGGAAACTGGAAAGTGATAGATTTTGAGTTGAAATTTTGGATCCAAGTTCAATTTTCCATAACATATTTTCCGATGAATACATTTATTTAAAAAAAACGTATTTTTCGAAGTTACTTTTTCTAATAGAAGATGAATCAGAGTTGATTTTTTTTCCTTTTAATTGAAATCGAAATTGTAAAAAATTATTGGACATGAAGCCTCCTCCATAACACATGAAATTTTCTAATTACACCATATGAATTGTACAAAATCCTAAAAAAAATAGCCCTATAAAATTTTATTTGAAATTCCAGCATCCAAAGGAGGCATGGAAAGAGAGAGGTGAGAGTGTGAGTATATGGTGGGGACGGGAGAGTGTTGTGTCAAAGGTGGAAGAAGGTGATCACCATTAGGTTAATCCTAGCAAAGTTCCATCATTGATACTGAAGTGTGGACGGGAGTCAGAATCTTGTTCTCTTTTCTTCACTTCCGTTCTTTTTAAAGGCGCCTCCTCCACCGAAATTCCTTTCTTGCAACCATAAAAGAGCTAATGTGCAGTGGTACTTATTAGTAGTGGAGCATAGTGAAGCTCAAAGTAGGGAGGTACGGTAGTCTCCTCATCTGTTCAGACCACCAGATATGATGTGGTGATAGATATACAAATACTGAAACCCAAAGCTTCAGAGTGTATATGATAGAAATTTTGGAGTACTATTTTAGTCTCCTTGAGTCCATCATTTATCAAAACTAATGATCACACTCGAGTTAGTTGATCAGGCAGAGCTCCTGCCATCCCCTTTCCCTTAAAAAACCACTAATGATAATGAAGATTAAGTTAATGTTTCTGCATCTTTAGTTTACAAACAATGTGTGCCCATCATTGAGGAGTACAAAAGCATCCGAAAGCGTCCCTCACACTCTAGAAAGAGTGGAAGACTCAAGAAAAAAGAAAGGTTTGTAACAATCGTACTTGTGTTAATATCTTTGTTTGGCACGAAGATTTACAACCGACGGAATGAAAGCATATTATTTCCTAGGTACTTGAAAGATCCGATCGTTAATGACTGACAATTGACAAATCATTGGGGTTGTGTTAATATACATTTGTCATGTACTGCTTAGGCATCTGGAGTTGTAAATTATGTTGGTTTAGTGTTAATAGGACCATATTTAACTTATAGCCTCTGTTGTTGGGATGCATTTGTATTTTGGATCTTATAGGTGGTAGTCATTGTTAGTTGTTCTGCTCAGGAGCTATGGTACGAGGCGGTACGAGGCACAAGCACGTTTGTGCAGCGTCCAAATTAGTTGTAGTTAGGATACTACGAGTCTACGACTCTCTGCCGTATCCAATTTAATTTTTGTTAACTAAATGCCTAAACCTGAATGAAATAAGCTTATGAGTAGGTGCTAACCATGTTGTGTCGTTTAGGGTATTCAAATTAGCCGGCATTTTACTGGTAGCCATCGATACACAACGAACTGGTTGGTGGGACGCATGGGTCAATAATCGAAATAACTGTAAGCAAATAAGCTTACACATTCTTGGTCTCCTTTCTTACAAAAAAAAAAAAAGCTTACTTGTGTCCCCCAGAAAAACGTGAGTACAGCCACTTGGTGCACAAGAATTTTTCCTTTTCTTAAAAAAAACTAGGAATATAGCCCGCGCACATGCGCGGGCATCTTTAATGTGTTTGAAATTTTATTACGAATGCTTACGCGTAGTTGGCTTTTTTTTTATTGAAATACCCTTTGTACTTTCAAACTTATTTGGGATTTCTATTAATGTTGGTTATGATTTTATTCTAGTTACGCTTGCAACATAAAAATTTGTTAACTAAAATTGTGTGAAAGCATGCCGTTTTGAATTTATAAGAAAATATTGTGTCATCACCATGAAGTTTCTATGAAACTATATATTGTACTATGGGTATTTCTATACTTTAAGTAATAATTGCTTTTATACTATCTATTTCTTTTTGGATTTTAGGATAAAGTAATTTAAGATTTCTATTAAACATATAGCTAATAGAACTATGTCATATAATTAAAGATAGATTTATACTTCGTCGCATAAATCCGAGAAAGTTAAATTTTGTTTCAAAATATAAGGGATTTTAGAGTAGTATTACTTGTCCTATCCAAAAAACTATAATTTATAATTTATTGTTTACCCAATCTTACCCTAACCACCTTCCCACCCTCCACGTCTCTTTTAATTAATAAGGGGTATCATGGTCTTTTTTTTTCTTCCTCATTAGCTATAACCCTAAGGCAAATTTTGTTATAGGACACTGCGATTTCGTGGTTTTAGCTGTAGGATACCGTCCGAACTCACTTTTAGAGGAAGACACTCCATAAACGTGGTAATTTACCAATGTACACCGCGCCGATTAGAATAATAATTTCCGGTTGAAGAGGAGAGAGAAATCACGTGAAATGTCAAAAATGCCCTTAGGCCCACATGTCAGCTCTCCTATCTGTCCTCTCTCTATCCCCTCCTTCCAGCGTCTGATGCGCGGCGTCGGGTAGTCGTGGTGGCGGAGAACGATGCTGACTCCGCGATGGCGACGGCGGACACTACGGGCTTTCATGCTTCCTCCTCCTACAGGACCTCGAGCGCCGCTAGGATGTCGAGCCCGACCCCGCCCGCATCACGGTGGCGCCACCCGCCGCTGCGCGGCGACGACGCCGCGTGAAGTGCCGCGTGGTCGAACGGGCTTGTCGGCGACGGAAGATCGCCGCTGTCATACTATTGCTGTTGCGGCTACCACGGCGAGCAGCGGGCGACGGAGACGTCGAGCTTGCCTTCTCCACCATGGGTGAGACACGTAGAGAGAGAGGAGGAGATCCCATTGACCGGCCGCTTGGTGAACTCCGCGGCGTTGAGGATGATGGTAGGGACGGGGTCGGTGGCAGCGGAGGCGGGAAGGCGAGGGCCGGCGGCAGTAACGGACGGTGGTCATGGCATCCCACCGCCGGATTTCCGCCGCATCCCGGAGTTCCGCAGCCAGAACTCACCCGTGCTGTCTCGCCATCGCTGTCGCTCCGACCCTCGCCCCCGTGTCGCCGCAACCGCTCCACTCCGCGCATCAGACGTTGGAATGAGGGGATAGAGAGAGAGAGAGACATGAGAGAAATGAGAGCTGACATGTGGGCTCAAGGACATTTTTGATATTTTACGTGATTTCTCTCTTCTCTTCAACCGGAAATTATTATTCTAATCGACACGGTGTCCATTGGCAAATTACCACGTTTATAGAGTGTCTTCCTCCAAAAGTGAGTTCGGGTGGTGTCCTACCGCTAAAACCACGAAATCACAGTGTCATGAGCAAAATTTGCCTAACCCTAAATACCTTAAGATGGTTCTTTACTACCTGTGAAATACATCTTGATGTTTTTTTCTAATTTATTAACACACTTGGATGATTGTTTTTTAATCTAAATGCTTATCTATAATGTAGATAGCTACGAATAACGTGACCACTTGTATAACGATAAATTACACGTTGAATGTTGTGCCTTCGTAAATAAAATTTTCAATAATTTCTCTTATTGATTATATGCTTTAATATATCAATAAATACGTAGGTTATATGCTACATAGATTAGTCATATTTTTTAAATTATATGTAGGGTGTGTATTATTGATGTTTTTTAATTTATGTTTTTTCATATTGCAGTATACATATATATTTTTTGATTTAAAGAAAAGTCATGAGGATGTAGTTTTCAATTATTTTGTTCCATGAGATTGTACACCTAATTTACTTATTTGTGTTTATGAATAACTTATTATATTGCCATGTGGAAACATAGGAATGTCTATAGGAGTTCCACGTGACTGTTTGAGAGCGTTTTAGGAAGTTTAATGGACTTTTATTGTATAATAATAGATAGATATATAGATTTTTAAGATTTGTCCGATTTTTAAGAGCGTCACGCGTGATGGTGTAGGAGTGTTTTACTTTTTGTATATAATATAATATATAGATTATAATCAGGTTGTTATCTAATGTTTGATTTTATTCTCATATTAAATTTTGCTAGGTATAAAATTAAAAACTAAAAAGAATGAGAAGATATGAGATGGAGGGAGGGGTGGACGGACAAATGTACGTATGTACACTACGTACATGAGGGGGATCAGAGGATGCCTGGGAGGGTAGGGGTGGATATTTTTAAATCTAACAGTGAAAAATAATGGGTCTACCGTATTAAGTGAAAATCAAGGGTATGATGTTTTGCTTTTTTTTTCTCAGAATTTTTTTGATTTCTCTAATTTATTAGAACGCCAAGTGGAGGCTTAGGAGCGTTTGTAGGAAGTTTTATGGACTTTTAGTATATAATAGATGAAGTACTACGTAAGAGATAAATGTTGCGCAACAAACTATAGTGATCTAATTTATGTATATGATAGAAACAACCATAACATCACATGAATACACTCGTAAATGTGTCTTGTGTCTCTTAAAGTTTAAAAGACGAAGACCAGCGATACATCATTTGCCTCCCTAAAACCCTATTTATAACCGGAGATAGTACAATTACATAGGAGGGATGCAATTTAGCTAGCCCTAATTAGCCACCCCAAGTACAAGTGCTCACCACCTCCTTTCTACTCCCTCCGTCCTATAATATAAGGGATTTTAAGTTTTTACTTACAATGTTTAATCACTCGTCTTATTAAAAAAATTTGTGCAAATATAAAAAAAAAGTTGTACTTAAAGTACTTTAGATAATAAAGTAAGTCAGAAATAAAATAAATAATAATTCTAATTTTTTTGAATAAGACAAATAGTTAAACAATACAAGAAAAAATTAAAATCCCTTATATTATGGGACGGAGGGGAGTACTACTATCAAACATGACCATGACCATTTACTAATAGTCTAGCCCTAAGGCCCTGTGAGTCTGTGATGTGTTGGGCACCACCAACCATTGCCATGATTTATTCCTCTTCTTTCTTTCTCTAACTTTAATTTTATTTATTCTTCTTGTGAGGCCCAAGCGGCCAAGCCGGGAGCCCGGGAGTGTGCAGCAGTAGACTAGTTAGTAGCTGTTCCACGGTCCCGACCGCCGCACGCTTAGTTTGACCGGAGCCGTCCACCCGTGAATGTGATCCATCCGGTTCCACGGCCAACTTTCCCGGTCAAACACGACGTGACGTTCCCCGTAATCCCCCACACGATCCACGGGAGAAACGCCCACCAAACAACCACAAATTCTTCCAGAAAAAAAATAAACGAGGAGCAGTGACGTTCTCGCGACCATCATCCGAACGTGCCAAGCATCTTCTCTCAAACAAAATCGTGTCTTAAAAAGTTAAATTAAACTACTTTTATACTGAGCCGTTTATTTACTGTGCGACAATGCGATATTATATTATCGTAATCCTAGTCGTGATCGCGATCCTGACACGAACAAAAAAACGGGCCGTGTCTAGGATTGTGACGCTGACGACGTTTTGCCAAGGGCGACACCAGTAACAGCACTGTACTAGCAGCGGCTATCAGCTCACATGGGCATGGCCGCTCGCTCCGTTCAACGCCGGGGACCGTTCGTTTCAACTGCTTCTGCCTTGCCGACCGCCAGTGACGAAGCGGAGGTCCGCTGAAACAGGTTGGCAGTTGGTGGCAACTCTGCTGCAGAATTATTTGCAGCATGACAGGTGAAGTTCTAGGCATCTAGCTGCAAGTCGTATTCCCTTTGTCTAAAAAAAAAAATCTAGAACTTAATATGACAACGAATCTGAATAGAATTATATCCAGATTCATAATATTACGATGTGATTTTTCATGGAACAGAGGGTGTATCACATAAAAGAGCAGTTAATCATAGCTCGATATCTGCAGTACTAGGGGTAGTTGCTATTGGTGATCATCTTGATTACCACTTCGGAGCTTTCGAGGCTTCAAACATAGGAGGCATGGTAAAGATATTCTTTTTCCTGTAAAGTTGATCGCAAAGGTCGTCATTTCTACAGTGTATCCAGTGTGAAAGAGCAAAAGAAATGCTGACGAATGTATAGTACTTTACATGTTTCACAGATAACAGTTTCAGGAAAGGGAATTTATCCAATTCAGGATATTGTTGGTACCAGAGATATTGTACACTACAGACATGCTTCCCTGATGCAGAAGACGCTCTTGAAGACACCCAACGCTAATAATCTCGCAAATCTTCTTTTACAGAACAATCCATCCATTAGCATTTCTTATGGGGAGGCCCCTTAGTACGATCTGTATAGTCCCATTAAGGGCTTCTCCCTATCCTCCATTCTTTTTCTTGCTGCTTCACGCGCTTTAAGGGCGGCTTCCTCCTCCTTTGAGATCACTTTGGGCTTGCCGTCCTCTCTTTTTCTCTTGTTAACAGCAATGGCGGATGGAGCACCCTTTACAGTTCTCATCGGATTCAGTGGTTTCTTGACGACCAAACCTGGAGCTTGGCCCCCTTTAATTGTGGGGACAGTCGCAACTGAAGCAGTTGGTTTTGTTTGTGAACTTGAGGATTGCCCAGCATTAGCTTGGGAGGTTTTTGCCCATGCGTATGCCTCTTCCTGAGTGACCCATTTACCTGCTCATTAAGAAAGCATAAATATTAGTGAGAAATAGCAGCTCCCTCAAAGGCATGACATAACCACTTAAAGATCCAGATACACATGTTAAGAGAAGTACCTAAACCGTCAGAATAGTAGAAACCAGAATTTGAGTCAAAATAGAGTCCAGTAGATTTGTCATAATAGTATCCTGAAGTAGAGTCGAATTCCCATCCTGCACAAACAGGATGTTATCTAACAGATTGAACAAATATTGTTAAATAGCGAAAATTGTAGTAGTGCTGGCGGACAGAATGATCAGCGCACATATGCAAACAGTGCATCATGGTTCATGCTACTCAGTGTTCCAGTTAAAGGTAGGAACTGGTCTGTTCATCTGTTCTCCTGTCTTTAATGACATATAATCATCAGTAAAGACTTAAGAGTATTAAGCATACTAACCAGAATAATTCTGCTAGGGCACAGTTCATGAAAATCTAACATCATTTCATTAACATTAATGCAATTGTTAGCAAAATTTATCGTCAACATAGTAGCAGAGCAAGTATTACTCACGGCTCAATTTGGTAGTAAAAGTTTTACTCATGATGACATGGACAAATCTCAAACATTCATTTCTACATCCTATAGTAGTTTCCAGGTTACATATTTTCCCATACATTTGAGCCAAGAGAAAGATATGTTTGAAGGACGGATTTAAGATAAAACAATTTTAGGCTTTGAAAATTGACAGTAGTTAGACATTTCTGCTAACCAAGGTATTGTATTACATGAGCTAGGTTGGAATATATTTCAAGCATGTCAAAAACTAGAATCAGCAGGAGAAAAAATTAAGAAGATAAGACTAATACAACAAGTTAATACAAGCTCAAAATAGTGAACAAAAAGAGAAAACAGAAATCATGACCAACTAAACCCTCTCAAGATTGGTGAATTAACCTAACCATCAACTAAAAAAATCCTACAAAAGCATAACAGAGAAGTAGGATGTTCCCAAAATTCCTAAAATAAAAGGAAAAAATATTTTTCACTATCCTAAACAAAGGACGGGAAGGAAGATAGCAAGCATATATCCTCTAAAAATTAGTCATCCTTCAAAACGGCTCTTCCTAGGGTGAGGTATTATCTGTCCCCATAAATAGAAAATTCCAGGAGTAATAAATAGGATTAAAGTATTGATATAATTGGAATTGCAGAAAGAAATACTCCATACTAATTTACTAAAAAAAGAAAGTACCTCATCCAAAGGACTCATTTTATATTTTAGGATTAAACAAAAGGGTTCGCAAATAAAAGCGCTTAGGGATAGCTTCATCAGATATGGAGGCCTATTTTTTTTTTATACAAAGCAGAGATAACTAATGGCACAAAAGAAAACAGGCTATGCAGTGGATCAGGCATTGAAGAACACTATTGATAGACAACGGTGAGCCATACACACCATCTCCAGGTGCCGCAGAAGTGTCACCGTCCACATTCCTTTGACTGTTCTCTAAATCTTTTTGGTAGCTCTTTTTAGCTTTCTGCAGTGAACAGTAAGTTACAAATAACAAGGCATGGTAGTTCATAAATCAACCAATTGCAAGATAAATTGAAACAACACAGCAATAAGGGAAAGGATAAATTCAAAAAGAAAAAGCCTACATGGTTTTATCAATGCAGAAGTGTTTACCCTTCACAAGCTCTGTAGTTTGTGACATAACAATATGTACATTAGGTGATTAGGATACCAACATACTGGGGAAAAAAACAGCATTACAAACTTACAGCTTCTATTTGCTTGAGGGCCCGGGCTGCTTGCTGCTGCTCCTTTTCTTTGGCAGCACCCTCCTTTTGCATGGTTGCCAATCTTTTAGTGACATTGTCCTTGTGGCGCTTACCGATTTCATGTGTTCTGATGCTTAGCGGGTTATTAGCTATGTAAATCTTACAGAAGTCACACCATTTGTTTCCTTGGCTCACCCAGTACTGGAAAAAGATAGGGGAAAAAGTTATTTATAACAAAAACACTTGCAAAGTTGGATGCTTGTGATGACAGTGTACAACAACTTAAATGTCAAAGAAGATGATCGCAGATAACTTTCAAAGGGCTAATAGGGACCCTGTATTCCTACCAGAAGGAAACTACAGTTGCTTCTTGTACTGTCACCTTTTCAGATAGTGACTAAATAATCTCTTTCTCGCAATGGTAAAAAATATTGATGCCAAAAAGTCAATTAGCAGGATTGGATGCTTGCAACAACAGAGTTTAAGAGCATAACATAGATCATATGAATGATTGGACACGAATTTTTTCGAAAGGAAAAAACAACTAACTATTCTCCTATAAACGAACACAATAGGCATTTGTATCCTGATTTATTCAGAAAGAGAATTGATAATATTGCCATGATACATCACATTGGGACTTTCAGTCTCTAATCTCCACTTAGCATTTCAAATTCAATTACAGTTGAATACAAACAAGTACTAAAAAATACCATTAACCTACCAAAAGAATCAAAGCCCTATTTGGTTAACTATCTCAATCTACAAAAACATAAGATGACTGAAGCACCCATATGAAGATGGAATCACTCCAGTCCAGAGGCAAAATCTTCCTCAGTCCAGCCTCACCAAGCCGCATATTCTATCTACTCTCCCATAGCATCCGAACACACAGGGACATGCACAAGCAGCATACGAATTACGAAACTAACCCTAATTCATCGAAATCCACGAGACCAAGTGACTAACAGAGGCAAAATCCCTAAACATCAGCTAATCCTGTATAAACTCGCACTCGGAAGACGCCGACCATCACCGAGAAACCCCCCAAAGGAGAAAAAAGCACCGTGGTTTCGTTCAGATCGATGCGCGAATCCCCACAGCGGGCGGCGGAGGGCAACAGGGCAACGCGCGATGCCGGAAAATTGCGGAGGAAGAAGGGAGAGCGTACCTCCGTCATGGCGGGCAAGGGCTCCGCTCAGCTGCGCCGATTGCGACAGTGAGCTTCGCCTCCGCTGCCGGGGGAGGGGATCGCCGGAGCGGCCAAGCGAGCGGGGGATTTTTGGTCGCAGTCGGAGACGGGACGGGGGAGAGGGTGCTGGGGTGAGGAGTATTTCTGCGGGATGTGGGCCCGCCGGAGAGGGGGAGAAGCTGCGGATTCCAGACGTTCATAATTCAAATTCATGCCTTGTTTGAAGTTTAAACACGTGATTTTTCTTCCGAGTAAATTTCGAAAACAAAAAGAAACACAACAACTATTTTTTTATCGAAACTCAATTTTAATCAAGCATTTCGGATAGTTGCAACAATAACATATGATTTATTAGAAAGCTGCAACTTTATATCCTACTCCATCCATTTTATATTATAAGTTATTTTGATTTTTTTAATTAGTCAAACTTTTTTAAGTTTGATAAATTTTATAACACCAATTAGTTTTATTAAAACTAATATTTAATATATTTTGATAATAGGTTTGTTTTATGTAAAAAATATTATTTTATTTTTCTACAAATGTAATCAACTAGGAAAAAAAATTCAAAATGTTTCGATCCACCTATCATACATATATGAATACTCATATATGAATACTCATGTTGTTGTATATTGGGTTCACGTGTTACATACACTAAAACGATATAATTTTATAGTTTTCTAATAAAATCATTCACTATTATTGTAGCTTTGTAGATAGCAAAATAATAATTTTGACCAAATAATTACAATACTATGAAATTTATTTTTAAAAAAAAAAAATCGGATTTCTGTCCGCTTCGTACACGAACTGCATTTTGGACAAAGGCGATGATAGTTTAGTAGCAACAGCTAATAAGCCTTAGATTAATAAACGGAGCAACTAAAATTGTTTCAAATAATTAGAGTTTGGTTAAAACTTTTATATCTATTCTCGGCAACTTAAAAGCTAAGGCTAGATAATAGAATACGATGAAAGAACTCCAAAACCAAGTATCAAAATTAAAATTTTGGCTAAGGCTTATATTTAAGCTAACATGCAGACTTCAGTTTAATTAGAAATTTTCCTGCATTCCGAACTTGTCTCAAGTCCATCCCAGGCTATTATTTCTCAAAAAAAAAAAAAAAAAAAAAAAACCCGGCCGAATGTTTGTGTTATAGATGACTCTTGTCTCAGAAGAAATAATGGTCTATTAAAATAAAGTTAGGTATGGATGTGTCTCCTGTTGCCTAATATGGGCGATTTCTGGAGTTTCCGAAACTCAAATATGCGATTCCATTGCCCCAGACTCCAACATTGATTGATTTTAATGAACATTTAGTCGGAGTACATGGACAATTCAAACAGATGCAAACTGTAAGAGGTCATGTTCCACGAAATGTAAGCTACTGCTACACTTTCTTCGAGCGATCAGTCAAAGTTTTCGATCTTGATTGGAGTTATATCATCTGCCACCTTAAAATTCCCGACTAATCGAGCAAAGAACACCATCTGCTGCTCCAAAGTAAACTTGATGTTCTCAGCCTGTTCAAATGGAAGAGCATACTCCATCACAACCTTATCGCAGGGTTTAGGGTGTAAAGAGACTTGAGACTATAGAGAGACAAGTGATACAGTTTGGTACCTTGCGGAAACCATGCTGCTCTCCTTCGTATTCCACCAAGGCAACAGGCAAACCTTTCTCTTTTAAGGCCTTGTATATTTTGCGTGCCTGATCTGGTGGGACTACCTGGAATGAAAATGAATTGAAGCAGATGAAATTGTTTGCACTTTACAGTTGCAATTATGCACCATTAATTTCTCGGTTATCATGATTATGAGCTCATAGGAAATGTTTCACAAGGAAATATTGCAGGAATGATGAGAGGCAATTATGCATCAGTAATTCCTCAGTTATCATGACTATGCATGAGACCAACATAGAAACTTCCGGTTTATGAACTCATAGGAAATGTTTCACAAGGAAATATTGCAGGAATGATGAGAAAAAGGCTCAACTACACAATATAGAAGTATTTTTTTTTAAAAAAAAAAATCTTTAACTCTAAGTTATAAGTACCTAGAAAGTGACCCTTGCTTCTCCAGGTGAGTTATGAAAATTAATAAAAAAAAAAAGCAAATAACATGTGAACATGAAACTTATTACTTGTCTTAGATCTAATACTCCTGTAATAAATCTGTAAGACTAATGAGTACCAGAGGATGGTTTAGGAAAAACCATTAGTTAACTATAGGAGGAACTAAAATATGATGAATTGATGATCTGACAGAAGCGGATAATCTAATAAACAGAAAATAAAAGCTCGATTCAAGAGTCCCACATTAGCTTGTCTGCTGTTCTGCTAGATATTGATCTCTATTCAAGGGTGCAAGTGTAACAGCGGAGCATACCTCATACAGTAAATTTTCACCGCATGTAACACTTTGACATGTTATACAACTATACACTGACAAACATGACTTGTCTAAAATAGTTGATCCTCCGCAATCATCACATACCTTATCATCCAAGCCTTGAAACAAAATAACTGGACATGTAAATTTGTCAACAAAGTTGATCGGTGATCTCTCATAGTAAGCATTTTCATTTCCTGAAGAGCAATGTAGCAAAAGGTGACTATTACATTGGACATACGGGTTGGATTGAATACTTTTACCAAAGCAGAAATAGTGAGACTCTTATGGTCTTACCTACAAGATTGTCAGTATAGTGAGACTCGAATTTGTGTGTCTCTGCTCTCAACAAAGATAAGTCACCAATCTGCTCATTAATATGGTAATAAAAATGACAAGTCAACAATCTGCTCAATAGTTCTTATGTCTATGTAGAGACAAAAATGATTGACGTTACAAAGGTGGACCACTCTGTGAACTGCACTTTAATCTTTTTATCAGTTTTCCATATCAAATTACCTATCATACAAATGCAAGTAGTGATTTAATACCTCAATTTCACGTTATAAATCAAGTTTGTTAAATTCTTAGTTATATCTGTGAAAAACAGATCCTACAACGTTGTGCACTGGGCTGAAAAATATTCTTGAATATTCCCATCTTGGATATGGACTAAGAAAAGGATCATATCGCCAATTATTTTCTAAAAGATAATGCAATTGATGTGTAAAAAGTAACTATTACTTAAAAACAATCACAAGAAATCTAGAACCTGCAGCCCCCATTGTTCTTTGTTATGTACATTTATAGGAAAGCCAAAAAAGCAGAATCCTAGAAAGATATATAACTTACACCATACAAAGAAGCTCCAGCCTTGAATGTGTCCCTGAATGCGAGTGAAGCTAACGTAGTGTACCCACCTGCTGATCGCCCAGTAATACAAAGGCGTCGCTCATCTACTTTCCCACTCTCCACCTAAAAAATGCATTAAGGTGTTTTGTTAGCATTACTATAATGAAATGCTATTATATAATTACAACCATTACTACTAGGATGTACCAGGACTCTTGCACAGCTGCAACAATCATCAACATCGACGATACCCCATTTCCCCAATAGCCTCTCTCGATACTCCCTCCCAAAACCTTCAGTTATATTATACTACAGTTAAATTCAGTGATAAAACTAAAGATTTAAATAACCTAGAGCCTTTATTAAATCAACTACGACATGAATTAGCAGAAAAAGAAAACAAGCTCCCAACATTGTACATAAAGGTGCAACCAAAAGTCCAAACAGTGGAAGCTAAAAGGACAAACCAGTGCTTCCCCCATAGTTAACATCAAGATATGCCCATCCTCGACTTGTCCAATACTGAACACTCAGGTCCAGAATTCCACGTGTTTCTGCTGTTGGTCCTCCTGAAAGATGTGGGGAATATCAAATATGCGATTGCCATGATTGTGATCATGGAAAAGAAGGATGCAATAACCTAACGAACCAAATTAGACAGAAACCACATAGTAAAAATTGTAAATACAAAACAGAACACATAACAGTTGGGCCTAAATAACTGAATAATTATTTTCTGGGATCAAACTACAAAGATATTCTGAGGCATCACAAGGCTTCAATAATTTACTTACCATGTGTTTTGACAAGCAATGGAGGTTTTTCGTCTGGCAAACCTTGAAAATTTGGGTTTGAAGGTGGGTAGAAATATGCATAAGCTTTCTGGCCGGTGCTGGATGTTGAAAACTCAACAAATTCTGGTGCACTGAAGAAAGAACTATATTGTACAACATCTGATGAGGATGACCAAATTATTGAGAAACTAACTACTTTTGTTCTGTCCTCATTTAAAGCTACCTGAAAGAAACAGAATATGATGCTTCATAGTTGATACACAAAAAGTTCTAAAATGAAAAAAAAAAGAGGCACCAACACATCATCAACAAAGCAGAAATCTGGATGTGAGATCCTAGAAACCTTTGCGATTGACATTGGAACAGTTGCAGATGCACCTTCAATATAGAAGTAATCATTTCCAGTAACCTGGCACACCATAGTAGAGGACTAGAGGTAAGTTATCATAACCACTCTAGAACGGAACTAAACAAGGCAGAATATGGATAGTACAGTTTTTTCAAATAAAAGTGATGCCGAATACGATGCTTACCACATTGGATAAATCAGTGAAGGGGGTGTCAAGCAATGAAACAGAACCTATATCAGAGTCCAGAACACCAAGATATGACCTTCCATGCTGCCTGTGTGACATATAGGTATTGTGATGGAATTTTTAATATATTTTCATCAACAGAAGTATAACAGTACAATAAAAACCTGTAGCTGAAAACAATGTGATTGCTTTCACCAAGAAAACCATAAGAGCTGATACCAAAAACCCACAATGGCCTTGTGAACTCAGCATCTAGCGTGTAAACTGAAATAACCTCGTTGGTGTGCTCAACCTGATGACAAACAAGTGCATTGGCAATGTATGTCAAACAAAATCCAGATGATGACCAAGAATGCTGTATTTGATCATGCAATGAGCCATGATCATTGAAGTCATTACTTACAAGTTCCAACTAAAAAGTAGAGAAGTCAAACAAAATCAGGACAAAAGATACTTCAAATGTTAAATGAAGAAGTTCAAGGATTAAGAGAAAACTAATTACCCATTTATAGATGTTCCAAAATCCACTCCCTCTATCAGTTAGGAAAAACAATTCGCCTGCAAGTTCATATGAATTAGACGAATCTTTGGTAGCAGAGTTGCAAGCAGGATGATTATAATCATGATAAATCAATAGTCGCATCACTGCCAAGCAAATAAATTGCTATTGCTAAAGTTGCAAAGGGGTTAATGGGTTATGGAACCAACGAATTTAATCACTGTGATTGTGAAGAAAAGGCTCGGGAACAATAATAAATACAAGTAGCTGGCCGAGCTAAGAACACCTTCCATACCAAAGATAACATTTTTTGCTTAAATAAGACAATTGTACATCGTGGATATGAACTATGCTAGACCATCTAGTTGAAACCACTCAAGGAAATAATCCACACAGCAAATACTGTAAGACTAACATGAACATTTTTTTTAGAGCAATACTGACAGAAATCATGATGTAACATCTCGGTAGAATAGTATTGATTCCATCTTCTGGCGTTCAGTATTAGAGTCAATTAAAAATGTGAATATGCATGCCTAAAGAAAGAGCAAGATATGGTAGGTACTGCTTCACAATGTTACATTTGTATAATCTTCTCATGCAAATATGTTTGAATTCCTACAAACATACAGGCATAATAAATAAATAAATAAATAAACAAACATATTACAAACATATAACGGCTTTCTCACTCAAGTAACAAATAAATATGCAACATGTTTCAGATAATCAGACAAAATTAACAAGCAACATGACACCTTTTGGAGACCATTTAGGCTCAGTTGGGGACTCCACTAACATTGGATTGCTACCAGCAACACAGACCCGTTTGGTCAAGTCTCTACAAACAAAGAATCATGGGTGCTTAATCATAAAAAGCTAACAGTTGAAAAAAAAATCAGAAACAGGTCGAAAATGGACTAGCATAAGGTAGACAGACTGCAACACTAGAGATTACAACAGAAAATAAATCCAAAAGTTTTTAGTATTATGAGATATTCCTCTGTAGTCAGACTAACTTCTTTATATATATATTCCATGCATTAGAGATAGGGTTCCTTAGGGACACTCAAAGTTTATTAAAGTGTACCATCAAATGATTCCTGTAGAAGGGCTAGCATGTATTATGAACCAAGAAAAAGATAATGGATCCATCTAAATTTCTGTCATCCCGAATGTAACATTTGTTTTGTTTATATTACCTGATTGGAAGAAAAAGGCAGCATGTTCTAATATGCATTTCTAAAGATAATGTTGCTTACCCGCTTTCAGAGAAGTAGCCAACCCAAAGTTCTGACTTATCCCAGGGCATATTTGGATGACTCCACTCTATCCATGCCATACGCTTGTTATTATGGTCAATACGAGGAAAAGCATAGAAGTCATTGCCACTAATCAGCACCTTTGGTTCTTCAATACAGAAAAAAAAAGTAAGAATTCTTACAAAAAAAGCAGATATGAGAAAATTACAAGCAACACGCACACATAGATTTAACTTTGTGAAAGTTATAAACATTTCGTATAGTCTTACCCTGAACAACCCCATTACTCAAGCTTATAGCTGCGATTGTTGTGGTGGGATTCAAGCTACTCTTTCGACGGTCTATCAAGAAATTTGAGCATGTCAGAAGTTCAGTATGCAACTATAGTTTGTAATAAAATCATATGCCAATTAACCTTCTATCACGGTAACATAACGGCTGAAGTGAGGATCAAAGACTCCATCAGCATAACTGACATCAGGCCCACCATAATCGGGTGTAAGAGGCACAGGCACACCAGCTGACAAGGGAAAATCATCATGTGAAATATTTCAGCAGAAAAAAATATCATTATTTAATATGCATATTGATCATCAAGCATTAAGTGGTTCTAAATATTTAACAGCTGAATAGTGTGATTAGATTTCCTTTTTAATCCTGTCAAACACAACCTATCATTTCACTGGCTGTCATTTCATTATAAACGCAAGTCTTTTCGCTTGTTAAGACATGCTCCACCAATTCTACTTATTTGAATGAGCATGCTATACAGTAACCTATAAATGCATATACACAATGAAATATTTTTCAATGAAGTACTAGACAAAGAATTACCATAAGTAAGGAAAGTAAAAACACATCCTTCCAACTAAATTATATTTCTTTATTGACATGCTAATTCAGTTAGGTTCACCTAACTCCTTAGTCCTACAACCATAGCAAATGACTCACTTTTAGTACTTTGCTTGTACAGACGTTGATCCTTGTAGTTTGAGAACACAACAACATTATCTTTGACTGAAAATGCACCACCTCCATATTCTTGAGCTAGAGTACGTGCTGCAAATTCTTGAGGTATGATATCCACAGGCTTATCATCCTCCTTGACTATAACCATACGCCTGTGTCCAATATGGTTGAAGATAAATTAATTCCGAGTGACACAGCATAACAGGGAACTATTAAAAGTTGAACATGACATGGTACACTAATAACAGACATTAACAAACTTAACACAGTTATTGCAACCATCAATTATTTAATTGCACACTGCTAGAAATTCATGGAATTAGCAATTGCCAGGCAGAAAGAATTTATTATATTACATTAATCTTCTGGCATCATGTTGTCTCTAGTGCAGTAATGCACACACAGCAAATGCATATAAAATACATTCTGGGTTTCTCAAATTTGCATATTCAATCAACTCTAATTGTCAAAGCCCATAAGCCAATCATTCATTTGACCATGTATTCTAGTGCAAAGCTGTAACTTGCTTTCATTTATATGCAGAAAAATCATACCAGTAATCTGCTGAGAAACTAAAATTCCAATAATTAAAAAAAAAAACATAGTGAAACGAAATCACATTATTCCTTCCAGTTTCTATGATACAATCTCCACGCAAATATGTGCCAACATGCTACTAAAACAATTCCAGAATCTAGATACGCACACTTACTAAGAAACTAGTAACAAACATCACAACAGCTCGAGACCAACAATCACAATAGCTCGAGGCCACCAAGACACAAAAGAGAATCAGAATCTTCATGTGCCTTAACGTATAATTAAGGCACCATACAAACTTCCGTAAAAAAAAGTGTAGTAGTAGCTGCCAATGCTATTACCAAAATATTTGGAGGAAAAAAATTATTTATAACTGTTATAAGCTCAGGAACGGCGGTTACTGGTTAACTTACCCTTTCTCCTCGGGCCGGCCCTCGATCCAGAGGAGGCGCCCGTCACCGGCGAGGGCGATCCCTCCCAGCCGCTTGTCGGCGCCGGAGACAACATCGGCGGTGATGGGCGACCTCCAGGATCCGTACGGCGCCGCCACGGGCTTCTCGCCGGTACCGCCACCGTCGGCGGCGGCAGCGGCGGGGGAGGCCGCGGTGGTGGAGGAGGAGGAGGAGGACATGCGGGGCGCCGACGCGAGCGGGCGGCGGAGGCGGATGCGGGGCAGCGCGCGGAGGAGGTGGGAGGCGGAGGCGGAGAGGCGTGCGGGTGAGATGGAGGCGAGAAGTGTCGCCATTTGTGAGGACTGCTTTTTATAAGAGGTTTTGTGGGGTTTTTGCGGTTTATAGAACAGTGGAGGATACGCTCCATTGTTCCACTCTAGCATTCGCAGCGAGATCCGCTATTGCGCTTTGTTAAATTTTTTTAGTTGTTCATTTTTATTGCGCTTTGTTAAATTTTCTTAGTTGTTCATTTTTAGTGCATTTGATCAATGCTACTCAATTTGTTTCTAAAGAAATATATCAACACAATGGATGCCTCGCTATCAACAATACATCACCTATCATCGAAAGAATAATATATTATAAATATAAGCATCTATGATAAGTCTAGAGCTTAATCCGAATAGATAGGTTGCACCATAAAAAACTACCAGCTACGCTCACTTCGCAATGTTACTCAACCATTACTCTGTTTCGAATCATATCATCCTACACAGAAGTACTTGAAATATGCTTCATGAAAACCCTTAACCCCAGCCAAAATAGCAAATAGGCGAAGGCCTCTTTCGGAATGCTGAAATTTTCCCCAATTCCTACTAGAATTATACCAAATTTCGTAAAAGTCATATAAAATTCCTGCAAATGTGCTACAATGTGAAAACGTGGGAGAAATTCTAGCTAACGGAAGCATTTATTCCATTATATTGACCAGAGTCGTATGCAAAGCTTCAAGAGATTATTTCAAACTACAGCTAGGACAGCGTTGCTCCAGAGTTCCCTCGAGTTGTTCCCAGAAGTTGATTAGGTGACGAATAACTTCTTAACGCTTACAAGGAGGGTTCATCAAAATTGTCGATCTTGATTGGAGTGATGCCATCAGCCACCTTGAAGTGCCCCACTAATCTAGCGAAGAACACCATCTGCTGCTCCAAGGTAAACTTGATGTTCTCGGCCTGCTCCAGAAATGCAAGTCAGATATGTGCCTATGTAAAATTGTCTATTTACTGGTCTAAAAGTTTCATATACTGAAAAATAATATATACAGTTAGCCTTCAATCCTTCATGGTAAAAAAAAAAAAAACAATTCGGTAGGAAATACTCAACCTGATACATTACTAACTAATATATAAGTTTGGTGTTGCAAAGATAAAGACAAGAGGTACTCGTCAGACCTTGCGGAAACCATGTTGTTCCCCTTCATACTCGACCAAAGCAACAGGAAGGCCTTTGTCCTTTATGGCCTTATATATCGTCGTTGCCTGAACTGGTGACACAACCTGAAGATCATCAAAGAGGTGAAAAGCTGGTAAGGAGAAACAGAATGTGGGAAATGCACCCGCTGCTAAGTCACTCTTAGCCGATTTTCGTTCCCTCTGTTCTGGGTTAACAGATTACATTTGATTTATCGATAGGTAACTCTATCTGTAAGTGCACTTCCTAGCCATATACATATTGATCATGGGACACGAGGACTAAAGTGCATCAGTGATAATTAAATACCCTTCATTTTTGTTTATATGATGTTATTGCTTTTTGTAACTTTGTACTAGTACAGACCGATTATATTATAATGATTTGGAAGTTTCTTTAAAGACAAATCAGCCAAATAGGTTTCATACTGAATAATTATAGATAGCTTTGAATATACTGGTAGTAAAAAATTAGAACTCATAACTGCATTCAAACAAAAATGACCCGAGGGAGAAGTTCAGATCTTATAGCTTTACCGTGTCTTCCAATCCTTGAAACAATATAATTGGACATGAAAATCTATCAACGAAGTTTATCGGTGATCTCTCAAAGTAAGCCTTTCTATTCCCTGGAATATTGAAGGTATGGCAAGTAATGTTGTTAACCAAACCCTGAGCATATACATACGCCTATTTTCCAGCATAGATGAGTGCAAAATTCCTTACCAACAAGGTTGTCAATGTAGTATGCCTCAAACTTGTGCATGCCTGCCCTCAACGAAGCTAAGTCAGCAATCTGCTTTGGACCGAAGCATAACACCAGATGCATCAAAATCTCAGCAGATAGATAGTTTCAGCAAAAGAGAGAATTTATGGAAATCTGAGACTTGCCCCATATAAAGAAGAACCAGCCTTGAATATCTGTCTAAAAGCAAGGCAAGCTAAAGTTGTGAATCCACCAGCAGATTCTCCTGTTACACAAAGCCGTTGCGCATCTACTCTTCCAGTTTCCACCTTAATAATCAGAATGACACTAGCATAAATGCTTACAACCTCCACACGAAAATATGAAAAAGGTCTGTGTCTGATAAGATATACCAAAAATGTAGCACAACTGCAGCAATCATTTACATCAACGACGCCCCACTGCCCTAAAAGCCTCTCCCGAAATTTTCTCCCATAGCCTTTAAGACCGTGAAGAAATATCAAGAAACTAGTCCGTATCAAACACCAAAATCTTTGATGCTAAACAGATAGTATATGTAAATAAGAGCATTGTAATTCGTCAGAAAAAATAATTCATACATCAAACATCCAAATAAAACAAATGCAAGTTCTTTATCAGATATATTAGAGTCAAGAAAGAGCTGAAGACCTGTGCTTCCCCCATAGTTAACATCAACAAATGCCCATCCTCGGCTTGTCCAGTACTGAACACCAAGATCCAGAACTCCACGTGCTTCATCTGTAGGTCCACCTAAAGAATTGCAACAATGTCAATACGAGTTTCCATTTCCTTTCTTTAAAAAAAAGTACATTTCCTTATTTTAATGTTCTGCTTTCCCTTAGCAATTCAAAAGGCTTGTCAGTCAAGTCAGTCAGGACTTAGGACCAATGAGAGCTCTGTGATCTTTTATCATCACTACAAAACATTCTTCAAACAAAAACAACTGAAATAAAAGAGAAACAAAGTGCTGCTCTATATCACTAACAAAATTGAATGAGAAAAACCAACATCATGTTTCCTAATAACTTCTGCTACAAGTGTGACCAGTAAAGACAAAAAGAATAAAATAGGCTATTGAAGTCAACGAAATATCATATAACTAATTACCATGGGTTCTGACCAATAACGGAGGTTTCTCATCTGACGACCCTTGGAAAATATGATTGTGCGGGGCATAGAAATAAGCATAAGCCTTCTGGCCGGGGACTACAGTTGGAAACTCCATAAATTCAGGCAAACTAAAGTAGGACGCATATTGCATAACATCCTCTGAAGAGGACCAGACTATAGAGAAATTAGTTGCTGTTTTTCTCTTTTCATCCAGTGTCACCTGGTGCAAAAACAGAGGTCAAAGGGTTGCACTATATTGAAGGAATTCAGTTTGAATAGTTGGCATGTGACAACCAATAAGGTAGTCGAATGAACCTTAGCAATCGACACTGGAAGAGTAGCAGATGCACCCTCAACATAGAAGAACCCATCCCCAGAAACCTAGAAAATCAGGAGGATTTGAGTTAAAAGCATCAGCATTCCAACAAATTTAAGGCACTGACGAGTGAGATCCAAATGTTATAACCAGCAAACTACAATTAGTTCTGAAGTTGACTCATCGCATTTCATACACATACTATGTTAGTTACAGAAGAGAAGGGAATGTCCAGTTCTGAAAAAGACCCTGAATCATGGTCTAGCACTCCAGCACATGACCTTCCATTCTGCCTGGATAAGATTCAAAGTTATGAATTACACACAGTAAACCAACACTTGAGTATGGGAAAACATGAAAAAACCTGTAACAGCAAACGATTTTGTTACTCGTGTCATCTTTTCCAAGGAAACCATAGGAGCTGACACCAAAAATCCACATTGGCTTTGAGAATTCAGCATCAAGTGAATACAGTTGCACTATCAAATTGCTCTCCTCATCCTGTTGTAAATGAATAGCACGTAAATGCCAAGTAAGAGGACAAATCGCACTATTTTCAGTATCTTTAGCAACATAATTTTAGCCATCATGGTTAGGATGGACTCTTTTCTTTTTGTTTTTAGTGATGATAAATGTTTCCCTCATTCTAAAAAATTAGCAGTTAGTGGTAGGATATCAACATGAATATTACGCTGCCCCATATAATGGAGACGCCAACATAATATCTCAATAATAAAATGGTTTATCACAAGTTCACAACTCTTCCTACTGAAAGAAGCATATCAAATATAAACAGAATATAACTTCTTGTATGAGAAATTAGACTGGGAAGTAGGCACAAGTAATAAAGACAGAACACATTAGCGCTGAGAGGGTTGCAGCGGATATAAGGTCCGGTATGCACCACACCATACTTCAATCAAGTAGTTTGCAAAATCAGATCAACGGGCAACTGAATAAAAATAATTAGTTCAGGGAAGATCATACCCATTTATAAATATTCCAAAACCCACTCTCTCGGTCAGTTATGAAGAACAGCTCCCCTGAAGAAAATTGATTGAATTAAGTGATATTTTGGAAATATATTTGCACCTATCTTTTGGAGAAATGAAAACCTACAGAATGATTCTGACATGCCAAAGATTCATAATCCATGCAGAGAAGAATGGTATAGCTACAAGGATGAAAGAGCATGTCTTGAACACATAAAAAACTTAAAATAATATAAACTGGGTATGAAAATGCTAACACCTTTTGAAGTCCACTTGGGTTCAGTAGGAGATTCTACTAACGTTGGGTCACCACCAGCAATGCAAATCTTGTTGTGTACCTCTCTGCATGTTATGAATACGTAATAAATATGTAGGCTTGGAATATATCATTCAACATTCGCACGTCAACAAGCAACCCAAACATAGTTTATTTTAGGAAAAAGGATGGAATAATGAATATATCTTATTGAATTGACTATTTGCCGTGAACTAGAGACTACAAGATCAGTGTGTTCTCAAATATGGACTAGTGCAGTAATGCTGAAGATTAGTAATATGCACAACTCCATGTTCCTTCACATGAATACAAAGATAAAGATCTAAAATATCATTCAGTATTTTCAAAGCAAAAAAGGTAATCCAGTAGTAGATAGAGTAGTACCTCTTTCTTTATGAAAACTAGTTGAGAACAGAAAGCATGCAAGTAAGAAATTACCCTTTCTCAGAGAAATATCCAACCCATAATTGCGCTTTATCCCATGACATGTTTGGGTTACTCCATTCAATCCATGCCATACGCCTTTTAATTGGATCAATGCGTGGAAAAGCATAAAAATCGTTGCCACTGACCAGCACAGTTGGTTCTGAGCAAAAACAAAAAGGTTGAGAAGTTTCAATAAAAAGTTAGTGTAACAGGTATAGTTCAAAAGAAGCTTACCATTAGCATCTCTGTCACTTATTGTTACAGCAGCAATTGTTGTCACGGGATTTGAGCTATCCTTTCGGTGATCTGAGTTTAAATTGGAACTTCCTTAAAAAGGTAACAATGGAAAGCATACCTACTAGAATGCTAAATGTGAAATAAAATACTAATAACCTTCCATTATAGTTACATAACGACAGAAGTGAGGATCAAAGACACCATCCGCGTAACGGAGCACTGATCCAGTGTAATCTGGGGTCAGAGGTTGTGCTGAGTTATCTGAAATCAACAAGGAAAAGATTTTTGAAATATATTAGTTACCAGATACTCTTTGAAGGAGCACTCCATATGGCGCCTTTTTTTAGCAATGATGACTAGTGACTTAAAGACTAAAAAGATACATCGAATAAACCTTTTGAAAATCAAAGCGGCATTACTATTCAAAGAAAAAAAAATAAAGATAGGCTAGTTTCTTCTCATTTTCTTTTCTCTAAAGCATGGAGATCTCAATTATGTAAACAATTTGCCCATGCATTTGGTCATCTGGGTCCCAATTTCCATGATGCATCCCAAATTAATGGCAGACGAAAGCTTAACTACATTTCAACTAAATTTTCAGCGGTGCCTCACGAATTGCAGACATTAGACCTGCTCAGGTTTTCCACTCAATCGTACCATTTCTGATCCATTTTCCTCAAAGCTACTACCCCTCTGTCTCAAAATATAGCAACCTAGCGTTGGATAGGATATAACATAGTAAATCTGGACAAAGCCAGTATTAGGTTGATATATTTTGAGACGGAGGTAGTCCATCATAGGCTGCGTGGGCAATGTACCAACCTACAAGGCTACAACTGAGAACCGGTGCAGTCCTTGTGAAACAGCAGAAGAACAGCAACTGCACCAGACCTGGTCCGTTGACTTCCATTCGAAGGCCTAAGACTTGGTGCAATGCGAGCTCGAGTAGTCGAGTTCACCAACTATTATCCACAGTAAAGAGTACGGTATGCTGCAATGGCGCGGCTTGTTCGGTGTACCTCCAATGGTCTGCTTGTAAAGGCGCTGGTCGCTGTAGTTGGAGAAGACCACCACATCCCCTTGCACCGCGAACGCCCCGCCGCCGTACTCCTGCGCCAGGGACCTCACCGCGAACCCCTCCGGCGTCACATCCACGGCATCGCCGCCCGGCTCCGCCGCTTCCTTCACTAGGACCGCTCGTCTGAAGAAGAAGAAAAAATGCAGCATCAGGAGAGCAATCTGACCACGCGAGAAGGGGGTGGATGGCGTCGGCGCGCGTCGCGTACCCTCCCTCCTCGGGGCGCGTCTCGACCCAGAGGAGTCGGCCGTCGCCGGCGACGGCGAGCCCCTCGACGGTCCTCCCGGCGGCGGAGACGGCGGCGGCGCTGATCGGCGACTCCCATGACCCGTACGGCGCCACCACCGCCTTCTCGGCCGCGGCGGAAGCCTGCGAGTGCATCGCGACAGGGCGTGCGTGCGCGCGCGTGGCGGCTGCCGGGAGTTGCGGGGTGGAGGAGAGCAGAGGTGAGGTGAGCGGCGTTGCTGTCAAGACCGCGGGTAAACTCCACTACTCTTCTAGTCTTCTGTACCTCACCGCCACCGGCTCATCGGTCCAACTCGGGTATCATTAAGAACTTAAGAATGAATAGGATACTGATAAATTTCTGTATTACTAGAACAGTACTTCGGTAACAACGACTCCTATCGGATGGCCTAATAAGAAAAAAAAAGGCAAATTTTGAATTTTCAAACTTAATTTTGAGATTATTTTAAGATATTTTCAACGTGATTTCTTTTTAAGCATTGGCTTTTAAGTCACCGAGAACACGTATATAAAAGTTTTACCTACAAATACAATTTTATTCACTAATAAGCCGTTTTGGCTTATTAAAAAAAAAGCGAAACGATGGAGGCCACGCTAGGCCTCCTCGATTGGGAATTTGGGATCCAGTGAAGTTAGAGAAGCTCGGTGGTACGACTTTGAGGTATTCTCAGCCGTCCGATCGACAGCGAACGGACAAGACTAATCTCTACAGTGCACCATAAACAGTATATTGACAGTATACTTAGGCCCTCTTTATTTAGGCTTATAAGCCAACTTATAAGTTGAAAAGTCTAAGCCAAAACAAACAAGCAGCTTTTTTATTTGGCTTTTTTAAGCCATAAGCCACTATAACACTATTAAGCCAAAAGCTAGGTTGGAGAAGCTTTTTTAGCTTATATGAGATAGATGTATGACTCCACCACTAAACTTAGGACATTAAATCCATTGGCTTATAAATCATATAAGCCAATAAGCTGACTTAAAAGTCTAGGCCGATAAGCCTAAGCCTAAACAAAGAGGGCCTTAACACTTTCTACAGTAAAAACTGCATATCACTGTTCTTAACGAGAAAGCGGACAATATGCCACTCTATAGGTTGTGTTAAGATAAAATGCCACTCAATACAATGCACCAGATAAAATGCCACCCAATACGTTGCCTACCGGATGAAATGCCACTTTAAAGATTTTTGTGCCCAAAATGTCCCTGAGAGAGAGGAAGAGGGGAGCGCTGGGGAGGGCTGGACGGGGAGGGGAGAGGGGAGCGCCGGGGAGCACTGCGGAGCCCTCGCCGCCTAGGCACTGCTGCTCGCCGCGCCGTCCTCCTCCCCCTGCCCCCGCCGTTGCCGCTTCCCGGCGAACACGCAGGTAAGCGTGCACGCTGCCCCGTCCTCCTTCCCCGCACCGTCGCCTCCTCCTCCCTCTGCCGCATTGTCCTCACCGCCGCTCGCCCGCCGCCCTATCCTCCTCTCCCGTCGTCCCTGCCGGCCGGCGCCGCCACCACCCGGTGAGGCCTCCAATGCCGCCTGCCCGGCCCTCCCCGGCGCTTCGCTCTCCTTCTCTCTCTCTTATATATATAGGGACATTTTGGGCACAAAAATCTCCAAAGTGTCATTTCATCTGGTAGGCAACATATTGAGTGGTGTTTTATCTAGTGCATTGTATTAAGTGGCATTTCATCTGAACCCAATCTATTAAGTGTACATTGTCCGTTTTCTCGTTCTTAACTACGGCACTAGACTCATTTTACTGTGCACCTTTGCCGTTTGCTCCTAAAGTCAGAGGAGCCGAATCCAGGCCTGCTCAGCACAACTTTGATTTACTAGAGTACCTCTATTTTTTTTTTAACTATGGCTATGCAAACGAGACTTAAGCTAAGACTTTGCTTGAGAGCCCGTTCAGCTTTTATAATTCTCTCGTTTATCATGAGCACGTCTTTCAAACTTTCTAATCGATAAAGATTTTGAAACGCTAGTACATTTGAAACTAAAACATTTCAAATAAAGGATGGACAGAACGAGAAGAAGATTAATTCTAGGATGGGAAGACCAAAGACCAAAGGCATGTTCTCCATTTCACAATGTAAAACTTCGTAGAATTGGCCACATTCATATACTACCTCCATATTTTAATGTATGACACCGTTGACTTTTTTTTAACGTTTGACCGTTCGTCTTATTCAAAAGTTTTATATAATTATCATTTATTTTATTGTGACTTGATTCATCATCAAATGTTTTCTAAGCATAACATAAACATTTTCATATTTTCACAAAAAAATTGAATAAAACAAATGGTCAAACATTGCTCAAAAAGTCAACGTCGTCATACATTAAAATACGGAGGGAGAGTACATATTAATGAGCTAGAAAGTCTTGCAATTTGAAACGCAGGGAGTAGCAAACTTTCGCATAATAGAAGTGTCCATAAAACAAAATCATTGTTCATATAACTCGTGTTTTATTCCAGTAAATATATACACGCATGATGCATGTCTTGATGTCTTCTCACACTAAACATAAACAATAGTACAAGAGTACATAAATCACTTAAAGAAAATGTAGCGGTAAATAGTGAAATCGATAGCACGGGTGCCTGCATTATTGATTATTGATGCCGATCGATTTGAAGAGTTGCATGACTGGTTTTAAGCAGAAGGAGCATTAGAGTCATCGTCGTCGTCATGGTGATGCTCGTCAAGGAAAGGATAGTCGGTGTACCCAACCACAGGATCCTGCGTGTAGAAGGTGTTGCGATCGTAGTTATTCATGGGCGCATCGAGCTCGAACCTCTTGGGCAGATCAGGATTCGCCAAGAAGAGCCTCCCATAGGCGACGAGGTCGGCATAGCCATCGGCAACCGCCTTGTTCCCTTCTTCCCGGTCGTACCCTCCGGCGGCGATGAACGTGCCATTGAACTGCTTCCTGAAGGGCAAGAGGCCGTGCTGAATTTGCCGGCGGCCGTCGACGATGGCCATGCGAGGCTCCACCATGTGGCAGTAGAGGAAATCCTCGTGCTTGTTCAGCTGCTCCACCATGTACGAGCCGAGTGCCTCCGGGTCGGAGTCGACGCAGTCCATGTAGTCCAGGAACGGCGACAGCCTGATGCCGACGCTGTGGGCGCCGATCTCGCCGACGACGGCGTCGATCACCTCGACGGCGAAGCGGCACCGGTTCTCGAGGCTGCCGCCGTACTCGTCGGTGCGGTCGTTGGAGCTGTCCTTCATGAATTGCTCGAGGAGGTAGCCGTTCGCGCCGTGGATCTCAACACCGTCGAACCCGGCCTCGACTGCGTTCCTGGCAGCGAGCCTGAAATCGTCGACGATTTGCGGGATCTCGTCTGTCCGAAGCCGTCGCGGCTTGGAGTACACCATCCCATAGCCGTCCGGTGTGATCGCCTTGTCGGTGCTTGAGATGGGAGCCAATCCGTCAGGCTGGAAACCTGTAGCAGAGCATGCAGGATGAGAAACACACGGCAAATTCGGATGTGGATTTTCATCCAGCGACATCCCTCGTTATTCGCATGTCTTCTAAATAGTTATCAAATTTTTTTAAAAAAATTGACAACATAGATTAATACGAAATATATCACTCCACAAACATGCAAAACCAAATTCAACTTCTATAAGTTGCAACAAAAATAACAAATTAAACTGAAAATAGTTAATGCACATTCACAACTATATTTGTTATTTTTGTTACAACTTGTAGAAGTTGACCTTAAACTTGCATGTTTGTGGAGTGATATATTTCGTATTAATCTATGTTGCCAATTTTTTTTATAATTTTTTATAACTATTTAGGTGACATGCACGAAACGAGGGGATATCCCCTCGAGGGATGATTTCACTTTCCCGGCAAATTCATCAACAAGAATGTACATATTTCGTGGTGCACGTACCGTTGTTGGAGACTCTTCCGACGTGCCAGAGCTGGCAGATGAAGAGGGCGCCCTTGCGGTGGACGGCGTCGACGATGGGCTTCCACGCCTCGACGTGCTCCCGCGTCCGGACGCCGGGTGTCTCCGGGTAGCCCTGCGCGGTGGCGGAGACGCCGGTGGCCTCCGTGATGAGGAGGCCGCCGCGGGTGGCGCGCTGCGTGTAGTACAGCGCCGCGTGCGGCTGCGGCACGTTGCCGTAGGATCGGCACCGCGTCATCGGCGCGAGCAGCACACGGTGGGAGAGGTCAAGCTTCGACCCCGGGCGCCCAGCCTGCTTGTACGGTGTCAGCAGCGGGATAGCCTGATGATCGTCGTTCGCCGCCGCTTGATGATGCTGCACCATCTTGTCTCGGTTGATTGGTGATTGCTCTGCTTGGATGATGTATGTATCAATCGGCGATGGAAAACTAACAAATGCGATGCGATGATCTAGCTAGGCTAGCTCTTTGCTCTGTTCTTGCTAAACGCTTTGGCTGTGTGCCGAATGGGGTTGGAGTTTGGTTGTATTTATAGGTGTCGGAGTGGACCCTCGCGCGTGGCGACGGCGGTTTTCTCCATTGACCGGCAGAGTACGCTAATATTTTCGATCTGCAAAATCGCGCTGCGCTGCTGGCTCCATATAGATCGTTGACTCTTCCTCCGTACCAACCATGCCATATCGTGATTTCGTCAGCCTTGCGTCGTGAACTTGGTCTGCGTAACAGGCAGCAGCCCTGTTGTCTGCGTATCAGGACATGTTTCGTTTGCATGACGAGCATATTACACATGTCTGTGGTCATGGAGATATATATGGTCGATCATCAGCATGAACAACAGATGACGCAGGTACACCATATACCTATATTTGTGCTCGGCCAACTTCATTTCTTAAGCACCTAAGATGACATTACAAATCAAAATTTGCACCAGAGTAACAACACAAGCAAACAAAAATCACACCATAAAGTCGTAAACTACCAAACTGCTTTGTTCGTTGATTTTGGATGATAAATTAGATAATTTTGTGATTACTGATATATTTGGGTTCTAAGTCCATAATTGTGCAATAACATAGCTTGAATCTATAAATTTGTAATTTCGGGATTGTAGTTTAAATGCTAACGTCTTATAAAACATAATTTGAAAGTGAATAACTTCAGCTATACAAATTGTAGGGAATAAAAATGTTTGACCAACTTTTTGAATCTAAAATTAAACATTTGAACTGAATTGCAGTGAAATTTGATGAAAATTCAAAGGGGAAATTACAAAATCACATTTTTCTCTATTTTTCTCCCCTAAAAAAAATGAAATGTTATATTTTAAAAATTAACCACAACCAAATTTGGAAATATTTCCATGGAGGGGTAGGGGGGGTTGAAATTACCTTTAATATTTTGAAAATTCTAAGTATTTTTTATTTCATTTTTTTGATCAAATCATCATGTCCACTCCGATTTTTAGAGTCAAAACTGTTTTTACCTTGAGATCTATATTTTTAAAATGTAGAAACAAGAGGCAATATAGTTATTCCCTCCGTCCCAAAATATAGCAACTTTTGGCTATGAATCTGGACGCATAGTTGTCCAGATTTATAGCTAAAAATACTTATATTTTGGGATGGAGGTAGTATTTGTGAAAAATCTCGTGGTCAATTAACAGATTGAGTATAAAAAAGAACAAAACAACTTAAGGGTATAAAGGAAACATGGCTAAATTTAGGGGTATGGGAATGATGGAGCAAATACTCAATGACACACAAGAATTTTTTTTTATATGAGGATCATCGCAATGATATCTTTACTCCTTTATAAACATCAAAACATAAGTCTGCCTCACCGCCACAATCACTAATATTTGGGCCTCACAAAGTGGGCCCCACATAGCTAGTTCTTATGAAAATCGATGACCTCTTTCTTTCTTATACCCCTCCAGTTGGATTTTTTTACTGTACCCTCGGGTAAATATGGATCATCCATTCGTTGCATCCAGCGGATCATATCCGCCACTACTACACTGAGTATTATGGATAGTATTATTTCTCCAAGGGTAGATTTGGAAAATTTTGCATGGTAAAGAAGTAATTTCGCATGTGTTAATTACCGGTTAATTTTTTTTTCTAATCTACTCTATTTTTTACGCCATCTCTTGGTTTTCTCAGACTGTAGGTGGGCCTGTCCTAGTGATGAACGTGCAAGTGTTCATACGGGTTTTTTGTTTTTTTCTGTTGATTTTGTTGCTTCTAATCCGGAGAGAAGGACGGTTCGCCGATCCCTAATTGCATGAATGCAAACATGGTTGGAATGCATCGCTGCTCTTTCTTCAAATTAGTATATGCATATACACATGTGCCCGTCTAAATTGATGGAGGATTCCTAAAAATAAATTGATCGAGCATTACTCCTGTTCAAGACGCCAGTGAGAAGGTTAAGACGCCGGTGAGAAGTTATATGAACCGGCGATGAAGCAGCCGGCGTCGCGGCGACCTTGCCATGATCCGTCGATTAGGATAATTGCAGCGCCAAGATTACGAGCAATACCCTTCTATAATTGAAATTAGAGTTGAAAGTCAAAAATACCCTAAGCATTTTTAAAAGCCCTAAAATACCCAAACAAATGAAGGGTCGGATTTAGTTTCTACTACACTACTACCACCGGTAGTAAAATGTACTGTAAAAGGCCCCCTCCAGTTTTGTATTCTCTCTCTCTCTCTCCCCTTTATCTTCCATTCTATAATTTGGACCTGATAAGCAAAAGGAAAAAGTACGAATTACCCCCCTAAACACGAAAACCAAATATTTTTCACCTTTAACTATCGATACCGGATGAAACTCCCCCTCCCCCGAGCAGTTTTGCAAGCGGTTTTGGTCTACGTGGCAGTCCAGTCAGCAATTCATTTTTTTAATCAGCGGGCCCCACCTGTCTGTCTCCCACACTCTCTTTTTTCCACTCACCTCTCTGGCTGTGTTCGGTTCAAGGGGTTCCCAACCCCTTTTTCTCGTTTTCCGTGCACACGCTTTTCAAACTGCTAAACGGTGCGTTTTTTACAAAAAGTTTCTATATAAAAGTTACTTAAAAAGATCATATTGATCCATTTTTGAAAAAAAACAAATATTTAATTAATTACGCGCTAATGGACTGCTCCATTTTCCATGCCGGAGGGTAACGTTCCCAACCCAATGTAACGAACGTAGCCTCTATCTCTCTCCAAAATCCACTCTCTTCTCCCTCCCTCACCACGAGGACGGCGGGCGGAGCTTCGGGTGACGGGAGGAGGGGGCAGCGGAGCTCGAGGCGGTGGGAGGAGGAGGTGGTGGGAGGAGCGGACAACGAAGGGCGGTGCTTGGGGTAGCGGAGGGGCACCCGCAGCTAGCGGTGCTCAGGGAGATGAAGGGGGCGATGGAGCGAGCTGAGGACGACGGCGGGCCGAGCTTGGGGCCAAGGGGGCGACGGAGCTTGGGGCGGTGAAGGGGCGCTCGTAGCCGCCGGCGCGCGGCTCGTTGAGGCAGCGGAGGGGATGCCCGCAGCCAGCGGTGCTCGGGGAGGTGGAGGGGGCGGCGAAGTGATCCAAGGATGGTGGTGGGAGAAGTTCGGGCGGCGAAGGAAGCACCCGCAGCCATCGCCGCGCGGCTCGTCGAGGCGACAAAGGGGGCGTCCGCTGCCGTCGGCGCTCGAGCCACAACTGCTGGCATTTGAGAGAGAGAGAGGGTGGGTGAGAGGGGAAGACATGGAGTGGAGAGATATCCGACAGGTAGGGCCCATTGTTTCTTTAATAAAAAAATTACTGACTAGACTGCTACATAGACCAAAACCGCTTACAAAGCTGGTCGGGGTTTTTTTTATATGGTATCGATAGTTGAGGGGTGAAAAATATCTGGTTTCGGGTTTAGGGGGATAATTCGTACTCACCTGATAGTTGGGGAGGGATTCGTACTTTTTCCTAAGCAAAAATATATGATACAATTGCTGGGGCAAGAAGAAAACATAGAAGCTCTAAAAAATATACATATATGATGGACAACATTAATAAAACCATAAAAGGCAATCTGATGTTAAATGATAAGAACTTCTCAAATGATTTAATCATGAGCATGTCTTCTTTTCATCTCGACCAGAGAGCACATACACCCTCTAAAATATTTCAACAGAAGCCCATAATATCATCTATAAAGAGGCCCATAATTGTATAATTTTTTTGTGTGCATGTATGCTAAAGTGTCTTAAGGGCTTGCCCAAAAATAATTCGTACGATCGGCATTGTCAGTTTAGGTTTTAGAGGATGGATTTCTAGCCATTATCAAAAATAAAAGTTAAGGTATTTAATTTGGAATTGTGACAAAAAAAAATTTGCACAAGTGATGGAAACCATTGTTTGGAATTAATTTGGATTTATATGCTAAGTAAATTCAAAGAGAGAAAAGTTTTTTTTAACAAGATAATTCAAAAGGGACCCATGCTGGGATGTAAAAAAAAGGACAGCACATCAACTTATAAAATTACAAAAGAACACATATATTTCTCATGTGGTGTGAATACATCTGCGTTTATTAATCCCAATATATTTGGATGCATAACTAATCAAATATCAAAATGAATTAGTTGCAGACATAAACCATCAAAAAAGAGAGAAGAAAATGACATCTTGCACGCAGGCATATACTAACACTGTTTACATGAATCGTGCACATTATTATTGTGGATATATAGAACCAACAACTAAAATAGCACAAAATCTAAGCATCAGCAACCGAGTTGTTCTGATCCTCATCGAGGAAAGGGTAGTCCGTGTATCCAACAATTGGGTCTTGAGTGTAGAAGGTGTTGCGATCATACTTGTTCAATGGCGCATCAAGCTCGAACCTCTTAGGCAAGTCAGGGTTCGCCAAGAAAAGCCTTCCAAAGGAGACAAGATCAGTGTAGCCATTTTCGATCACCTTGTTGCCTTCCTCCCGGTCATACCCACCGGCGGCGATGAACGTGCCCTTGAAAGCTTTCCTGAATGGCAGCAGGCCGTGCTGAATCTGCCGGCGGCCGTCGACGATGGCCATGCGAGGCTCCACCATGTGGCAGTAGAGGAAACCCTCGTGCTTGTTGAGCTGCTCCACCATGTACGAGCCGAGAGCCTCCGGGTCGGAGTCGACGCAGTCCATGAAGTCCAGGAACGGCGACAGCCTGATGCCGACGCGGTGGGCGCCGATCTCGCCGACGACGGCGTCGATCACCTCGACGGCGAAGCGGCACCGGTTCTCGAGGCTGCCGCCGTACTCGTCGGTGCGGTCGTTGGAGCTGTCCTTCATGAACTGCTCGAGGAGGTAGCCGTTGGCGCCGTGGATCTCCACGCCGTCGAACCCGGCCTCGATGGCGTTCCGCGCGGCGAGCCTGAAGTCGTCGACGATCTGAGGGATCTCGTCGACCCGCAGCCGGCGAGGCTTGGAGTACACGATCCCTGAACCGTCCGGTGTGATCTGTATGTCGGAGCTTGAGATCGGTGCCTGCCCATTTGGCTGGTAGTCTGTTTTGCAAAGTAAATTCAAGAGCAGAATTAGAACACTATCGACTAATGATGATCGTTACTAAATTACATGGTAATGCTAAGAAATTAATTTATGAACACGAACATAAAACATTCATGCGCGTTTGACGAGTGTTTACCGTTGGTGGAGACTCTCCCGACGTGCCAGAGCTGGCAGATGAAGAGGGCGCCCTTGCGGTGGACGGCGTCGACGATGGGCTTCCACGCCTCGACGTGCTCCCGCGTCCAGACGCCGGGTGTCTCCGGGTAGCCCTGCGCGGTGTCGGAGACGCCGGTGGCCTCCGTGATGAGGAGGCCGCCGCTGGTGGCGCGCTGCGTGTAGTACAGCGCCGCGTGCGGCTGCGGCACGTTGCCGTAGGATCGGCACCGCGTCATCGGCGAGAGCAGCACACGGTGGGAGAGATCGATCTTGCCGCCAGCCTGCTTGTACGGTGTCAGCAGCGGCATCGCGGCTTGGTTGACCATCTCGCCTCGGCCTTTCTCAACGCTTCTGCCTCTCTCTTGCTTGCTTCTGAACTTTGCTCTGCTTGACTTCTTGATGAACGCTTTTGGTTGTGATGAACTGCATTTAGTCGGGAGTTCTATTTATAGGTGTCCGTGCTTGAAGTGGGACCGGCGGCTCGGCGCACTTTGTCATTGACCAATCATGCAACCAATCATCCATGTGCATGCAGAGTTTCCCATTTTCAATGGTTCCCTGCACGATATTTCTGACCCCGTTCTCATGTCACTTTCTTCGTCTCACGTAGCAGCCACTGTCTCTCTGACGAATGGAAATACGTCTATTATTACTTTATCGACTATTACCATATCCAGAGGCGTTTCTTTTTTGTTTTCATATAATAACAAACAATACACGAGGTGTGGTTTGAGGAGTCTCCAGCAGCATGACCAAGCAATGACGCGAGCATAAGAAAGGTGCGTGAGTGATCAACAGCTGATCATAGAGATTCTGATTGTCAAACATCCCCCACTGTGGCGGTTTGTAATTTATTTGTATCAATCGTGCGCCAAGTGTTTTATTGATAACCATTTTAATTTGCTGCAAAAGCTACGGGTATGGATTATGTATGCGCTTTGGTCAGTGGGGTGAATATCGCGCGCACACACGTACCAGCTGATCAACTGAAGTAATCAGATCGATGGTACTCGTAGTTTACTCGAATGACTGATGCTGGTTATTAGGAACTTACTCCGTTTCACAATGTAAATCATTCTAACATTTTTTATATTTATATTGATGGTAATGAATCTAGATAATGAATCTAGACATATCTATCTAGATTCATTACCATCAATATAAATGTGGAAATGCTAAAATAACTTATATTGTGAAACGAAGAAAGTATGAATTTTTCTACATAATAAATATGATTTCCATCGTCAGCCTCTCCTATTAATCACACATAGAAAATGTTCTAATTCAAATATGAAAAAAAAGGTTGGGACAAACCCCTAATCCTATATATCTATAAAATTCATCCCCACTAAGATGTAATTAATGCTAATTCTCTCTTCTCTCATGAAGCCACATCATCTCAATTATTTTTAGTCTTTGGATGGTTCATTAAAGATGTAAATTGCATCTCTCCTCCCAAAAGACACACCATACAACAAAAATCATTTATAACCTTAGCTAAAATTGATGAAGATACAAAAATACATAAACACATGAAATAAATGGTTTAATAGGTAAGAAAGAAAATTTTAGAACTCATATCTACTATATTATCACAAAATTCTCCCGTAGCAACGCACGGGGTACCCATCTAGTTTACTTTAATTTGTGACCAGCTAACTTAAAAAAAGATCCCTTTGTTACATAATATAAGGATTTGTAGGGTTGGACACGGTATTAAAAAAGTGGTTATAATTGTTATGATTGGTTGAAAAGTGATGGTAGGTGAGGAAATTGAATGGTGGGGGATTGTATTTGATTGAAAAGAAAATGTTGGTGGTGAAGTTATTATATTTTGAAACAAACTTTAAAGGCCAGGAGTTGTTATATTTTAGAACAGATTGAGTATATAAGTTATGTTGCATCATTCTATAGGTGCTAGATCACCTAAAGTAAAATAAATAACCCTCAGCTCGATACTAGCTTCAAAATAAATAAGATTACCATAGTTTGTGGTGTTATGTTTTTTCTTTGAAACAGAGAGCTATTTTCAAGTTACTCTTCTAGAGCAATCTTAACAAACCATTTCTCTGTTGCACATTAGAAATGTTCCCTGCTATCTATAATTCGTAATTGGTAGTATTACGAGAGAAAGTTGGACAACAGTTAATCTCATTTTCTTTGTAGAAGGCAAGCCTGCTTAATTAAGTGCTTATCCGGATAGCTTAACTAAATGTGGGAGCTGACAAAACAGTGGAGCCAACTTTAACAAAGGGGGCGGATCACAGGTCCTCGAGGAAGCATCGTACTCCTCGTGTTCAGATTCGTTGTACTATATAACGTTACATCCACATCAAGGCTGATTTTTTTGGATGGAAGGAGTAGAAGATAGGCATCATAACTTTTTTAGAAGGATATTTTACCCGGACTCTGTATCCAACCGGATATATGTATTTTTTTAAAAAAATTAGGAACTGAGAGAGTAGAAGATAGGCAGCGTAACTTTTCTTTTTGAGAAGGGCATTTTACCCGGCCTCTATATCTAACCGGATATATGTATTTTTTTTAAAAAAAATCAGGAACTTAGCTTATCGAACAGAAAATTAGCCATCAAATAATTTAATTTAAAATTCGCTCCTATAAATATTTGAACTCAGGACCTTAGATACTACTCAGATCACTGCAACCACTAGATTACATGCCCTTTCACGGCAGCATAACTACTTAATATCTCCGGGGATTAAGAAAATCGATGTGCATGCAGCCCTGCCCAGATATATGTGGCGTTGAGCGCTGCTACGTCCTGCCATTGCCAACATCAGCGAATACGTTGGGTTCGGCCTACCTGTGTTGACGAACGGTGTCGCCTAATGCCTCGTGCTGGCTCACTGTGCAATTAAGACTTTCTCGCAGTCAATTATCCAATCCATAATGCGATTGTGACGATCGATCTCGCAGTGTACTTTTGTGGTATTAAGTTACATGCATCAATTAATTCAACACAGAAACTTTAGTAGATGTGAAACAATTTTGCTATATATTTGTCTATAAATTCTCCTCCAAAAATTTGACAAATGTAATTATAGTATAATCACAGTGTAATTACACTGTAACTTCTATGTAACTTTCAAAAATCTCTCCGTAACATGTTATTTCGGTAAAATGGAGGTCGTGGGAACAAATCCTTTCACATATATGTGTGCTATGATTTTTTTTTCTTCCTCGCTAGAACAAATCTTATAATAGATCTAACGATTCAAAATTACGTGAAAGTTACATGCAAGTTACAGTGTAATTACATGCAAGTTACAGTGTAATTACATACAAGTTACAGTGTAATTACATTATGATTGTACTATAATTACATCTGTCAAATTTTTAGGAGAAAATTTGTCGACAAATGTATAGGTGGTCCCGATGTGAAAAGATGGCTAATTCACTCACTTTATATTCCAATTAACACACTCCTTCATACATGGTCCCCTAAAACCTATAGCATGGAATAAAAGTGAACTACAATTTTATTTAATTACGTGTTAGCTAGAATATATATGAACTCTAAGATCTCTAGCTCAAATATCATATTGAGTTATACGCACCGATTATTTTAACTTAAAAGCTTAATCTAAGTCGATAACAAAAGACAATACACTCACTTAATATACTAACATGTAGGCTAGAATAAAAGTCATGCCGTCCTTAACCTCCGTAAGTTATGGATTCTCATCACACTCGTAGCCCTTTTTTTCTACTACTCTACTCTACATCGAAGGGTTTAAAATTGAGAAACTAGCCACCAAGTTAATCAAGCTATATAATTGAGAAACCATTTAGTAAACTGGCCAAGCTGAAAAGGATCGGAGGTAATTCAAACTTTTGGCAAAACTTATTTAAATTTTGCCAGTTTCTGTCGTCAAACCAACGGTAATCATGGTTATCGATGAGATCATTGGGGGAGCTGTATGCCTGGTGACTAAATGGTTTTTGCAAACCTTGCAACACAGTGCCGTTTACTCCAATATTAGTTGCTTTCATACTATATACCTATAAAATTCGTAAAGTTCATCCCCACTAAACGTAGTTAATATAAATTCTCTCTTCTATCATGAAGTCACATTATCTCAATTATTTTTAATCTTTGGATTATTCATCAAAGGTACAAATTGCACCTTTTATCCATAAAAGTCATACCATACAACTTAATCATTTATGGTCTTTGGATAATTGATCAAGATACAAGATACAACATATATAAGCACATGAAAGAAAACCGTATAGTGAGAAAGAAAAGAATACAACTCATATATATTTATTTCATTACAATTCTCTGACAACAACCTGTGGGGTATCCATCTAGTAATACTGGACACTTCACAACACGGTGATGTACATACAAATTTTAGTTTTGCCCTCTTTAATTTTTCCTGCTACATATTTGCTTGATATATCATAAAATTTAGGGAAAGGTCCAAGTATCTCCTTTTTAAAATATAAGTTTTATTTTGTTTGGTTAGGATAAGATTTCATTTACGTGAACTTATACAAAGCTTTGACCAACACTTTACTCTATTGGATATAGTTTTTATGACACAAAAATTTAAATTTATTATATCCGTATTAAAAATATACTCACTTATGATTATTCTTTTCCATGATATAATTGATATTCTATATAGGATAATTTTTTAAAGGTTATCCTAATGAAATAAAATATGTTTTAAATTTTAAAATAGAGGGGGTGGTGTATTAGTGTTGGTGCTCTTTGAAGAATAGTATACAACTGTTGATGCGGGCTAGAGAAGAAAAGAACATATTTTTTAAGCGGTATGGATATAATAGATTAATCTCGGGCTTATCTGATTTGGTGTCCTACCAAATCATTGGTAGTGTCTGTTATAAAACCAGCCCCGAAATCGACATCGGTAGCTAAACGCGGAAGAAAACGCCATAGGAGATCCAAAACGATAGCGACACTGAGACACGATATTTGGTAACGGAGTTCAGCCGTAGCCTACATCTCCGGGGCATTGATTACGGGCGCTCCTCCCCGATCCAGCATATACAACGTATCAGAGTTACAACGACTCACGGCCGGTCGCCGCCGGCAGCCGCTCCCTCACGCTATGCTAAGTCGCCATGCGGTTACAACAGGCACGCCCCTCTATTTATGAGAGATCCTAGGATAGAGTCCGACTCATACTCTAGTCCTAATACCTATTACAACTCCAAGTCCTAAACTGTAACCGACTACGTACACATATTCGACACAAACTCTAACAAACTCCACCTTGGCAAATATGCCACGCCAATCCGAATCTGTTACTTGCTCGAACCTCCGTGTACCAGGACTTGAGTTGGTTCTTCCGCCGCTCACGCCGAGTCGCCCGACGAGCCTACGCCAGGCTCACCGCCTTCAGGATCGTGCACAGCAACACCAGCATAACCATTTTCCATGACTCCACCTGCAACAGCACTCCCTTGTAACTTGTACAAACATGAGCTTGTCCTCTCACCAGTCATAACAGTCTTGCCATCCTTCATGATATTCATGGTCTTCCTATCAGAATCCACCTGATACAACCAACCCGTCTCATGTAGGCTTCCAAGCGAAATCAAACTCTTCCTTAGTCCCAGCACGTGTCTCACATATGAAAGTAGCACCTCATTTCCATCATACATCTTGAATTTGACATCGCCCACTCCAACAACACGATAACTCGTGTCATCACCTAAGTAAACAGCACCAAAATCACCAGATTTGTATGAAGAGAACCACTCCCGCTTCGATGTCACATGATAGGAACTAGCTGAGTCCAACATCCACGCTTCTCCAGACTTCTCGTTAGACACTGTGAGAATCTCATGACTGCTGCTCTCTGAATCATCACTATGGGCTACTAAACTTGCACTCGCACTTCTCCTCTTCTTCAGTAATGGGCAATTCCTCCTTATATGTCCAAACTCATGACACTTATAGCAAACATGATCATGCTCCTTGCTCTTCGACACCCCCGCTTCATGATCATGCTTTGCCTTGACCAGCAAACTCTCAGCCTGAGAAGCCTCCATTGCCTCGTTTTTCTTTGATCTTCTCAAGTCTCGTGCAAGCAACGACGAAATTATCTCCTCAGTTTTGACAGTATCCTTGCCGTACGTCAGGGTAGTCACCACATGTTCATAAGACGGTGGAAGCGAGCACAGAAGAATTATGGCCTTGTCTTCATCATCCAGTTTCACATCTAACTTACTTAGATCCACAATCAACTGATTGAAGACGTCCACGTGCATCCTAAGATCTGACTCCTCTTGCATCTGCAAACCATACAGCTGTTGTTTGAGATACAATTTACTCGTTAGCGACTTGGACATATACAGGTTTGCCAACTTGTCCCAAATTTCCTTCGGTGATTTTTCGTCCATGACCTGGTACATGACAGAATCCGAGAGACTCAAGCGTATTGTTGCAGCTGCCTGCGCCTTCATCTCCTCTCACTTGCTAGCATCCATCTTTTCTGGCATCGTCTCCTCAAGAGCCTTGGATATCCCCTGTTGAGCCAATAGATTCTTCAGCCTCATCTGCCAGAGAACGAAATTCCCGGTGCCATCGAACTTCACCACCTCAAATTTGGAAACCACCGTCGCCGCCATCGATGATAATCAACTCAACAGATGTTGCCCTATTAAATTGATCTGCCCTGATTAATTGACCCCACCGACTAACTCGAACAGTACCAGCCGGACCGAACCGTTTTTTTTTCTCTCTCCAAAAAACCGGAACAGGTGTCCTTTACTCGGTCAAAGAATCAGTTGATGCGGTCAAAGGGTTACAGATCCAAATCGAATCCCGTTTCTTGCTCCTTCTGCCCGACTCCTCTCGGCCCGATTGGCGCCGCCGCCCAGCGCCTGCCGTGCCTCTCTCCCCACTGACCAGCCGAGCACCAGAGCCGCCGCACCCCACCACCAAACCGCGCCGCCGTCGAAAATCGCCTAGGTTCCCGCCGCCAACGCCCGTCCTCGAGTGCATGCCTGCAGGTCCTGCTGTCGACGCCTCTGAAGACCCCCGGTGATGGACGACGCTGCCCCGACGCAGGAGAGGACGCCTCCTCTGCCGCCGGTGTCCGCCGCCTCCTCCAAGAGCCGGCACCGCCGAGCTTCCGCCGCCTGCACCTGCTGCTCGCCGAAGCCGTGCAGCGCCGCCGGAGCCCGACACCGCAGACCACCTCCGCCCACGAAATCCAACAGGTCAGATCTCGCCTTGCTTTGGTAGTTTGCCCGATTGCTTGTTGTTGCAATCCCGTGGTCCTCTGCTGCTTTTATTTGGAGAAATTCGAGTCCAATTCTTAACCAAATCGAAGAAACTCTTTGTTCCCCTTCCGTGTACGAGTTGGTCACCGGTTTGGCTTTTTCCATGCGTAGCCAGGAAGGACTCGTAATCCGAGTCTATCCGCTGTGCCTGCAAAAACCCGAGTCGGTCTCCTGCGTAAATCCGGCCCAAAACAGAACCATCTTGCTACCTCTGGACTCCGGTCACATGTAGTCTACGGCTTCGACATGCAAACGTGCACGCCGCCACCTCTGATGACCTCCTCAGCCACCACGCACCCGTACGACCTCTAGCGCAGCCAACCAACATCCCGCCCAACCTCGCCAGCGACCAATATCGCCGGTCAGTTGCAACCAATGCCTTTGCTGTACTAACACGATTGAATAAAGCATTGACGATCTGAATTGACCACCCCTCTGCCTGATTCCATCGCTTGTCGTATGTACGCCTTCTCTATAGCATGTCCATCACGCAATTACCTCATCAACACCTTCAAAAGCTGCCTCTAGGAACCACCCGCTCCGACTTCCGATTAAACACCATCAATCTAGTCGCGAGCCGAAGCCGACAAGTTGCATGCCGTCTTCTCAGCCGCGAACGACCCGAGTGCTATGTTTAGCCGTCTCCCTGTCGAACGCAACTCATCGAAAGGCCCAGGCCACCCCGCCCAGAGTGATCGATCCACCCACCGAGAACGCCGATCGCCTCCAGCTTCAATCAACCCGAGCGTGCGGCCGCACGTCTCCCTATTGAGAGTAGCTCACCGGAAAGTCCGAGCCACCCGCTCGAAGTGTCCGACCCACCAATTGGATCACCAATCGCTTCTGCCGCCATCAACCAGAGCACCACGTCTAGTCATCTCCCTGTTGAAAGCAGCCATCGAACGGTTCAGACCGCCGCCTGAAGTGTTCGATCCACCGATCAAATTCCGTTGATCGCCGCCGTGCTCTACCTTGCGCACATGTCCCTCCCTGGACATAAACCACGAGCGGCGCGGTGTGAAGCACCTCCATCGCGCCTCTACCATGGACCTCCCGCAAGCTCTGATACCACTTGTTATAAAACCAGCCCCGAAATCGACATCGGTAGCTAAACGCGGAAGAAAACGCCATAGGAGATCCAAAATGATAGCGACACCGAGACATGATATTTGGTACATCCTTTTTTTTGCGGCATGCTCTCTGATTTACGGATTCGCAGGGGGCCGAGGGCCAACCTTAGTTGACTGACAATGACAAAGGCTTGAGAAACAAAGTAGTGCCTTTGAAATGGAATCTTAATTAAGTAGTCTATCAGTGGTGCGAAGCAGCTTTGCCCCGGGGAGCGAAAGGTTATACCTTGCCGTAGCCTACATCTTTGGGGCACTGATTACGGACGCTCCTCCCCGATCCAGCATATACAACGTATCAGAGTTACAACGACTCACAGCCGGTCGCCGCCGGCAGCCGCTCCCTCACGCTATGCTAAGTCGCCATGCGGTTACAACAGGCACGCCCCTCTATTTATGAGAGATCCTAGGATAGAGTCCGACTCATACTCTAGTCCTAATACCTATTACAACTCCAAGTCCTAAACTGTAACCGACTACATACACATATTCGACACAAACTCTAACAGTGTCAAATCATGGGTAAATTTTGACACTTCTAATGGTTTAGTAGAGTTGGGTTATAGGAGTTGCATTACATTTGGTAAATTTGGCATTAATCTAAATATTTATAAGGTATTATTTAAAGTGCCAATTATTTGGTTGGGTAAGTTTTGGCATCAAACCACAACAGGCTTGACAACAGCCCATCATGCCCATGGTTACATACCTACGTAAACAAAATTCACCTCGAGGTGCAAAAAATTGATATACGCAAACATAAAAAAAAAAGGGGGATGGATGGAAGTGAGGGTCACTTATGAGTGTATCACAAATATAGTGCACATTACTAAACCGAACATTTCAATTTGACAATTTAATTGAGGATTAAGCATAAGTAGCAGCGCCCTCGTCTTTCTCATCAAGGAAAGGATAGTCCGTGTAGCCAACAACAGGATCCTGTATGTAAAAGGTGGACCTATTATACTTGTTCAATGGTGCGTTGATCGCGAACCTCTTGGGCAAGTCCGGATTGGCCAAGAAGTGCCTCCCGTAGGCGACGAGGTCAGCATATCCATCGGCTATCACCTTGTTTCCTTCCTCCCGATCGTATCCTCCGGCAGCGATGAAAGTGCCATTGAACAGCTTCCGGAATGGCAGGAGGCCATGGGTGATCTTCCTGCGTCCTTCCACGATGGCCATTCTTGGCTCCACCATGTGGCAGTAGAGAAACCCCGGGTGCTTGTTGAGCTGCTGCACCATGTACGAGCCGAGAGCCACCGGGTCGGAGTCGACGCAGTCCATATAGTCGATGAACGGTGACAGCCTGATCCCCACACGGTGCGCTCCAACCTCGGCGACGATGGCGTCGATCACCTCGACAACGAAGCGGCACCGGTTCTCGAGGCTGCCACCGTACTCGTCGCTGCGGTCGTTGGCGCTGTCCTTCATGAACTGCTCCAGGAGGTAGCCGTGCGCGCCGTGGATCTCCACGCCGTCGAACCCGGCCTCGATGGCGTTCCGCGCGGCTCGCCTGAAGTCGTCGATGATCTGAGGGATCTCCTCCGTCCTCAGCCGTCGGGGTTTCGAGTAGACGATGCCTGAATCGTCCGGTGTGATCTGCCTGTCTGTGCTTGAGATGGGCGCCTGCCCGTCAGGTTGGTATTCTGTTGGTAATTAATTCATGGTTTGCAATTCAATCAGCCAAAGAGAACAATTTGCAAGAAACCAAAAACTCAACAAAAACCTATGAATCAATTGCCAGCAGCTTAACTATGTGAAGGAGTACATACCGTTGGTGGAGACCCTGCCGACGTGCCAGAGCTGGCAGATGAAGAGGGCGCCCTTGCGGTGGACGGCGTCGACGATGGGCTTCCACGCCTCGACCTGCTGCTGCGTCCAGATGCCGGGGGTGTCCGGGTAGCCCTGCGCGGTGTCGGAGACGCCGGTGGCCTCCGTGACGAGGAGGCCGCCGCTGGTGGCGCGCTGCGTGTAGTACAGCACCGCGTGCGGCCGCGGCACGTTGCCGTAGGAGCGGTTCCGCGTGAGCGGCGCGAGCACCACACGGTGGGAGAGCTCGAACCGCCCCATCTTGTACGGCGTCAGCAGCGGGATCTCCGCCGCCGCCGCCGCGTCCTTCTCCGCCTCGCGCGCCATCTCAACGCTAGTGTGGCCTCTGCTACTAGCTCACTGTGCTCTGCTCTGCTCCTCTATTGTGTTTTGCTCCGAGTCCGATGGTCCAAGGGGGTTGATGATGCTCTTTCATTTATAGCGTCTGAGTGGGACCCTGGCGGCTTGACGGAAATGTGCGCACTGCTATTCCATCGGATCTTTCCTGCGTCACCCTCTCCGTCATCGTCTGGTCGGTAGGAAAGTCTCTCCTTACCTGGGAGAGCGCACTGATTTTCCTCGTGTGGGGGAATGCGTGGTTCTAATTTTCTAAACATTCTTTAATGCAACAGCCGTCTGGTGCTGAACTACTGATGACCGGTGTCAATCAACAAGAGTAAGAGATGCACTGAGCTGTTAGTTCTTTTTTTTTTAACGTATAGGTTTCTTGCATTATCGGCTTCACCTTTTCGCTTATATTTATATTTATTAGTCAAAATTAAAATTTCAACCTTAAATGTAGAGTTGATTTTGAGATTTTTTTTTGTCATCGCAGTTTATTTTTTATCTTTTGCTTGTTTCTCTTAGATCGTTAAGAACATGTATATAAAATATATACAACACTGCATCTAATACAATTTTACTAGTAGTAGTAACCCACGGGCTATTATTATTGATAGTATAAATAAAATTTTAATTGTAGCAGGTTATACTAAAGGGAAATTGCTTTGCGTACGATAAAATTTGTACGATTTTAGTACGATCCTACCATGCATGTCTTTTTTTTTTATTGGGTGGAAACATGTTGGACCCCACATTTGCATCACACACAAGAGACTATGAAGTATCGTAGTCTGATCGTATGAAGTTTTATCGTACGTATAGCAATGCTCATACTAAAGGTAGAGTCCACACCAGTTATGAGTTGCTAATTATGAATACGAATTTTTAGAATTAAATTTCAAGATAGGTACGTCTTTATATTTATTCAATTTGAATTTTTGAGTTATAAATATTAGAAGAACTAAAACTTAAGAGTTCATAGTGATAAACAATTGAATGTTTTGGTTAACAGGTTCTCCATATATAGAAATACAACCTAAGTAATAAATGATCACATCCTTTGAGTTAGAACACTACTACACGATAGATTTTTGTGGACACTACCCTCTTTTGTTTCCATGCGGTTCGTAAGTGGAACCGCACAAAAAAATAGGGGAACCGGGGCCGAGCTGTCGCCCGCACGGGAAAATCAATTTTCTCGTGCGGTCCTCCTAAATGGACCGCACGGGAAAATGAGTCGATTTTCCAGTGCGGATCTATTAAGAGAGCCGCACGCAAAAATAGTATTCCTTCTTTTCCCTCCCACCCACTTCAAAATTTCCCCTCATATATCTCTTTTAATTTCTCCTCACACCCCTCCCCTCTTATCTCTCTTCTCTCTCCCCCTCTCTCTTTCACGTCTCTCCTCTTGTCTCCTTTCGGCGCGCGGGTGACGGCGACGGCGGCGTGCGGCGACAGCGACAGCGGTTCGCGTCGGTGCGCAGTGACAGAGGCGGTGCGGCGGCGGCCTCAGCTCCACACGGCGGCGGTGGAGGCGCGGGATCCGGCGGGCGGCGGCCATCCCCGCTCGGATCCGGCATGCGGCCGGCCTTCCCCCGCGCGGGATCCGCTCCCCTCCCCTCCCCTTCCTTCCCTCCCTAGATCCGGCGGAGGGGAGGGGCGTCCGCGGCGGTGCGGCCAGAGGGGAGGGCGGATCCGGTGGGCGGCGGCGCGGAGTCTAGCGGGAGGAGGGTGGCGCGGAGGCCGCCACCGATGACGATGAGGTGGAGGAAGCGGCGGCCAGGAGCGGCGCCGCAGCTGCGCGCCAACGAGTAGGCGCCCATCGCGGCTGCTGGCGGAGGCAGCGCGGCGGCCGCCGCCGACGATGACGATGAGGAGGAGATGGCTGGGATCTGGCAGCCGGGAGTGTCGCCGCCCTCCCCACGCCAGGATCTAACGGTGGCGGCTGCCCTCCGCTCGGATCTGGCGGCGGCGGTGGCAGCCGGCGTGGCGGTGGCGGGGAGTAGCGGATCTAGGGTTAAGGTTCGGTAATTTGTGAATTTTATTTTTTTTGGATTTTTATTTTTCCGTGCGGGCGACATAAGCAACCGCACGGAAAAATCCGATTTTCTCGTGTGGGGCGCCACCCGCACGCAAAAATCACGATTTTCGCAGACGAAGTGTTGCATGTGGGCCATTCATCCGCACGCGAAATTTTTCTTGACCGCACGGAAAAACCCATCCCGTAGCAATGGAAGCTTCTTCACAATGTCTAGTTAGAGAGATTTGTTTCGGTTCAATAAAAAGTACATCAAGCTACCGGTACCTCACGGTACCAAATCATTTCCGATCGTTGGATCTAACAATGCCCATCCTGTCTAGCTATATCCAATAATCGAAAACTTGGTACCATGAGATACTGGTACCTTAATATACTTTTTGCTGAACCGGAGCAAATCTCCTAGTTAGAACATATATGGATAGATTAGTGGTATGTCGAGGACAGGAAAATGACACATCTTCCGAGACACCCAAGCTACTGAGGTAAAGATTCACGCACCAACAAATTTGACACACAAAGTGCCCTGCGGGAACCATTTCTCAAGCAAAGGTCCGCAAGGAATGGGGGAAACAGGCCAACAAGACCTCATTAATTAGGATAAGGTGGCTCAGGGCGGGGGAGAAGTACTGCATCAGCCACCAAGACAAGGGTGATATGTGGGTGTGATCTTCACCCCACGCCAGAATCGCCGTAGGCAACGACACGGTGACTCCCTCATCAACCACGGTGTCATCAACCTCGCCGGTGAGCCAGGAGAGGCTCTCCTGATAGATTGCGATATAGACTCTCATTGAAGCGGGGGACGCTACTAGACGATGTGGTGGGTGGGGCAGGCTAGATCCGACAAAGGAGAGTAGGGTTTTGAAGGCATGGCGCCAAGGTGGTAGATATGAGGAGAGAGGAACAAGATATGGGGCCGACTTGAAACGAGGGAGGATAGGGGAGGGCGGGGGAGGTGGATCCATGGAGGTGATCTCGATCAATAGATTTAATGTACACATTTTTAGGTCTCTGATTTGTCACATGATGATGATGATGATGATGATGATGATTATAATGGGTAAAACAAGTCAACGAAACATGTAACCCATATATTTGGCAGTATCAATACAATAAATACTCAACAAAAGATAACCTTAATTAAATTACAAATATGCATGCACAGAAATCTACTCATGCGTGTTTCACAAGTACACATTATTGATCCATAAAAAAAAACTCGGCGATTTAGGTGATAATCAAACAATTACTGTAGCTGAGTCCTCTTTCTTCTCCTCAAGGAAAGGGTAATCCGTGTAGCCAACGACGGGATCATGTGTGTAAAATGTAGATCCATCATACTTGTTTAACGGTGCATTAAGCTCGAACCTCCTTGGCAAGTCGGGGTTGGCCAAGAAGAGCCTCCCATAGGCGACGAGGTCGGCATAGCCATCATCCACCACCTTGTTCCCTTCCTCCCGGTCATACCCTCCGGAGGCAATGAAAGTGCCATTGAATTGCTTCCGAAATGGCAGGAGGCCATGGTTGATCTTCCTCCGTCCTTCGACGGTGGCCATCCTCGGCTCCACCATGTGGCAGTAGAGGAGCTCTGGGTGCTTGTTGAGTTGCCGCACCATGTATGAGCCGAGAGCTTCGGGGTTCGAGTCGAAGCAGTCCATAAAATCTATATATGGCGACAATCTGATCCCAACACGGTCAGCTCCCACCTCGGCGACGACGGCGTCGATCACCTCGACGGCGAAGCGGCAACGGTTCTCGAGGCTGCCACCGTACTGGTCGGTCCGGCCGTTGGCGCTGTCCTTCATGAACTGATCGATGAGGTAGCCATGCGCGCCGTGGATCTCCACGCCGTCGAACCCCGCCTCGATGGCGTTCCGCGCAGCCACCCTGAAATCGTCGACGACGTGAGGGATCTCATCCGTCCGCAGCCGCCGGGGCTTGGAGTACACCGTGTGTGAATCGTCCGGTGTGATCTGCTTGTCTGTGCTTGAGATCGGCGCCTGCCCATTCGGCTGTTGATCTGTTGGTTCATGTCGCAATTAATCGAATCAATCAACAAAGCACAATTTGCAAAGACCTTATATTGATAGATCAATCATCAGCAATATAGAGTGAGATTTGCTCCGGTCAAAAAAAAAAAAAAACCTCGAGGTACCGGTACTTCACAATACTAAATCACCTCCGATTGTTGGATCTAATTGAGCATGATAGATATTGTTAGATCCAACGATCAAAAAATGATTTGATATCGTGAGGTACTGCTACCTTAAGATATTTTTTGTTGGACTAGAGCAAATCTCATTTTCTCTACTACTTAAAAAATCTGTAGTGGTGGTCTTGATTTCTGACATAGCAGACGCATCTAACAAACACGTCTAATCTCAACCATCCGATTTTCATATCCAATGGCGTCAAATCTCCTCCCATCGCTCCTCTCCTCATCACGCGCCACGCCCACTCCTTTCCCCACGCCGCGTCCTTCGCCCTCCTCCCTGCGTCGCCTCCTCGTGGTCTTGAATCCAACAGATCAGATCACAATTCAATCTTCCGCACGCGCCCCACGCATCGTCGATCGCACGCGGCGCGCACACACACCCCTTTCCCCCGATTTTCTCTCCCTCTCAACGCCGTCTCCCATCTCTGTTTCCTTCGCGTCCGCCTCCTCCGCCCCGCACCAAATCTTCGCCTCCTCTTCTCCCGCCTCGCCGGCGCATGGCGGCTGAGGGTGAGGGCAGGCTGGCAGCTGATGAAGGCACACTACGACCCAATCTCCGGCTCGTCGACCGCCTCCACGCACGCCCCGCCCCCGATCTCCGCCGCCTCTTCTCCCGCCTCGACCGCCTTCACGCGCGCCGCCGGAAGCCAATCTCCTCGGCGCCACCCCATTCTGTGAGTAGTCCGCCTCCTCCGTCCGGCCCCCTGTCTCCGCAGCCTCTTCTCCCGCCTTGCAGGTGCCCTCCAACTCAAGAGGGCTGAGGGCGAGCACGGTGGCGCATGGCGACTGAGGGTGAGTGCAGCTGACGACGCCACATGACGAACCCAACCGGCTGCATGTTATCTTCCCCCCAAACCCTAAAATTTCCCCATCTCTTTCTACAAATCCATCTACATGTTTTCAGATCGGGGATTTTGTCCTTTTGGGCGTGTTAAATTTCAAACATGGGAATTAGAGATCGGGGATTTTGTCTTTGCCTGCCATGTTTGTACAAATTATGCTAAATGGACAAATGAGAACACTAGGACAGCTGCTTGTGTAGAGACTGAATGACACTGTTGCATAACACTGTTGCTGGATCTCCTCTCTCTTGAGACAGGGTTATCTTTAAATCAGTGCAAGTACGTACTGTGTTCTCAACAAGAATTGAAAACCCAAATATGGATTTAGTTGGGCATGATGTGTCCATTAAGGTAAGCGATCACCCACATAACCCCCACAAATAATAGCTTCAGAACAAGTAGATTGTTACATCTGAAGAAATATCATATCACTCCTGGGCATATATTCCATATGGACAATATGATCGAACTTGTGAAGCATCAGACATGCAGAATTAATTTTTTTCCCCTTATTTTCTTGATTTTGCTGCAATTATAAGTAAGCATTGTTAGTATGATCCCATGGCGTGTAATAGCAGTTCTGAACTGATAGATACCTGCACCCTCAAGAAAATGGTTTCTACCGTCAGAGTAACAGGTCAGGGTCATGCTAATTAATACTCCTTCTCAAATGAATTTTTATCTCAAACAGTCTCAATTCAAAAAAAAATCAGTTCATCAGTTTGTCAAAAATTGTCGCTGGATGGATCGGTTTTAGCATTAATATTGAAGCAAATAAATGCATAGGTGAATTAGATTTTTTTTTTCTCTATAAGGATATTTTGTGCCACTTGCTTTGGTTGTCGGTTAGTTCATCCATGAACTCGGTAGGGAACTTGTCTAAGCAACCAATGGTCAATTTTCTCATGAAGCAGTCTTTTTTTCTTACCAGTTAAAATGTTTCCAGCTACAACAAATACTCAGGTTTCATTTCATTGCTCAATTTCAGATCATTTGTCGAGGTTGGAATTGCTGCGGGATCAAGCGAAGCCTCGTCAGGCCATGCCCTCGTCTCATTCCTCAGTTTATAGAGTCCATTCCAAGCAGGTACAATATACATCCTCGGAACAAATAAATGTATTTGGTTTTATAAGAAAAATTAGTTTGCAGTGCATCAGTGATCCTATATTCCTGCTTATTGGAGTACATACATATATGATTATTGGCGTTCATCTGTGATCAGTTCCCTAGGTTTAGATCCATTGTGTTATTTAGAATTAGAATGGTCATTTATTCAGGGGGCTTTGACCTGTTAGTAACCCGAGTCAAGTCATGGCCTAATTAACTGAATGAATGATTTCAGACTCAAGAAAATTGAAAATAATCTACGCATCTTATCTTATGAAAATAGTATGGGAAAGAGCACAGGAAAATAATCTATCTGAACTATACCAGTTTGTAGCGTGGGAATATGTTATACTCAGTTTTGAGGGTGTACCACGGTAACTAATGATTCACAGCTGCTTTCCTCCAGGGTGAACCCTCACTTTGCTGGTTGGCTTTCAGCCGTGGATTAGCAACTGGTTCATGTTCTGAAATTTTTATACTAACCATCCTCAGTCTGTAGTATTTGAAATCAATCTTTCAGTTTGTTCTGAAATTTTTATACTAACCATCCTCAGTCTGTAGTATTTGAAATCAATCTTTCAGTTTGTTCTGAAATTTTATGCAGAATATAACCAATGCCAGTATTTTGGAATGAGCGCAGAATTGATCCGTCACTTCTGAAGAAACTCCGTTACTTAGCAGAAGCAGAGGCCACAACCTGGCAGCGGCTGGTCACTTCAGCGGTCTCCAATTGCCTTTGAATACGCCAATGGTAATTTCAAAAATCTCCAAGTAGTCCACTAATTTTATTACTTACATTTTTTTTCATCTAAAGCAAAATTGAAAACATATGTTTCCTTGTAATTCTAAATTTGACTGCACATATTTTGATTTTTGATGAGTACTGCTCGATAGATTCAAAGCGGCCATGAGTTTTTTTTTTTGAGTTGAAGTGGCAAGAGCATTGCCGAATATATTAGACGAATAGAGTTCACCCTGTTTATAAGGAAAACCGGGCCCAAAAAACATACAACTGCCCGGTTTGCTAAAGTGAAACCGGCGAAAACCTTACACAGAAGACACAAAAAGCCTGAGACAAGACAACTACGAACTGTCGGAGGCCGAGGGATGAGCAAGACCGTAAGATGAAATCTCCAAGGAGGTGAATAACGACATAAGCCGCTGTCGACGTCCGTCCAAAAACTGGGCTGGTTTTCACCCAGGGGGGAGGGAGTCCACAAGGCAACACCTCCAGGGAGGAAACGGCACCCGTGGGCGTCGATATTGCCAATCCTAGAACAGGCAGGGCATGAGGTTTTTGGGAACTAGCAATTATTGATTTTGATTGTTGATGATGAAGAGTTCTGACTATCTACATGGGTTAGTTTCTTGTTCAACAAATTCAGGAAATAGTTTCAGCTCATCAGAAGTTTGCATCGATGTCATCCCTTCTAGCCATCTTCTGTGCATTTGCTTGGAACATTTGGTTCTGCACTACCGTTGACTATAAAATACAGCTCAACAGAGCTTTATTTTCTCACATTTCTCATAACAAGTTGGATATGGAAAACCATCGACTCTGAATAGGAGATAGCGAGCTTTGGAATGATTCTGAGATAGCTCCATTTTTTATCTTGTCTGAACTTTGGCTGTGAGCTCAAATGATTAAATCAGTATCTTTTTCATTTTTTTCAGCCACTGAATACTTTTTAATAGTTTTCTATTATTCTATGGATAATGCTTGTGTGCATGCTTATGATGGATTGCTAATTGTTTTACACGTGCATAATAACTGTAATTAACTGGGGGAGTGCTTCTTGAGGTAGATGGAAAGCTTTGCTACTTTTGAAGAAAACGAGTGGATAATAGAGAAATTGGGTGAGACATCATTTATTCTGCGCAACTTTGAGAACTGGCTGAGATGTAAACCTGGGAAATATAGTCATCCCGTGTGAATAACACAAATGAGCTTCGAAGGACAAACATCATGCCATTGGGTCAGTTCTGCAGTTAAAGATAGTTGTCTGAAATTGATGAAGTTCTTGACTGCAGGTTGTCTTTTAAGCAGTTTGTAGCTTAATAAACGGTTGTGCAGGTGCCATGGTCATACTATTGATCCTGTTAGAACAAACAAGATAAAATGGATGTGCCCAACAACTAGACAATACCACATAACTTATGATATTACCGATAGTGATGCGAAAATCAGGGAATAGACAGTATTGTTTCTTCTTGATTCAGAAGGCGTTCTCCAGCTTTCAGCAAGCCTCATCTTCTATTGATTTTGGCATGATTGAGCGAACGAAGTTAACCTCGCTAAATGAAGGTACCCACCGCTATAGACTGTAATGATACTCCCTCCGTACTTATAAAGGAAGTCGTTTAGGACAATGTTTAAGTCAAACTTTAGGAATATAAATCATAAATAACTCTTAAGTTGTTGAATTTGAAAATAAAAAAATTATATGAATAGATTTGTCTTGGAAAATACTTTCATAAAAGTGTGTGTGTGTGTATATGTATATATATATATATATATATATATATATCACTTTTCAATAAATATTTTTATAGAAACAAGAAGTCAAAGTTATGTTTTGGAGACCGTGTCACTGTCATAAACGACTTCCTTTGTGAGTATGGAGGGAATACACATTAGTTACTAAATTTTCAGAGGCTTTTGCCTTAACTTTGTTCAAAATATAATGGAGAACTCTGTTAACAGGACTCGTAATGGGGCAATGTTGACGTCACTCAATGAAGCTACATGGGTCTTGCATAAAGGGATTGATCAGCTTTTCTTTTATGCTTGCTCATTGATGAAATGACAGGCATTAGGCCTTTTTATTTTCAAACATTTAATTTGCTAACATTGATGCCGTGTACCCTTAGTAGTATTATTATATAGTAGAACATTATTTATATCATGTTCTTTGGGGACAAATTTACACCGAGTGATTATTTCACCTGGTGTGATTTGAAATTGAGGCATATTCTTTTTCCCGTTGCAACGCACGGGCACCCAACTAGTATATACTAGTAGTAGTTACCGTTGGTGGAGGCCCTGCCGACGTGCGCTAGCTGGCAGAAGAAGAGCGCGCCCTTGCGGTGGACGGCGTCGACGATGGGTTTCCACGCCTTGACCTGCTGCCGCGTCCAGACGCCGGGGATCTCCGGGTAGCCCTCCCCGGTGGCGGACACCCCGGTGGCCTCCGAGATGAGGAGGCCGCCATTGGTGGCGCGCTGCGAGTAGTACAGCGCCGCGTGCGGCTGTGGCACGTGGTCGTAGGAGCGGCACCGAGTCAGCGGCGCGAGCACCACGCGGTGGGAGAGCTCGAACCGCCCCATCTTGTACGGCGCCATAAGCGGGATCGCTGCCGCCGCCGCCTCTTTCGCCGCTGCTTGCGCTTGCACCATGTTAACTACTCCTAGCTTGATTCTTGCTGGTTTTTCGGTGTGGATCTCGCGATGCCAAAAACGCCCAAAATGCTCTGGATTTCTCTCGGTTTGTTTCTTCCTGCTGCTCTGTTTTTAGTTTTTGCTGTGTTTCCAACCGGGTTGGTGCCCGATAGTACTTATAGGTGTCGGAATGGGAGCATGGTACGGGCGGCGGCGGCGGCCAAGATGGCCAATTATGGCAAGTGTACGCACGCAAGTTCGTCAGCTCTTGACTGCACTGGTGACTGGTCACGCTTTCTGTTTATGCTGTCGTCACCCTCTCTGTCATCGACTTGGTGGTCAGAAAAGGTTTCTGTCTGCTCCCGTCGGAACAGATTCAGGCCTTGTTTAGGCCGTGTTTAGTAGTTTTGGCAAAAAAAAAATTAACGTATACATACATATATATATATATATATATATATATATATATATATATATATTTAAAGTATTAAACGTAGACTAATAACGAAACAAATTACAGATTTCGTCTGTAAACTGCAAGATAAATCTATTAATTCTAATTAATTCGTCATTAGTAAATATTTATTGTAGAACCATATTGTCAAATCATGGTGTAATTAGGCTCAGAAGATTCGTCTGGCAATTTACATGCAAACTATGCAATTATTTTTTTTTGTCCATATTTAATGCTCCATGCATGTGTTCAAACATTTGATGTGACGGAAAAGTTGGAAGTTTGAATGGAACTAAACACAGCCTTAATTTTTTTTTCCAAAAACGCCACATCGAATTTTGATCACATGCATAGAGCATTAAATATAGATACTACCTCCGTTTCAGGTTATAAGACTTTCTAGCATTGCCCACATTTATATAGATGTTAATGAATCTACACACATATATGTCTAGATTCATTAACATATATATGAATGTGGGCAATGATAGAAGTCTTATAATATGAAACGGAGGAAGTAGAAAAAAACTAATTGCACAGTTTGTATGGAAATCGCGAGACGAATCTTTTGAGCCTAATTAATCCATGATTAGCCATAAATGTTACAGTAACCCACATGTGCTAATGATGGATTAATTACGCTTAATAAATTCGTCTCGCGATTTTCAGGCGAGTTATGAAATTAGTTTTTTCATTCGTGTTCCAAAACCCCTTCCGACATCCGGTCAAACATCCGATTTGACACCTAAAAATTTTCTTTTCGCGAACTAAACAGGGTCTGAGAAAATAATAGAAAAAGAAGCCTCTACGTTTGCTCTCATAGCCTAGAAAATCCCACATTAATTGGTGAAAAATAATAAAAAAATTAAAAAACAATTTGAGACAATATCACATTAACAGCATAAAAAAAAAGAAAAACAAAAAGAATCAATCGGACACCCTGCTTACGTAGTAAAATCAGGACTCTTTATTCAATTTGGAAACACTATTTTAATTTAGAAAACAACAGTCATACATGGTCTATCAAAGTGAAACCAATCAGAAACAGAAATAGAATAATGCATGTATTTGTTTCATATTGTACTCACTGCATTAATGGCAAAAAAATACACAGACTTAGCAACCAAAGCAAAATACAAATACACAAAACAATCATAGCTGGTACGCGGGAAATCATCTCGCCAAAATTAGCTTCGTCAACAAATTAGATAATAGAAAAACAAATCACCACGTTTGCTCTCATAACCTAAAAATTCACACATTAATTAAAAATAAAAAACAGAGTCATATTTTTAAAATTTATGTTATTCAGATAAAAAAGTAAAACAAATAAAAGGTGAGTCCATATAAAAAACAATTTTCAAAAATATGAAATTTGGATTAAATGTATAAAAAATAAATATTGAAATAAGAGTAAATGTAAAAATATAATTTATAAAAAGAAAATCTAAAATCGGATTAAATTAGAAAATAATTAATATCGATAAAATACTCCATGTAGAAATACAGTTTATGTTGCCATTTTTAATACATTTTATAATAAAATATAAAAACATATATGCTACTATAATGAAATATAAAAGAATTTTATAATAATACTAGCCGCGCAATCTGCGTGGGCAAATAATTATTGGAGTAAGCAATGCATGGGAACAAGGAAGATAGACTGATGTTATAGTACAACTAAACCCACCTTCTTTACATCAACATGTGATGCACGTAGATATTGCGACATGAATTACAGCACAGAGACAAATTCCCCCGGCAAATAGTCTTAGCTGGAAGGAACTGGGGCGGCAGTATTGCAGCTTCCATCCGCGCCGTGAGAAACAAGCTGTTGTATAAACTCGTCAATGTACCTCTCATGGAGTTCCTTGTCAGCTACAAGCTCTTGCAGCCTGATGGCGTTTGCTACAAACACCCTCCTGGTTTCTTCCTCAACCATGACGGCCCGGACCGCGGCGGCGACGCCATGGCGGTCGAATGACCCGTCCATGTCATCCCGCCTCACCTGCGATCCTACCTTGTTACCCTCCATGAGCCGCGCGTTCGGCCCTTGGTCCCCGAAGATGGGCAACATGATGAGAGGGTTCCCAAACAGAAGCCCCTCGACGAGCGAGTTGCGGCCACAGTGCGTCAAGAAGGCGCCCACCGCGGCGTGCGCCAGTATGGTGATCTGCGGAACCCACCCCATGGCAACATGTCCATGGCTCTTCGTCCGTTCTTGGTAACCCGGAGGAAGGACATCTGAGAGATCGACGCCATGGGGCTTTCTCAGCGCCCACAGAAATCGTGTCCCGGCGAGCTCCAGCCCGAGAGCCAGCTCGTGCACCTGCTCCAATGGTAGAGGCACCTCGCTCCCCAGCGCCACGTACACCACCGACTTCGCCGGCTGCACGTCCAGCCACCGCATCGTCGAGTTGTCCGTCATGCCGGCGCGGCGGCGGCCTCCGTCGGGCGACGGTGGCACGAGGCCGAGGGGGATGAGCGGCTTGTTCTTCAGGCCCGCCGCCACCTGCTGGAAGGCGTCGGGCTCCCACTCCGGGCAGCTCCGCATGGCCGCCAGCGTGCACCTCTCCATCGCCAAGGAGCAGCGCTTCGCGACGGACATGCCCGACGCGCCATGGTCGACGAAGAAGCTTGCCTTCTGCGCCCACTCTTAACATGGCACGCCCTCCCGGCGTTCTTCTACCACGCCGAGCACTTGGAAGATGGAAGCGCCGGCTGGCTCCGACGACCGGGTGGCCCATCCGGCCATCATGGAGGCGCTCGGGAGAAGCATCGCGCATGGCACCTTGTGCTGGAGGGCGACCAGGGGTGCCCAGTGGTGGAACGTGTCGGCGATGATCCAATCAGGCCTCTCGCCGGCGGCGTCGCACGCGGCGCCCAGGAACTCCGCGAACGGCGCGGCGAGGGCGTCGAAGGCCTTCCAGAGGAGCTCGAACTTGCCGGAGGGAACGTCGTTGGTGCACTCGGTGCCGTCCGGGAGGCGCGCGAGGTTGCGTGGCGTGGAGACGAAGGACACGCGGTGGCCACGCGACGCCACGCGCTCCGCGAGCTCGAGGTAAGGGAGCAGGTGGCCGAACGCGAGCCATGGGAAGATCACAAGGTGCAGCCTCGACGAGGATTTGGACCGGCCGGTGTCCATGGCGATGTTGCCAGATACAGAGGAGCTAAACCTTAATCTCTCGCTGTCTCATGAATAATAAACACCGGTAGAGATAAGAAATCAGCAAGAAACCATATGCATTAGCTAGTTGTTCTTTATATAACCAGTCTTCAAATAATGATTGATTTTATTGGTGAAACAATGGTCTTACCTATCGATCGATTTTTTATGTGAAACAGGACTCAATAGCTAGTGGTTCTTAAATTTTTATTATTTTCTGTAGGTACTTGTTGACAGTGAAATTTGGTAAGCCCAAAGTCATCATCGGCTTAGAGTCAATATCGGCTTCAGAGTCCTGAAATCAGCCGATGGGAGTCGACAAATCGCCAACAACCGTGTTCTCGATGGAATCGGATCAATTAAAGGGAATTTATCCAGAAGAGTCCGAGTTCAAGAAGAATGCGGCATGGCAGTTTATCTATTAATTAGGAATAGTTTGTTAGTTTCCTTTTTATTTTTAGGAAAGTGTGTTTAGTGTCCTATAAGGACTTTATGTTTTCCTTTTATCTTTAGTAAAGTTTCTTTCTTGTCCCATAAGGACTAGTATCTACCCATGGGTATAAATATGTACACTCGGGGTCATTGTAATCTATCTCTACGATCAACACAATTCGGCGCATCGCCACCCTTTTTACTTTTACTTTTGTTTCTACGTTCCGGTGGAACTTGGCACCCGACGCGGGGCTGCATCGGTGTTCGATCTCCGGCTAAGGGGTAAGTCCAATGTTCCATCGGCCCAGGCAATTGTCTTATCTACATCGGCGTCGTTCAAGGCTGCATCAGTACATTTGACCTCTTGGATTGCACTGGTTTGGATGATATATTTGCCTACCTACTTATCATATGTCTCTGTTAATCTAGTCGTAGCATATCGATTTAGCTCTATCGGCTGTCTCTCGCTTTAGAGTTTCTGCCGGTATCGGCTAAATCGCGTTGCTAGATTAGATTAGTTTAGACATCTACCACCCTGAAAACTCAGTCAACGGCTTGATTGTCTAGATATTATGTTTCTTTTCATACTTAGTGCTGCATCAGTTAAGTTTGATCTACTAAGTCGTGCTTAGAACCATAATCCCTAGCCTGCTTCTTGATTGCCAATAAGGGTTTCATCGGGGTTTCAGCCGGTGAGTTATCTGGACGTTGCATCGGCTTGTAAGGATTGCATATACATACATATTGGATTTAGCCGATGACAACAAAGGTTTCACTGTTTAATCTAATCTTGTAGATTTCATGGCATCGGACCGCTAGCCGATGTGTGCTTTAACCTTCGGATCAGTGCTTGTTCTACTATATCATATTGTTAGCCGATTGGTTTCTACTGGATATTATTGTTATATTTTATTACCATCAGCCGATTGCCTTTATATCATTATCTACATTGGACATATAGCCGATTGCTTAAACCCTATCGCTATCGGCTGGTACCGGCATCGGCTATTATCGGCTATCGGCTGGAACTGCTCCATCGGCTTGTCAGCCGATCGGTTGTTTTGATCTACTATTTACATATCTTGTCAGTGGCAGGATCAAACTGACTGGCATGCCTGTATCTCATCATATTTGGACCTGCACTGGAGCTAAGCAGATCTCCTAGGCCGACGTGTTCAATTTTTTCGTCAACGGTATTGCAGGTCTCGATGGTTCTTAATTATAATATATATATCGTATGCGTGCAACACATGTTGTGAATAATAAATAAATAATCTCAACCCAATAAAGTCTGTTTCTGCCATTTCACTTTCGATAGATTTTAGGTCTATGTCTTTCATTTTTCTTTCGTAAGATCTTGCATCAAAATTTGTGTTTATTTAGATCTAACATGTAGTTACACTAGTTACAGTAAACTTACTAGGTTACGTTGCACCAAAATTAGATTCTTTTTTTTACAACTGTTTTGTTTCTATATTTACGATTTTTGGCATGTTTGTTCCTTTTTATTTCATTTAAAACGGGTTGTATATATTGGATGAAAATTATGTAAGATTTGAAGCTCCAAGTCTATCAATCTATTGATAGGTAGTACCATAACAGTTTACTTCGGAAGATCATCAGTGGACGACACTTTCTACTGATATGAATTAAGAGCCATAGTGCTCCAAACACCAACAAGTAGTAGACAAGCAGCTCTTTTACAACATATGTGGGAAAAAGAATTTATTTCTTAATTTAATTTGATAGTTCGTGTACAACACCATTGTTATTCATGCTTGGCGCCCAATTCAGGGAATGACAAGGATAAGATAGAAGTGATAATTTCTTTTTAAGTTTTGAATCGATTTATGGTATAGAGTTGACACAATTTGCTTATGGCGTTAATTGGTCTACTAAATTTTAGCGGTACAGATAGATACACTAGCGAGGAGGGAAGGAGGATTGGGGAGGAGAGGGATGCCAGGAAGGAGGGAGAGAGGTAGGGGAGAAGAGGAGCACTGAGAGAAGAGGGCTGCCGAGCTGGGAGGAGGGCCAGCATGAACGAGGGGCGCTAACATGAATTTTCTTAGTCCGCCACTAGCTACAATATCTCAGCGCCAGTAAGTTTGGCGTTGAGCTCTTATTCAAGGTGGCGCAAATTTGCCAAGATGTCGAAGCGCAGTACCACTCCACTGACACTGAGCTCTCTACTGCTAAAAACAGTGTGCATTCCCTCTTTTATAGCAAAGCAAGGCTAGTGCAGTGGTGGAGGTCTTCAGTCTCGAGACGACGGTTTGATTCTGCCATCCTTCATGCTTGCTTTTTTTTTTCCCATTTCACTCAACACTTTTTAATCAGTAGAGTGCCTAGCGCCAATGATATTGATGCTAAACTCTGATGATATGGTATACTCATGCCACTACTAGTAGAGAGCTCAACACAATGGCATTGGCACTAAACTCCGATGACATCACAAACTCGTGCCACCTTGGACAATGTGCTCATCTTCGATGACATTGTAAACTTGTGCCACCTTGGACAAGAGCTCAGCACTAGGCATTGGTATTGAGATGTTATACCTCAACACAGTGGCGAATATAGAATATAAACTATGAAGATGCGGGTGTAAAAATATAGTATGACTGAAACAACCCAGTGTGATCATAGGTGCTCCATGATAGGTGTGTTGAGCTGCATTAGATAATGCAATAGGATTTTGATAGTATTAGCACTATAATGATCATAGGAAAGGGAATACATATTTCTCGAACAATATTATTACATTAGCTCGTTAATTTCGAACCACCAGCTACAAACTTTCAAGAAAAAAAATGTATTCATGCTTGTCCGTATCACATGAGAAGCGTTACTCCCTCCGTATTTTAATGTATGACGCTGTTAACTTTTTAACCAACGTTTGATCATTCGTTTTATTCAATTTTTTTTGCAAATATGAAAATAGTTATGTCATGCTTAAAGAATATTTGATGGTGAATCAAGTCACAATAAAATAAATGATAATTATATAAATTTTTTGAATAAGACGAATGGTTAAACGTTGGATAAAAAGTCAACGGCGTCATACATTAAAATATGGAGGTAGTACATTATTAATCCAAATAATAGGCTAAAATTGGATTATTTAGGTGCCAATTAAGCATAGGTAGTTGTTGACTCCTCATCAATCTCCTCAAGAAAAGGGTAATCTGTATAACCAACAACGGGATCCTGTGTATAAAAGGTAGACCTGTCATACCTGTTCAATGGTGCGTCAAGCTCAAACCTCCTCGGCAAGTCAGGGTTAGCCAAGAAGAGCCTCCCGTAGGCGACGAGATCGGCATAGCCATCAGCCACCACCTTGTTCCCTTCCTCCCGGTCATACCCGCCAGCAGCGATGAAAGTGCCATTGAACTGCTTCCTGAATGGCAGGAGACCATGGGTGATCTTCCTCCGTCCTTCGACGATGGCCATTCCTGGCTCCACCATGTGGCAGTAGAGAAAGCCTGGGTGCTTGTTGAGTTGCTGCACCATGTATGAGCCGAGAGCTACCGGGTTGGAGTCGAAGCAGTCCATGTAGTTGTCGAATGGCGATAATCTGATTCCAACACGGTGCGCTCCCACCTCGGCGACGACGGCATCGATCACCTCGACGGCGAAGCGGCACCGGTTCTCGAGGTTGCCACCGTACTCGTCGGTGCGGTCGTTGGCGCTGTCCTTCATGAACTGGTCGAGGAGGTAGCCGTGCGCGCCATGGATCTCCACGCCGTCGAACCCCGACTCGATGGCGTTCCGCGCGGCTCGCCTGAAGTCGTCGACGATCTGAGGGATCTCGTCTGTCCGGAGCCGCCGGGGCTTGGAGTACACCATGCCTGAATCGTCCGGTGTGATCTGCTTATCGGTGCTCGAGATCGGCGCCTGTCCATTTGGCTGGAAATCTGTCGATTTCATTTCGAAATTTAATTAATCAACCAACGAGCACAATTTGCAATGACCTTTGAAAAAAAATCAACCAACCACCAGCAAGTGGACGAACCTGTGGTGGAGACCCTGCCGACGTGCCATATCTGTAGGAAGAAGAGGGCGCCCTTGCGGTGGACGGCGTCGACGATGGGTTTCCACGCTTCGATCTGCTGCTGCGTGTAGATGCCGGGGGTGTCCGGGTAGCCCTGCGCGGTGGGGGAGATGACAGTGGCCTCCGCGATGAGGAGTCCGCCGTTGGTGGCGCGCTGCGAGTAGTACACCGCGGCGTGCGGCTGCGGCACGTGGCCGTAGGAGCGGCACCGCGTCAGCGGCGCGAGCACCACCCGGTGGGACAGCTCCAGCTGCCCCATCTTGTACGGCGTCAGCAGCGGGATCGCCTCTTTCGCAGGTGCGTGCACCATCTTGGCCTGGAGTGCGCACGCGATTTCGTCAGGTATAGACTGGTAGCCGCTTTTCTGTTCCCAACTGCTTCAGTTAGTGCAACAAACCAAGAAAAAGAAAATCTAACAAATGTATGGGCATTCACCTCACGAGCGCACACGAGGTAACGACGGCCTGGATTCCTATCCGTGCGTGAGGTTTTGATTGCCACAGGAAAACGGCAGCAACACTTCAACACCGGCGGCGAAGACGCCATGGATGTTTGGAGGGAGAGTAGAGAGGAAGGTTGGGGAAAGAAGACGACAGTGCGTGTGGTTTGGGGATGGATGTGCTGGCCCTCTCTATCACCAACACAAGATCCTGGTACTAGAAAAGATGTACTAGTTATTGGGGCGGAGCTAGCACCAAAACTAAGGTGGTGCACTACCATTGAAAACCTATAAAACTTCAATCGAATACTGTGCATTTCAGTGTTTTAAAGTGAGAAATCTTGGCTTTAGGGGAGTTCCTGTGCATCAGATTAGCTGAACGTGGCTGACTAGTACTATACCACCAACACGCATGACGGGGACAGCGCGTGTGGTTTGGGGATGGATATACTGCCACTCTATCCCCACCAGCTATTAGGACAGGTGTGGGTCCAGTTGACATGACTATACTTAGGCCGTGTTTAGTTTCAAAGTTTTCCTTTAAATTTCTAACTTTTTCATCAGATCAAAACTTTCCTAAATACATAAACTTCCAACTTTTCCGTCACACCGTTTCAATTTCAACCAAACTTTCAATTTTGGCGTGAACTAAACACAGTCTTACAAAGGTTACAAAGGCCGTGTTTATACCTTTGTCACATCGAAGATACGGACACATAGAAGTATTAAACGTAGTCTAATAACAAAAAAAAATACATAATCCGTCTATAAACTGCAGCACCATATTGTTAAATATATAGCAATTAGGCTTAAAAGATTCGTATCGCAATTTACACGCAATCTGTGTAATTAGTTTTTATTTTTATCTATATTTAATACTTTATACATGCATTCAAACATTTGATATGACAGGGTGAAAAAACTTGCCAGAAGATCTAATCAGGCCTAAAGAATACGGAACACAGAAAATGAATGAACGGTTGCAATAGATATGGACTGGTAGATGTATGCACGAATCTCCAAGTTGAGAAAATTCCATATGTACCCTTGAAACTTCACCCAATCCCTTCTATTCTCCTGAGATTTGTTTATTTTCTTTCATATCCCTAAGTTTCAATTTGGATCCCTTCTATACCCCTTTCATCAGTTGACTATTATTTGACCGTTAAATTTCTATCATAAAGTTCATTTTTCTTTTTGGTATCAAGAAAATATAAATTTATGAAGTATATTGATAAAGTGTATACTGATATGAATTAGGAGCCATACTGCTCCAAACACCAAAGTAGACAAGCAGCTCTTTTTACGACATATGTGGCAAAAAGAATTTATTTCATAATTTAATTTGACAGTTCGTGTATAACACCATTGTTATTCATGCTTGGCGCCCTTTAGGAAATGACACAGGTAGATGGAAGTGATAATTTCTTTTTAAGTTTTGAATCGATTTATGGTATAGAGTTAACATAATTTGTTTATGGCGTTGATCGGTCAACTAAATTTTAGCGGTACACATAGATACGCTGGGGAGGAGGGAAGGAGGGTTGGGGAGGAGAGGGATGCCAGGAAGGAGGGATAGAGTGTAGGGGAGAAGAGGGGTGCTAATAGAAGAGGGCTGCCAAGTAGGGAGGAGGGACGACATGGATGAGGTCCGTACGTCAACAGGGAAGAGAGAGCCGCAGGTGGGGATGGAGCGCGCATGCGGCGGGGCAAGCGATCGGAATCAGAACCGAGAACCGAGATGGATAGGGAGAGTTGGGCGGACTAATATTTTGTTGGAAGCAGATTTTATTTTTTAAATAGGCAAAGATTGATCCTTTAAAAAAACTTGTTTTGAAAAAACATCATGATAAAAACTAATTACAGAAATAGGCATCTGCTTTAGCACCAACCTCAATGACACTGAGCTATAGCCTGGGACGAACCCAAGGGGTGCCGGGTATGCACTACCCAAAAATTTTGAAAAAAAAACACTAGGGTGTGGCGTGGAATCATGGCAAGGATGGTAGCGAGAAAGCATTAAAATAGAATCCCCTCGATGAATAGAGCACAATGGTGATCACAGTTTGTCCGGAGGTCAAATCAGGATAAGAAGAAAGGACTGAAGGAAGAACCAAGAAGAAGAATGGCTAGGTAGCTTAGGGCATGATGGCTTTCGTTGGATGGTATCACTAGGAGTTCACCTTACTAATTCATTGTGCATCCACGATGTCGTGCAGCTGTGCGCATTAAAATAACCGATCAGATCAAGAGTGGACTGAAACTCGATGGTAATAAGAAGATGAACCTTTAGAGACTATACAACTATCTTAACTGACAACGGGTTGCGGCAAGGGACGAAGCATGAGTGGACTGCTTTTTCTTCCCCTGAATTTTACAGATTTTTCACGAATTCTGAACCACAGTTTGATTATTTTTTTGAAAAATTAAATCAAAATTTGCCAAAATTTTGCTACCAAACCTTGATGTTTTCTTTTTAAAAGATAGAGGGGAGTGATCCCTAATAGACACACTCAACGTGAATTTCCTTAGTCCTCCACTACCTGCAATGTCTCGGCACTAGTAAGTTTGGAGTTGAGCTCTTATTCAAGGTGGTACAAATTTGCCAGGAACCAAAGTACCACTGCCACTGACATTGACCTCTTTATTGCTAAAAATAGTGTGCATTCCCTCTTTTACAGCAAAGCAAGGCTAGTGCAGTGGTGGAGGTCTTCAGTCCCAAGTCCATGGTTTGCTTCCGTGATCCTTCATACTTGCTTTTTTTTTTCCATTTCACTCAACACTTTTTAATTAGTAGAGTGCTCAGGGCCAATGATATTGATGCTAAACTCTGATGACATGGTATACTCGTGCCACCACTAGTAGATAGCTCAACACAATGGCATTGGCACTAAACTCCGATGACATGATAAACTCGTGCCACCTTGGACAATGTGCTCATCTTCAATGACATTGTAAACTTGTGCCGTCTTAGACAAGAGCTCAAAGCTAAGCATTGGTATTGAGATGTTATAGCTCAACGCAGTGGCGAATCTAGCATATAAGTTAAGAAGATGCTGGTGTAAAAATATAGTATGACTGAAACAACCCGGTGTGATCATGGGTGCTCTGTGATAGGTGTGTCGAGCTACATACTCTAACACAGTAGGATTAGCACTATAATGATGATAGGAAAAGGAATACATCGATTTTTTTAAAAGTAATATGATTTTAATGGAAAATCGCAAAACTATAGATCAGTTTGATGAAATCGCAAGTTTAGCACCCTATCGAACAATCACGGTTCGATAGGGGTACCTATCGAACAACTACAACTACAGTTCGACAGGTACATGTCGAACTGTTTTAGTTCGACAGGGTAGTTCGTCCAAAAACAAATAAAAAAGTACATGAACAGTATCACTACAGTGCTAGACAGGGACATATCGAACTGCCAAAGTTCGAGAGGGGTTGCGTGAACAGCGCGCTATAGTGATGCTACAGTGCTCGCAGGCACATATCGAACTGCCTAGGTTCGATAGGGTATTGTGAACAGCGTGCTACAGTGATTTTTCCTTTTTTAATTTTTTTTAATCACCTGTCGAACTGCCGCAGGTACCCTATCGAATTGTAGTTGTTCGATAGGTATCCTGTCGAACCACGGTTGTTCGATAGGGTGCTAAACTTGCGATTTCATCTAACCGACCTAGACTTTTACGATTTTCCATTAAAATCGTATTATTTTCAAAAAAAAAATTCGAATACATCTTTCTCGAACAATATCAATATTACATTAGCTCATTAATCTCGAATCAACAGCTACAAACTTACAACAAAAAAATGTATTCATGCTTGTCCGTATCACATGATAAGTGTTACATTATTAATCCAAATAATAGGCTAAAATTGGATTATTTAGGTGACAATTAAGCATAAGTAGTTCTTGACTCCTCATCAATCTCCTCAAGAAAAGGGTAATCTGTATAGCCAACAACGGGATCCTGTGTATAAAAGGTAGACCTGTCATACCTGTTCAATGGTGCGTCAAGCTCAAACCTCCTCGGCAAGTCAGGGTTAGCCAAGAAGAGCCTCCCATAGGCGACGAGATCGGCATAGCCATCAGCCACCACCTTGTTCCCTTCCTCCCGGTCATACCCGCCAGCAGCGATGAAAGTGCCATTGAACTGCTTCCTGAATGGTAGGAGGCCATGGGCGATCTTCCTTCGTCCTTCGATTATGGCCATTCTTGGCTCCACCATGTGGCAGTAGAGAAACCCTGGGTGCTTGTTGAGTTGCTGCACCATGTATGAGCCGAGAGCCACCGGGTCGGAGTCGAAGCAGTCCATGAAGTCGACGAACGGCGATAATCTGATTCCGACACGGTGAGCTCCCACCTCGGCGACGACGGCGTCGATCACCTCGACGGCGAAGCGGCACCGGTTCTCGAGGCTGCCACCGTACTCGTCGGTGCGGTCGTTGGCGCTGTCCTTCATGAACTGCTCCAGGAGGTAGCCGTGCGCGCCATGAATCTCCACGCCGTCGAACCCCGCCTCGATGGCGTTCCGCGCGGCTCGCCTGAAGTCGTCGATGATCTGAGGGATCTCATCCGTCCGGAGCCGCCGGGGCTTGGAGTACACCATGCCTGAATCGTCCGGTGTGATCTGCTTGTCGGTGCTTGAGATCGGCGCCTGTCCATTCGGCTGGAAATCTGTCGATTTCATTTGGAAATTTAATCAATCAAAGAGCACAATGACCTTTGATTCTTCGAATCAATCAGTAACCAAGTAGTAACAACTAGCAAGTAAATAATCTGGCAGATGGACGAACCTGTGGTGGAGACCCTGCCGACGTGCCATATCTGCAGGAAGAAGAGGGCGCCCTTGCGGTGGACGGCGTCGACGATGGGCTTCCACGCCTCGATCTGCTGCTGCGTGTAGATGCCGGGGGTCTCCGGGTAGCCCTGCGCGGTGGGGGAGATGTCGGTGGCCTCCGCGATGAGGAGGCCGCCCCTGGTCGCCCGCTGCGAGTAGTACACCGCCGCGTGCGGCTGCGGCACGTTGCCGTAGGAGCGGCACCGCGTGAGCGGCGCGAGCACCACACGGTGGGAGAGCTCCAGCTGCCCCATCTTGTACGGCGTCAGCAGCGGGATCGCCGCCGCAGCTGCCACTTTCGCCGGTGCGTGCACCATCTTTGGCTTAGGAGTAGCTTTGGTTCTTCTCGATCGAAATTGCTCTGCTTCTCTCTCTGTTTCTTGCTGCTGCTGCTCTGCTCTGCTCTGTTCTTTGTTGCTCTACTTCCATTTTTGTTGGTGCCTGCCTCTACTTATAGGTGTTGGTGGTCGCCGAGACGCCAAGTGTTCCCAACTGCTGTTGTCACCCTCTCCGTCATCACAACTTGTCGTTAGAAAAAAGGTTTCCATTTGTTCCCGTGGGAACAGATTCATTGCATGTGGCCGTTTTTTAGTTCGCGTACTCCTGTGGTTCTGATCAAGACATCGAGGTAGCAGGAGTTTGGTGCCGAGGACGGTGCCAATCAACGCGATGGTGTGTTTGGTGTGTACGTTTGATTCTGAATTCAAACATGACCCTATTTGTTTATGGTTCCGATTTCCATTGCTTGTTCTAGTGCGTGTGGATTCCCGGAGTGCTTTGAGTAAATAAACAACTTGTTTGTAGTTACTCTGTATACTACTACTAGTATTTTACGTTTCAATACTGACGCGGTTGACAATGCCAGGTATTTATAAAATTTAAAACAACCAAGTTGAGATAAGTAGGAGTATGATTTTAAAGGAACACTCTATATCTTTCGAATTGCATGTTACTGTAGTATTTTGTGGTTAAATTTATCATGTGCCCGCCAAGGATAAAGTGAAATGTTTAGCTCTTAAAACATAAAGTTCGAAATACGTAGGATTCTCAAACACTACAAACAGACCAAACATAAACAGAATAAGGCGAATTCTGGTAAGTCAACAAAAGGGGATTGTTGCATCGAAAGAAAGCGACGCGAACGTTGGGCCGCACGCGTGCTTACGTCCTGCGACGTCATTGCAAACGACAGCACGTTAGAAATCAGTGGCTACGCGTTTGATACTAGGCCCTATTTAAATTTCAACTTTTTTTTTCTTCAAACTTTCAACTTTTCCGTCACATCGAACTTTCCTACACGTACAAATGTCAAATTTTTTTGTTATATCGTTCCAATTTCTTCAAACTTCTAATTTTAGCGTGGAACTAAACACAGCCTAGACACCTTGATACTAAGATTAAAAATATAATTAAAAAAACTTAAATTCTAAGCATGAATCTAGATATCCCTAGTATTTTTATTTCTTTGAGACGGAGGAAGTAATAACTTTTAGAGGAAGGCTGCCGATGGATGCAGTGCGGTCTAAAACGCACGAAGGCTAGCCGGCAGGGGGCGATGGTGCAGTGGACCCACATGTCGGCAGAGGTTGGACTGTGGTGGAGCATCGGGGCGAGTGGCGGGTGAAAACCCAACCCGGCCTCAGCTGGGCCGGCAATGATGACGCTCAAAGCGTCATTCCCCTCCTAAGGGCATTGCCGTGCCGTCTCATCCCTCATGTGTGGATGCCGGGCAAAAGCAAAGTCTTAGTTCTCTTTGGGACCTTGACGGACGGCGGCGGCAGTGTTTTCCGTTGCTTCTCTCCTTAGAGATGTCGTTTAGGTATCCCCTAGCCAAAACCCCAAACCAATTGGTGCAAGCTCCCTCTAGATTTCATCCTCTTGTAGCGGCATCCTAGTCTCTACAAGTTGGCCACGTTGGAGGGCCTAGGGGGGAGAGGTGTTCTATTATTCTCTCTCACCCTCTCTCCCTTACTCCTAAAGACTTGGATAGATAAGGGCTTTGTGTTGATTGTAAGGGTTGGGTTTTGGGTGATCTCGGCCGTGTTTCTTTGTTGACCTAGCGGTAGCCGGTCACGCTTAGCGACGACCGGTCCAATGCTAGCCTTCTCCTTGTTCTATGTGTTGGCACTGTCGATGTATGGGTGTGATGGTATACTTTTTTTTTCTTTTTCCTGGTTACGACCTTCTAGGTTTGTAATCTTATAATTTTTCTTCTGCTCTATCAATATAACTTCGCACCGTCTTATGTGAGTCGTTCCAGAAAAAAAAAACTTTTAGGGCCCCTTTGAAACGCATAGGAAAAACACAGGAATAGAAAAAACGTAGGAATTGAAGTGGCATGTTTTCCTAATCCTACAGGAATGGAAAACACAGGATGAAGAGGGTCCCTTTGATAGCACCATAGGAAACAAACAAAGCAAAAGATAGTTTCCAAGAGGTTGAATCTCTTGCTTATTTTCCTATGAAATTGAGCTATAGGAATGCAATCCTAAGAAAAATTTCATATACTTTCCTATGAATCAAAGGGTTTGATAGGAAAAAATCCTTAGGAAATTAAATCCTCCAAAATTCCTATGCAAATCCTCCAATTCAAAGGGGCCCTTAGAGGAAAATCGAATACCTGTACATAGCTACCAGGTACATCATTGACAGCAATTGACGACAATTGTCATCAATCCCAGGCTAGCAATAATCTTCAGTTCTTGCAGCCTGCTAGATCATGCAGCTGCTCTGACCAGGCTGCTTATGGCGCACCGCCGCGTTCACCTTGATCCGGTGCATCTCCACATGATCCCACCTCTGCAACGAGGCGTACATGTTGGACAGGCCATAGGCAGCGCCGTCGTCCAGGTCCAGCTCCGATATCCGGTCCGCCACCCACTCGCCCACCCTGACGCCGTCCTCCTCCGACGCCGACGACAAGCGGCGGGCGTGAAGCAGGAGACACCCGAGAATCTTGGCGTTCGGCCTGACGGGCATCGCCCGCACGACGCGCACGGCGTCGCCGAGGAGTCCGGCGCGGCAGAGGAGGTCGACCATGCAGCCGTAGTGCTCCTCCCGGGGCTCGACGCCATGGACCGGCACCATCTCGGCGAAGAACCTCCGGCCCTCCGCTACCAGGCCGGAGTGGCTGCACGCCGACAGGAGCGCCACGAACGTCACCCCGTCGGGCCGGATGATCCCGCGGCACGTTCGACTCCTCCCGACCATGTCGTGGAACGCCCTGACGGCGTCCTCGCCGCGGCCGTTCATGCCTAGCCCCGCGATCACCGTGTTCCAGCAGAAGAGGTTGGGGCCGTCGGGCATGGTGGCGAAGACGTCGAGCGCGCGGTCCACGCTCCCGCACTTGAAGTACATGTCGATGAGGGCGTTGCTTAGCACGGCGTCGATCCTTGTCCCGAGCTGACGGATGTAGTGATGGACTCGCCGGCCAAAGGCAAAGTCCCCTGCCTGCGTGCACGCGGTCACCACGGTGGCTATGGTGACCGTGGTGGGCATCATGAGCGTCTGTTGCTGCACTGTCTGTCGCATCAACCGGCGGAACATGGCGATGGCGGTAGCGGGGTCACCTCGGCGCAAATACCCGGCCATCATCGTGTTCCATGTGACAACGTCCGGCGACGGGGAAGAGGAGAAAGAGCAGCCCATACAATCGAAAAGCTCCTGCGCAGCGTCCATTCTCCCGGCCTTGCAGTACCCATCGATCATCGTGTTCCACGACACGACATTGCTCGCCGTCGCCCCGAGGCTCGCCTCGAACACCTCCCTGGCGGAGCCGAGGTCGCCGGCCTTGCAGTAACACGTAACCATGGTGTTCCACGAGGCGGGGGTCCTGTCCGGCATCCGCTCGAACAGCTCCCGTGCGTCGGCCATCCTCCGGGACGCGACGAGCGCGGCCAGCATGGCGTTGAACGCGACCGCATCCCTGCGAGGCATTTCGTCGAACAGCCTCCGGGCGGGATCCAGGAGGCCGCGCCTGGCGTAGCGGGTGAGCAGTGCGGTGGCCAGCACCGCATCGCCGGCGAGGCCCAGCTTGCAGGCGAGGCAGTGGAGGGCCTGCTCCTCGCGGCGGCCGGGGGCATCCGCCACCGCGCGGATGAGGGCCGCGCGGGCGTTCGGGAGCACCCGAAGCTGCATCAGATCAGATAGGCGGCGCCTGTGAACAACTCGTTGCTCCTCCGAACGGCTGCTCCTCGGCGCCCCGAGCGCTGATGGTGGTGGCCTTCCTCCCAACGTGGTCTCCGTCCATGGGGGTGGGTGCTCGTGTGGCCGTGCCTCACCGGCTCACCCGTAGAGCTCGGCTTTAGCAGCAGACAATGCCGCGGGGTGGGCTCGTCGGGGTGGAGCTCCACCGCCGGCCGCCGGGTGCCCGGGTGTAGGGAGAGGAATGAGATCCCCTCCTCAGGTCAGGTGACTTTACAGCATATGGTTCATGTAAAGATGGCTACTATACGTCAGTGACTCAAAGTTATCATGTGACTTAATATACTTTAATTTTGTGCTGTCGGTATAATTCACGTATCAGTGCGACAGCTACAAATTACATAAAGTTACTGCACAAAGTTAAGGGACTTGTTTCTGAGAAGGGGATATAAGAAGATTTTTCTTTTGGGCACATAGAAGATTTGGAGGTGAAGAAAGTGGAAATGGGAAGGGTTAATTGGACCATACCATTATAAATAAATTTGCTCTTTTTTAAAATATCATTAGTCCCTTCGTTTCAGGTTATAAGACTTTCTAGCATTACCCATATTCATATAGATGTTAGTAAATCTAGGCATACATATATATCTAGATTTATTAACATATATATGAATGTGGCAATGCTAGAAAGTCTTGTAATATGAAACGGAGGAAGTACTGTTTATCTAACCGATATCATATCATCATCTACATCGGCATCCACATCCACCAAATAGCTATACCAATATCCTTGGACGGATTCAAAGTGAAGCGGATTACATAATATCATATCCGTTTTCATCTCTGAAGCGATTGGTTGAAACGATACAGGTAGTAAATTTTATTTTTACTTTTAAATATAAGTAACATAATTGTATTAATCCAATACAACACGCAATGTCATACAACAATTTGTTATTCCCCATCGTTTCAAAAGAAAACCAACCCTTTTGGCCTCTCACCAAAAGCAAAACCAAGTTATTCCCTTCATCTCACAATATTACTACCTAATATATAATTGGATATTTTCTAGTACAATGATATATTAGGTGGCAAAATTTTAAAACAGAACAGTATACTACTTATAACTGTCGTAGTGGTCGCCGTTGCCATCGCGACCGAACGCGATTTGAATCAGTTGGAGAGCAGGAGGCGGCGCACGTCCCCGTTCGGGGGTTTGGCCAGCTGGCGGCAGCAACAGATGGGGTAATATTGTCCCGGCTTGCAGTACGTGGTATACGGGTACACGTAGCCCCTCTTCTGGCAGTACTCCGGGCATGTCACCGAATCACATGGCACGATCGCATGGCACCAATCATCTGTGCACAAATATTCGATTAAGGGTCAGAACGTTTGGTTGAAAAAACCGATAATAAATATACAAAGAAAAAAAATTCGATAAATTTTGATAGGAATACAAACACAAAACACAGTAAGATTTAAACAGAAATATAAGTACAAGATAAAAAAAATACATAAATAATCTTTTGAATATAATAGACCACCAGAAAGACGAGGGAATCAGAAAAAAGAAACAGAATCAAAGATATGTCCCAACAAGTTGAAGTTCTTGCTAATTTTCCACTAAAATTCTTATAGAATTATCTATTTTATAGGAATTTTAAAGAAGTAGATAGATTCAATCCTTTTCAAAGGTCTTTCTAAGAATTTTTTATACAATTGAAATCATCCAAGTTTCCTTTTTTTTTTTGACAATCAAAGGGAGGCTCAATGTATGAATTAAATTTTGGAAGATATTGTGTGTCAGAATCATTTATATAGCATGAAACACCATATTTTGTTATACTTTTCAGATGACACCAAAAATATATGGCTCATATAACACAAAACACCGGGTTAAAAAAATATTTCACAATTATTTGCCAATGCAATTCTTCACATGATAAATAACAGTATTTATATGTATACTGTGTCCAAAGTTCTTCAAATTTGACTGTCTATATATAAAAAATAACATCTATTTATGAACGGATGGAGAATTGAGTTATACGTATTGATACTTTTGTAAATTAAGATGGCAGAAACTCTTTTATAATTACCTTGTGCAGCACATGAATAGACCATGGCCATGAGTAAAAGAGACGCCAAAAACATGACCCTGTTAGTGTCCTTGATGTTGAGAAACGCCATGATAGACAGATATGGCCAGGATATTGGAAATTCAAAAAGGCTGGCTGAATCTCTCTTGTGTTCTAAGCTTTTCACTTGCTCTTCTATTGCAATTTGGAATTGCTGCTACATTGCTCAGCAGAGCAGTTTATATAGAGAGGAAAAGGCCATCAACAATAGAATTAAATTCGATCTATCCTAATCTTTGCTTTTATTGACCTCTTAAACCTATATTTGAATGGCATTAATTTGTTGCTAATTAACAAATCAATATTTTGGCTTCTTGGGCCGACCATTGCATTCCTAGGCCTGCAAGCTTGTAATGGGCCTACACAAAGAGGACCTGGAACCATCTGTTGGAATAAGTTCACTCAGTGACCCTCAAAAGTGATCGAAATCTAATCCGTGACCCTAAACTACAAAACGGGATATCTCGACCCCCAAACTCTTAAAACCGGTGCAATTTGACTCCCTTGGTGGTTTTGGAGGGCGGTTTTGCTGACGTGGCGCTTACGTGGCGGTATTGACCGGGTCTCCTTTACACGTGGCGTTTAGATGGCGTTTAGGTGGCATTTAGAATTAAAAATATCTGTGGGACCCATTTATCATTGACATGCAAAAGAATTGCACCGGTTTTAAGAGTTTGGGGGTCGAGATATCTGGTTTTGTAGTTTAGGGTCATGGATTATATTTCGATCACTTTTGAGTTTTGAGGGTCACTAAGTGAACTTATTCCCCATCTGTTTGACAAGTTAGGTAATGTTTGGTTTGAGGGATATCCTAAATAGAAGATGGCAATTCAGTACATACTTTCCTCTTTTTTTAATATAGCGCAGTAGGAGCCTCTCCTGCTGTTTAATCGTCAAAAAAAAAATAGAAGATGGCAATTCAGTTTTTTTAGTGTGTTTGGTTGGTGAGTGACGCCATGATGGCCTACAAAGGGAATATCCCATAAAGATGTTGGATGAGCGTATTCGGCCAAATTGGTCGGACGAGGATATCCACCTTGTTAATCTTAATCTTGATCATTAGTAATTGATTAGCAATAATTAATGCATTGTATTGTTAATTAGTAATTAACTTTGTCGAAATTAGGGTTAATTAGACCGAATTAGTCTATTTTGTTTTTAATTAGTATAGATTATGACTATATTAGTGATAATTATTATATTTTTAGTATTAATTAATATATCATTGTTTTCCTTCTACTCCTTCTCATTCATCCCTTTCCTTGTCCTTCATTCAACCAAGCAAGAAATTGAATAACCATATCTCACTCAACCAAAAAACAAAACAGAACCACCGTATCATTACTTTGCCATGCACCAAACGCACATTAAGTGCTAATTTGGAACAAACAATATTTGAAGGATTTGATTCCCATGGAAATTTTTCGGTAATCATGAAATATTATCTTTCCCATTTCCTTGCAAAAAGAATATATATGATCACTATAATCGAGCACAGTACAGATCTGACATCACATTACAGTTTTTTTATTATTTCGTGCTGTTTCAGAAAAAGAAACTATAGTCGAGTATATTGTTGTAACAGATCTATCGCGCCGCGCCGTTGTCTCTTCATCGTCGGACACGTACGATGAAATAATCTTGAGAATCATTTGGAGAGCAGGAGGCGGCGCACGTCCCCGTTGCTCTGCTTGTGGCAGCAACAGCTGGACACAGACTCACCTGGCTTGCAGTACGCCCGCGCGTTCTTCCCGCATAGCTGCGGGCACGTTATGTTGTTGCATGGCTCAGTCGGCTCACAGTAGTCCTCTGCATGAACTGATACACATATTCAATTAAAACTTGTTGAAACCAATATGTATGTTTAAAAAGCTTTTTGCTCCAAGATTTATATGTTCTTTTCCTACTGAAAACAAGTGTACAAAGCCCAACCAATTGATGAGTGAGTGTTATTACCATCATTAGAAAGTATTAAGTTACTGTCCATATGCATATCTTTATCATTACTTTCCTACTATACAGATATATAAACTGCTAACAATGGTTAAAACTGTTTTTCTTAAAATATGTTAATGTAATTGATTTTCACGACAAACCATAATACTATCGAATATGTATTTGTACACAATGGTTTAGAGCTTGACCCGATTTTTTTATATATAATAATTAATAACCCCGTAATTAAATATCTGGTAATTGCGTGCAAGTAATTAGCAAAGTAGGATGGACGTTGTTTTTGTTAGCGTCCAGATGTGGACGCTATTCTCTAGAGCGTGTAGGTCTGAACGCTATTCTCTAGATCGTGCAGGTCTGAACGTTATTGTGAACAGCGTCCACCATACGGGTGCAGTCGAACCGTGCCAAACCGGCCCAAACATATCCACCTAAAACCAATCGGCGCCGAAATAACTGCCGTTCTCTAGCGACCGCATCCTGGCCTCCTCGGCAATCCCTCATCGCCACCGGCGGGCAGCAAAGGCGGCGCAGTATTCGTCACCAATCGCACGCGACTAGCTGACAACACGCCTTGCCACGAAGGACTCCATCAGCATCGCCTTTGCTTGTGCGGCTGACCAGCTGTGCCGCCGGCAGCTAGCACACACTAGAGATTCATCACGCGAGTACGTATTCAATTTCATCTCCATTGATCATATTGTTGAACATATATTTGCATTAAATTTCTTCCAATCACAAGTTTTCCCTCGTACGTGCTTGACTTTTCGCAGCCTACGGAGATCGGCCTCTCCATGTGGATGAGGTAGTGGAATCATTTGTTTTCTTTCAAATTGTCTCATTACCCTATTGGGATAATGGAACTCCACTACCCAGCCTTCATCTTTGCAATTGAAAGAAATCCAATATTTTCTAGAGCTGATTGGTAAAGTGGGTGGTAAGGAATTCCATGGTGATGATGCCATATATTCATGGAACCACTAGGCTGTATGCATGAAAACATAGAACAATTACTTAAGGAGATTAACATGAATAGATGAGAAAAAAAACAGATTTCAACAGGTACGGCAAACTGAAAAAATACCCAGATTTTCTTCAATGGTAGATATTTAGTGCTGGCCATGAGGCACCATAGTAAATCATGAACTGATCACGCTATCAGCATTTTTTTATAAGCTGTAATCAATGTGAATTGCTGAGAATTTATATTACCAATGCAAAGATATGGTGAATGTAAAAATGTAATGAGCAATTCAGTATTTTGGAAACAACTCCCATGACAAATCTAATATAACTAATTATGTATTTCTTTAATCCACATTATCACAACAATCAAGCATACTAACAAGATGGACATATATAGGATGGTATAATCACACATGTATTACGGAAAGAACTGACTATGCATGCAAACAAACGGCACTTACACTACACGTGGAGGCGTACGGCGGAGGAGACCACCTGGGAACGGGATGTGTGGGCAAGTGGCAGTGCCGGCGAACCACCACAAGCGTCTGAGGCAGGCGGCGTTGGTGGACGGGCGGGCGTCGCCCTCGCGCGTGGAGGAGAGCAGCGGCAGCGGAGCTGCCGAGAACGAGGGCTGCGACGGCCGGCACCTTCGTGCGATTGGACGCGCAGCGGTGGCGGATGGATGGGCGACGTTGTTCCGCGCATGGAGGACTTTCCAGGCAGTGGCGTCGCCAAGAACGGTTCCTCTTCCCGTTTTTCTTTTTTTTTTCCCTTTTTCATTTTGCTTATGTTCGTACTGGGACCGCCGGACCGACCTAGGCGACCGGTCATATGCTGGACGTAGTTAGCCAGAGCGTCCAGCTCTGGACGATTTTACAAACAGCGTCCACATCTGGACGCTTTATTCTTCAGCGTCCATCCTATTATTAAAAATCCCAACTTTGATTTACCAGATATTTAATTATGGGGTTATTAATTATTATATTAAAAAATTCGGGAGCTTGACTACATGCATTCTACAATAACATCTATTCTCAGAAAGAAAGAGTAGCCCTTGTGTATATGCTTTTATAAAGATGATAATAAAATGCTTATAATTACCTTGTGCACAACACAAATAAATCATAGCCACGACTACAAAAATGGCCAACAACATAGCCCTTTTTACACCCTTGACACTTAGAAACTCCATGATCGAGATATGTGGCTAGGGATATTGGAAATTAAAAAGGCTAGCAAGCTATAGCTATTCCTTAACTGATTCTACTCTCTTTGCTCTTATACTGCGATGGAACTGTTGTTGCAGTGGTAAACAGTGTAGCTTATATATAGAGAGAGAGAGGGGAAGCGGCCGTCAGTAATCAAACCAAATCAAATCTATGAGATCTCTTCAAAAATACAATCCATGCAAATCTTGCTTTTTATTGACCTCTCAAAAAAAATCTCACATTTGAATGCCATTAATTTGATACTAATAAAAAAAGATTCTAGTCTCTTGGGCCAATTCCAAAATAAAACAATTTCTACCTATGAATCTGAAAAAGCTGTTCAAATTCATACGTAAAAATAGTTTCATTTTGTTCATATTCGTATTTAGAAATAACTTTATTTAGGATCCATTTGCGTTTACTTGGCACTTTTAACCAAAATTTAAATAAAATATTGCCAAATTCATTAAAAATAATTAAAATTTGAAAATTTCGGCCAAAATAATATCATTTCGGGGAGTCTGATAGAACGAAAATTTCCTGCGTGCAACTGACTTCTTACTTTTCAGTGTTTATGGGGTTTTGCTGCCCAGTGGGCATGGTAGAGGCGTAGAGCTAGACTGCTAGAGCATAGAGCATAGAGTTAATCTCCAATTGTGGCTAGAGAAGGAGTATTTTGATATGTGGATCATAGCTAAAGAAAGTGCGTTGAAGGATACCCGTGACAGTGAGACAAAGCGACTGCATATATACAAAAATCAACACACGCCACGAACATGCGCAGTACAATTAATCCCTCGATCGTTTATTTCAACCGAATGACCCATACAAATACACCACACGCAACGCAACACAATTAGACATATAGTATATATTGCAATTAATAACTTACAATATTATCAAAGCACAATGATGTTCTGATATCGAACCAGAACTCCCAGAAGGTGGCATGCAGAAGAAGAAGAAGATCGACGTAGGCTAGCAGCCGCACCATGGCCGGCGGCGACCAACCCAACATCTCGGTGGCGGCGGCCGGCGGCCGGCGGCGGAGAGGGGTGGGCGGGGGCCGGGTCAGTCGTCGCGGCAGGCGGAGCTCTTGGGCTTGACGATGAACTTCATCTGGCCCATGGTGCAGTGGATGCCGCCGCGCTCGCCGCAGACGAAGTAGTGGGGCTTGCGCTTCCGGAGGACGAACTCGTAGCCCGACCCGGCGCCCTGCATCACGTTGGCCACCAGCTTCGCCGCCTTGAGGTTGCACGACTGGTAGTCCGCCGCGTTCCGCATCATGTACACGCTGTGCGCGTGCGTCGTCGCGTTCGGCGGGTCGTACATGAACACTGCCAGTGCCACCCCCCATACCATTGTTCATATATATATACTTATTAATTTCACCAACATTTTTTTTTAAAAAAAATATTAGACTCAATCAAGGTTCACCGTGTTACTCCATCCCTCCGTTCCAAAATATTAGCATTTATAAGTTGTTTAGCAATAGAAAATAGCCAAATATACTAAGGTTAAGGGAGAAAAAAGTTCTTTTCAGTCATCTCTGGTTAAATTCGGAATTCCTTATATTTTTCCCCATATATCTGATTGGTTAAAATTTGTATGGATTTTTATGTATTCGGATCAGTGTTATAGAAATGGTCATAATACGGTGTAAATTTTAAATCCTAGAAATACTTATATTTTAAAACAGAGCGAGTAAATATCATTGTATAATAATAATTCAAACATGTAAAAGCATTATTTACGGCATACATACTAGTTGTGATGGAGTGTGAGATGCAGGGGCGGAGCTAGTATATATTAGGGGAGTGCCCAGGAACCCGGTTAAGAAAATTTTTTAGCTATACCTCATCTATTTTTATCATGTATGCACCCCCTCAATACAAACTTAGGCACCCACATAAGCTTAAACTCGATCTAAAGTAGAGTAAATTAAGCAACTAGCACCACCCTTCATTTCGCTCTAGCTCCGTCCCTGGTGAGATGTTACGTACCAAGGCTGTCGTTTTGGAAGAAGGGGCCCTTCTTGATGACCCAGTCGGTGTAGTTGTAACCCCACGTCCACCGCGCCGCGTCGCCGACAACGAACCGCTCGGCGCGCGCCGCCGCCGGCACCAGCACCAGCATCGCCAACACCGCTGCCACCACCAGCGTTGCACTGCTAATCCTCCCCTCCATCGATCCCAACGAAATCCTCACTCTAATTAACCAACAAATTCTCTTCAGTCTCCGGCAAAGCTAGCTTAGCTAATTAATTAACTGGATGAATGGATGGAGATGCTTGTGATGAGCAATGACATGGCGATCGAGATCGAGCATGCTGGTATAAATAGGATAGCCAAGCTGCAGGTAGCTTTGGGGACGTAATGATGTCGCAAAGTTGACCCACACCCAGTTTAAACCTGGGCGAAACATCGGGAAATTTAAATTAAAGAAAATTCGTGTGAAACTGATGTGCCATGCCGTGGATTCTGCATCACACGATTTGGTTGGGACGTAATTTTCAGGTAAAGCAGCACTCGATATGGAGCTCGCGTTCTGGATTGGTCATCGATCAAGTGCCCCATTAGCGAGCGTGCTTAGTGGCCTCGTAAAAATTTGGAGACACGGGGGTTGGTGAGCAAACTGACCATTTCACTGGTCTAATCTCTAGTTGCTTCCATTTTGCAGTGGTGTTCAGCCATTAGCTAGGAGCTTAGCTAGCCATGATTTTTTTTTTATTCCCCTCTCGAGTTCCTTTCGTTGATTAGCCAATAGCCACCATGTCAGCATGATTACTGTAGAGGATTAGGGCGGTGATAGGAGATGATTAATTAAGCAGGCGTGTGTGATTAAACGACAGTGTATGTATATACGCCTGCTTCATGATCACGTCATGCTGATATGGACTACGGGAGTCGACAGGAGTGGATTAGTGGATGTTGCGTCGAGTAAGCATCACTTCGATTATTACACTGGTCGATCGATCGTGAATTACTCCACGGTTCTCCGACCACCGTCAAACGCCGGAGCTGTATTAACCGGCAACCACACGTAATTTAAGGTCAGCTTGTGGTCAAGTCTGGCCTAATTTTGTCGGAAAATCGCTTAGCTTAGAATACTTAAATATGCCTAGCTTCTCCTGTGCATTTAGCTTTGGGATGCAGACACAGATTTCGCCTGTAATGCGTGCACGCCGCTGCAACATAAAATCGACCGAAATTCAACGGAAGATCTTGCTTGCAGATGGCTACTAGTATAACTGTTTGCGCACATGCACAGATGCAGCCGATCCATCGATCCCGGTAGTAGTATATGCGTAACAGCGTGTATGCGTCATCGATACCAAAGGGTAGCAGAGCATCATGAGCAGAGGCCTCTGTATTCGAGTGTTGTGGCATGTGAAGGTTCAGACTTCTACTGTGCTGTATTATACAATGCTACTGTTCATAGGTGCCCACTGAGGCACTGACCAAGTGACCAGTAGTCCAGTACGTAGCTTGGAAGACAAGATTAAAAGATGAGCGGCTTAATGATCACGAACTCATGGTGTACATTAATTCGACCGGCCGGCCATTGCGAAAGCTGTGGCAGAGAGTATACGCAAACCACAAGGCTGGGGCTGGGCATTTTCTTTGCTTGAGTGGATCATGTCCTTATGGAGGATGATTGGGATGCAATGAGTGTTTGGGCAGTTGGATTTAACAAATTGAGTGTATATGACTTAAACAGAGTTAAGTCAAATTGATGTCCTAATAATCGAATGTACCTCCACACCAATACTACCATGAATGAAATTTTATAGAAATTTGAACTAAATATGTGAAACAAGCTCATGTCTTCCAAAGGAAGACTACAAAGCGGAAGTTGCCGAAATAGAACAGACACGTGAACTTTCCACCGGAACAGCTATTCTCTTACCGGCGCGTGACGCTCACGCCACCAAGGCACTCACGGGGGAAGGCTAAAACAAAACCAAACAAAAAAAGAAAACAAAGAAAACGTCACAAGGACCAGACCTCAAATGCCAATTGTCATAGGGAAACTAGTACAGATTGCCGTTTCGAAACAAGCGGACGTGGCAGACAAAAGGCAAGGCACCCAAAGAATATCAGAAAAGCAGGTGAGAAAAGCCACGCACAAAAGGTGTCAATTGTCAGGTTGAGCACACAACAGTCCAAGACGAAAGGAAATGTCCATTGGCATGCCTTGCAGCAAAGTCTGAAAAGTGGAAACCGTGCTGTTCAGTTCAATGTCTCGGCTTTAACAGCGTTGATACGCACAATTACTTTTGTAGTAATGCAAAAGAAAAACAAAGGCTATCCTCTCCCCCACTATTTTTTTTCCTTGTATCTAGATAGGGAGTCAGCGTCTTTTGCGTTAGCTGCGCAGACTCCCTTGTTATACCCTGCAAAAAGAAAGCATATCATTTAATCAGTATATATTAACAAAATTAAAGAGTGTAAATGGTGTCGTATCGTATAATTTGGACCTCTTCACGGTTCCAGTATGTATCCCAGATCAAGCTACCAAAAGTTCTGCCGGGGAAAGGAAACTAGGGATCACTTGCTCTCCTACAGGAGAACGAAACAGCCATTAGTACCTTTGCTTGATAAGTGCTGAAAGCCTGGATAAGAAATTAAGGGGGGAAGAAAGGATAAGGATTGGCATTTGAGAATTACTTCATTGTCTTTGTCTGATTTTCCAGAAGGTTGGAACATCCTTGCAAATGCCTTCCGCTCCTGATTCCTTCTGTCGGCAATCTGTAATCATTTGCATATAGTTGGTAACGACGCGCATTTATCAAGATTCTAGGTTCACAAGAATTACAGACTGACCTTCTTCTTTGCAGCAGCTAGCTCTCGTTTAATTCCTCCTAAGGATTATAAAAGATTATTAAATACGCGGTTGCAACATTACAGAAGTGTTGCCAGTGAATATGAAAAATAAGAGATACCATCACTTGGCTCCAACTCCAATGCATGCTTGAAGCTCTCCACTGCCGCATCAATGTCATTGAGTGCAATGTGTGCCTGCAAATGGCATTTATGCCATATGAGTTGCGCAGAAACCAGATGGTAATAATAATACGATATGAGTAGCACATTGCATTGATTAAAATGTCAATAGTTTCACCTTGAGCTAGGTTTAACAAATACTTTCACCTCACACCAGGGTAAAGCAAATTAAGATTCACTTTGCACCAACCCAAGCACCTCTCATCTACTAGGTTTGCAATCTGACAAGCATCTCACTAGCATCAGCATGCCCATATGGACAACTCACCTATAGCTGGGCCATACTTATCAAGATGTGAACAGAGTCAATTTTCAAGTGGTTGGGCTGGTGCAAAATGAAACATATTTCGCTCCACCTGGTGCGAAGTGAAATATTTGTTCACCCTAGTGCAAATTGAAACTAATAATGAGTGCCAGTGCACAATGCAATTTACTCATAAGATCAATATCTAAAAATAAGCAAATGAACTGATAGTCCCAAACAAATGGTAATAGCAATATGATGGTTTAGTGGTTCGATTAACAAAGCTCACAAGCACGCAGACAAATAAATCATAGTTCAGAGAAAAAAAGCATCAGCAAATAGTGAAACCATTACTGCAGGTCAATACCAACCTGTCCTTGTCGAAAAAATGCCTTAGCATTGCCCTCACTTTCACGCAGTGCAAAATCAGCATCCAACAGAGCACCCTTCAAATCTCCCAACTTCAATTTGCATGCCTGAACAAGATTTGAAGGGCAATGTAGGTGAACAACAGAGCACGAATTTGAAGTTTGTGTACGGAGTGAGTAGCAAGCAGGAACAGAAAGACACTGCTCCTGCAGGGTAGGTAAGGATTTTGCAGCGATGAACACAAAGATTTAAGTTTAGATGAGAATACAATAGTACTCTAAAATCATATTAGAACTAATGATAAAGGAATTAAAAGAAAATTTATTCCTCTGCTTTGCAGTTAGTTGTGTATAGGTATTCAAAGATGAACTCAGGAAAACAACCTAGAGCAAAGCAACGGACAATCAGATCATGAGAAAAAGGTAATTGGATATACACGAGCCATGTACATTCTACCTAACTTGCGCCATGCCCATGCACTATTTATTCTACAAACTCTGTTCCAAAAAATATAAGTATTTCTGAGTGTTTTTTAAATGTATCTGGACATCCTTTCGTCCACGTACACTTTGGGAAACACGCAGAATATTTTAGAACAGAGGGAGTAAATGTTTTGCAAGTTGCTATAATCCCATAACCATGTGCGGAAGCAGTGTGGCAGAGGTAACTCATGATAATATAAAATGACAATAACAGTTTCCTTTAAGACAAAACGTTCATCCACAAATAAGTTACTGGAATAGATAATGCAACTTACAGAGCTATTTGTGAGTATAATCGATTTGGTCTTCCGCAGTGCTGAGCTCTTCTCTGCATAAGTGTTATGTGACGTGTTTATGATCAGTATGCATCATGTGACAGAAACAACAAACATTGAACAGTTGTAGTGAGACAGTATAATTGCCTTCATCTATATCTTCTTTCTCCCAGCAAACGTCCAAGTAACGCAGTGCTTTCCTGTACTTTCTCAGAGCTGCCTTGTAATCCTGTTTCTGTAAAGACCAGAAGTACTAACTTCAGCTTCAGGGAAACAGATAATGAAATATTAAATTGTGCCAAAGTAATTAACTAGAATTGTTCAACTGATACAAGCAGGTATTTCATTAAAACAGCAGTAGTTTGGCTACTAAACCATTCAAAAATCAACAGCAGAAGGCTTAAGAAACATGAATCTGTAAATACTAGAACTATCGAAGCTGGTATCGAACAAGTAAGGACTACCATGCACTAACTTAAGCTAAAACCTAAACATTTAATCATGATTAGGATTTGCTGTCGTCACCTGACTTTGCTGATTTGGTTTTATTTAGTAAATGATGCAATATTAATCTAACAGATAAAAATACTTGAAAATTAGCTTGAAGAGGAAATTACCTTGAAATTATTATTCCCAAAAGCCTTAGCAGACTCAACAGCATCCATCCACCATGAAACCTCCATAGGCTTCTCATCAAGATCATTGGGCCAATCAGGATACGTATCACCATCATTGAAGAAGTTCACAACTCCATCATCAGCACCTTCCGGAAGTTCCCCACAATCGACAATTTCAACATCAGAAGTCGGGCGGTCAGCCTCTCCAACAGGAGCATGCTCAACAGAGCGAACCACCCCCATTCCCTTAATTACTCTACCAAAAACTACATGTTTCCCATCTAAATGAGGTGTCCGAGTTGTAGTGATGAAAAACTGAGATCCATTTGTGTTGGGACCAGAATTAGCCATTGATAGCATTCCTTTCCTCTCATGCTTCAAAACAAAATTCTCATCCTCAAACTTCAACCCATAAATTGACTCCCCTCCTGTTCCATCACCAGCAGTTATATCTCCACCTTGTACCATAAAGCCTTTGATAACGCGATGGAAGCAAGATCCCTACAAGAACAACAATTACCGGACATGGTCTCAGAGATTACGGTGAAGATGTGACAACAGTTTTCAGTGAAGTATATGCAGTTGTATCAGGACAAAGTTTCTCATCATCATTTTTAAATCCCAAGTTAACAGAGAGTGGAACTGTCCTCTTTTGGTGTTAAAAGCAAAAGGAATAAAAAGAGCACAGCAAACTAGAAAAGAAACCATCCACTCAATCATATAGAAAATATTACTGTAGTAGATGCATCCATTAGCTCCATGAACAGAAGTTAAAATGAGGTACAAAATGCCAAGCAGCTATTCAAACAAGAACCATGTCAGCATGTTATGTGCTCCTCCTGTAACCACTAAAACTTGTACTAGACTAAATGTCAAACTAATGAAAATATACAGTAAAAATGGCTAGCAAAGAATCTTGGTACAGTACTGGTGACTGTCTCTGATTCTATTCTAAAAGGCTACGAGGCCTTTCTATGCGTACGGAATATTACTTAACGATACGCATACAAAACCCTCTTCATGTCTACCTAATAACAAAACATCCATGCATGTGGCTGGGCCACCTGTCAATATGTAAAACAATGAGGCCTTGTATGTGCTCCATTAAAAAAGGAGCGCCTATATACAGATTGCACAAGGCTAATCGCTAACCTGCACATGGAATATTTTGAGAGTAAAGTGCCACAGAAATTGGTACCCCATATCCAATTTCTGGACTAGTCTACTGCAAAAGAATTGGGGTTACTCGTGTGCAAAAGAACGTTCATGTGATCAAGTCACAAGCCCTTGTCCCAACATATTGTATAAGTCTAATATGTACTACTGCCTTAGTTTACTTCTAATTGTCACAGTTCATTACACTATGCAAATTTTGACCATTAATAACTTTTTCAGTAATTCTGTTTTAATAGACTTCACACCGTTCGATTTGACAAGCAGTTTGAATGAATATATTTGTGTCCTTAGATTTTTCACCGAGCGTAGGTTAATGATGCTATTTAAATATTTCCTCCTTACAAGTTTATTGGAAAGAAAAATAGAGGTGAAAGTTTGGCAAAAGCCAATGGAGCGAGTACATCACTGTCTACTCTTATACATGGACTTAACCATACTGTAATAGCAGATAACGAATCTGCCAAATTTTAACAGGAAAACTGTGACTGTTCCACAGGCATATGACAAACCACAAAAGTTAGCACAGGTGGTACTTGATAGGCTAATATCTGCAAGGTGCAGATAAAAGGAAGCCAAAATGGAGGGGGCCCGTTTTAACAGTCAGAACATGCTGTACCAGCAGTACCAGTGCATAGAGTTCATTTCATATCAAAGGACAATGATTTGACACCACAGCACAAATATTAGCCGGAAAATAAATCGACAGATTCCAAATGGGCCGCATAAGTAAGAACATATCCATACGACAAAAGAAGACCATACAATGGCAGGATGCAGCTGCCCATAAACACGCTAAATGATCATTAGGAAAGCAAATCGGTGGCACAAAGGCCGGCCGAACCTTTTTAATCTCTAAACTAGAACTGATTTGCAGTAGTGTAAACTAACCCAAATGTTTCAGAATGCATGTTTATGAAATCCGCATCAAAATCCTAACAAAGTAACAATCACCAATCGCCCAAATTAAAAAAGAAAAATAAAACAGTTCTCTGTCTCTGATCAGACGCCTAAAAATTTATTGGGAGCGGTGGGCAGTCAATCGCACCAAGACACAAGACATGTGCTAAACATAACAGAATCGAATCATTCATTGCGCGCAGTACTACCGCCCAAATCCAGAGCCTAAGACGCTCCTCCACCCAACGAAACCAATTCGAGTCCCCACTCCCCAACACCCTAAACCTCCACCACGGCAGAAAGCCCCGAAAGGGACTACCCGGACGCCACAAGCATCTCGGCCTCGGCGATGGCTCCAAATCGGCGGTTCCGTACTCACCTTGTAGTGTAGGTGCTTCCCGGTGACGGCGCCGACGCCCTTCTCCCCGGTGCAGAGCGCGCGGAAGTTCTCCGCCGTCCGCGGCACCACCGACGCGTAGAGCTCTATAACGATCCTCCCCTCAATCTCGCCGCCGATGCTGACGTCCATGAAGCACCTCGGGTTCTTCACCTCCACCTCCGCCGCCGCCGCGGAGGCGACAGCTGCTGACTCCGCGCCCTCGCCGCCGCCCTCCATTGCGATCTCGGGCCTCCTCGGGGTCGGGGCTAGGCTAAACCCTAGAAACTAGTGGAGCTTCACGAGGCGAGGCGGCGCGGTGGTGGTGGTGTCCGTCGGTTACCTCGGGGGCCAAACGGCGAAGGCTGCGTTGTGGGTGGGTGCCATCTGGGGTTTTGTGGGGAAATTGGGTTTATAGGGGAGGGCCGTCGGTGAGAGAGAGTGTAGTATATTGTGGATTTGTGGTTTTACCGACATGTGGGCCTCCTCTTTAGGAGTAGTACTCCCGGTATATGATTCGGAATTCAGAAATAAAATTCAGCAAGATAAGAAAATTAATACTATATAAAAATCTACTCCTATATCCACCGGGCAATGAAACAGACGATATAAAATATTGGAATATGCAAAAGTCTTATACCATTAACCTGAAATGGTAGTGGATTTAACCCTTATGTAACCTACTTAATGTTTACAGAGAGCGTAGACATCGAATGCTTTTTTTTTCTCCATCTTATGAATAAGACATGGAGATAATGTACATGTTTAGATGTAACAAGTGACTAGTTGTCTACTTGTCTTTTATTTTTTTCAGCCAAGCTATCATGACTTGTAAAATGACTTCATCTTCCTTATTTTCGGTCAAACTATCTTAAATTTTAAAATAACATTAAGATAACTTTTCAAGGAAAGAATTAAACCATATAGATACCTATCGGTCTTCATTACGAGGGATGGTGTATCATCTCATATATAACTCTTCGTAGAGATAATTTTAGCTATACGAAGATTTCGAGGTCTCAAAAGAACGTTATCTCACATCATCTTAGAGAGCCTAATTATACATAGGCAACATCTTTTCATGTATTTATATAGTTATCAATATATAATAAATTCAACCTTAAAGATAAATCTTAGTACACACTTGTACACTCCTACGCGCTTCAATAGGTATCATGAGATCCATGCATGTAGAGCTCTTACCGTTTCTCGAAACTACTAATTTTAATGATTATGGACGAATGCATTAGAAAATTCTTTGAGCAGGTACAATAGCAGACTATGAGCCAATTATAAACATATTTTAAAGAGATAAAAGAAGAGAGAAGAGCAGCGGGCTACAGATCTGTAGCCAGCTGCAGCACGGACTCCAAGATACAATATGTGTATGACATGTGGGACCATATATTAATAGTGTATTAAGTAACAATTGTATAAACTGGCTAGTAAATTAGCTATAGATGATTTGGTGCTAATAGTTGTCTATACTATTAAACTTGCTCTTACATAATCATAAACACTATACTAAAGTAATATCATCTAAAAGGAAAAGTTAATTGAAACACTACAAACATAAAAGACTTTCAAATACTCCCATCTCACTCATATATTATTAGTATGAAGAATACAACGATAAAAGGTAGTGGCAATTATGATGGTTTCGCTATCCACCATCAATGTATGTCTATTCTTTTATATGAATTTCTAAAACCTACACCACATCTGTTCTTAAAAAAAATCAACTTCCAAATATGAACATATATATTCATGACCTCTGCCCATATTTCCACGCATTCATGACTCATCACAGTTCACACCGGTCCATGAACCGTCCGTCGTCGTGCTATATGCACAACGGCGCCCCACACTCCTTCCACCATCTTCAACCTACCCACCCCGCCTGGGCCCCACCACCCCCTCGTTCGTTCCATAACCATCTACAGTTAGTACTACTGTTACTACACCCTGCCCTCTGACTGCGGGCCCCACAAACCATCAAACCCCCTCCTGGTCCCCACGCTTCCGCCTCCGGCTATCTCGGTCCTCGGCGCGTGTCAACTGCCACCGCCACTATGCCGGCAACTGTAAACAAGGCGGGGGAGGGGACCGGGGCCGGGCCCACCAACCCCGATCGGACGGCGTGATTCGGCCTTGGGCCCTTGGCCTCACCTTTTTTTCCGCCGCTGCTCGTTTTGCTGGCCCATCCGGTGACGTCCGGTCGCTGTCCGGTCACCTGGCGACGGAGGGCGAGCGGCGCGGGGCCGGCCCTCCGCCGCGCCGTCGCCGGCGATGGCCACGACGCGCGTGACGGCGATCACAGCGGCAGGGACTCCATTGATTGACCACACGCTATTCTGGGGCGTGGTTCAGTTCAGTATGACCGTGAAACAGTCAGTGGAGCGAATCGTGAATGCATGTCTCTCCTGTGACCATGAGCGATTGGCCGGCAAGCACGGCTGCACGGGGCGGATCAGCATGGGAGCAGTGGGGTCTCGAGCCTCTACTACTTGCGTGAAGGCTACTTGAGACCCCACGAAAACCCTACTAATTATTTTTTTTTTGCCATATGCAAATGGTAGGGGACTGTAACTCTATCTAGTTTGCTCAGATCCCACTGCTATTTTTTTTATGGATCCGCCACTGCCGGCAAGTACGTCGGCAAGTACGTGATGAGTCCTGGATAGGGGTGAAAACGGCCAACCAACGTTCATTTCCAACTTTTTACCAACTGATCTATATGGAAATGGTAATCGACTGAAACTAAAATGGAAATGGTAAAAGAATATGAAAATGGACACGAAAATAGTTTTGCTGTTATACCGATAGGGATGTAAGCGGGGCGGGTAAGCGGGCTTTTTTTATCCCGCTTATCCCACTTCTAGTTTATTTTTTCTTCTAAATTTTATACTACCATGCGTAAAATAGACTAGCAAGCATATTTTTATGCGAATAGCGGGACTACCCACTTGCATCTCTATATACCGATCGTTTCCGTATTTACCATATTTTTGTGAAACTTACCGTTTTCTATAATATGGTAATTACCGTATGTTTCCGTATTTACCGTATTCTTGTGAAAATTACCGTTTTCTATAATATGGTAATTACCGTATTTCTAAATATGCCTCTACTTGACCCACAGTTTAGAGATTGATTGACTCTTTAATCAAATCTCTAACTTGAGTGCATGGCTAAAATGGAGTTAATTTATATATATAGTATAAGCTTGAATTTATTTATACATATAACATACTTATGTAAAGTTAAAATAGAGTATATATGTTTTTATAGTTTAATGTTTTCGTATCTGTTACTGGTTTCTAATCTGTACTGACATGTTTCCGTCCGTATTGCTCCGTTTCTGATTTTTCGATATTTCTGATATCATTTTCGTTTTCGATTTTACTGTTTTTGATTTCGTTTTCGAGAAAAATATGGTTATGGAAATGGTGGTGTCTGTTTTGCCGTTGTTTCGGACCGTTTTGATCCCCACTCCCGGATATGCTGCTGCCTACACCATCAATTATTGGGGGTGGTTTGGATTCGGTTCGTCTGGATTGTATGAGATTCAGTCAAATGGGACAGCCGAGCACAATCATGGCGGATGCATATTCAGCTTTTGCAGCCTGGGGGATGCGATGCTGGAGGAGAGTACTCTACCTCTACCAGAGTCGTCGCACAAGGGGAGCGTCCGGATCACTGGATGGATGATGGATTGGATCTACTGGTGTAGTACTACTGTACCAGTGCTTTTTCTCTCCCAGGTGTACAACGTAGTACGAACGGATTATGCTGACGTAGTACGGTTCCGTGCGTAGAAAACGGTGTACGTGTACAGTGCACTGCCCATGTGAGGATCGAGAGGGGGGTGACGAGGGACGAGGAGCAGTTCGGCTGACGCAACCGCCCAACCGCACCGCATCACCGCGGCTGATTAATTTGCCTCGTTCGCCCGGGGCAAATCAACCGTGCGTGCCTGCAGCCCAGCACGTCGCGCGCGCGCGCGCCATCGATCGATCGCTGCTGCCGTGGCCCGTGCTACGGTGCGGGTGCGTCCGTTTCCAGCAGCCCGCGGGGAAGGGGGGACATGGAGATGCGTCGGCACGGGACACCGCCACGGCTGCGCGTACGGGCGTGTCACGGCGTGCGCGCCTCTCCGGTTTTTACGGGGAGGTGAGGTAGGGGGGGGGGGGGGGCGCGATGCGGTCCGAGCACGGGACACCGGTGCCACGGCGTCGCGAGCGTGGCTTGGCTGGCACGAGCTTGGTATGGATTAGTCTAATCAATGTACTCACATGTGATTAGGTTTTTTTGACGGAAGGAATATATCCATGTTCAAAATGTTATAAATTAGCACCGCCTCCCCCTACTTCCCTAACCTCTTCCTTAAGGATCCGCTTTCTCTCTATCAGCACCACCGTCGCCTCATCTTTTCTCTCTATGGATGTGGAGGGATTAGAAATTGAGAAGTTTCTTGAGGGGTGAATAAGATATTTCGCAAATGAGAGAATCCAACGGCTTGAAACGTCTGGAGTAGAAATCGGATGGCTCATAATTTTTTTTGATGACGTGGCAAATTACCATTTCGAGAATGATTAGCTCTTCCACTATTTTAGATATGAAAAAGTACGAATTACCCCTGTTCCCAAACTATTGTGGTCGTCTGAATTACCCCCTGAACCCCAAAACCGAATATTCTTCACCTCCAACTATGCAAACCGGACGAATTACCCCCCTCGACCCAATCTGCAGTGGTTTTAGTCTACGTGGCATACACGTGGCATCCTGTTAACGACCAAATTTGGTAATATCAGTATCGGAGATAAAGATGGGATCGAAGCGGAATCGAAGATGAGGATTGTTGCGGAAACAGAGTAAGGATCGGCTGGAGTCCGGATCGGCTACGACTGGGATCGGCTAAGTCTGAGTTGGACTGGTTAAGTGATACAGCCGATTCCGACAATACGACCTGTGTGCGACATTAGGATCGAGTTGATGTGCTTCAAGATGATTGCCACACATGGATAAAGTCCTGGGAAGGCAATTGTATCTATTAATTAGGATATTTTATGTAAATTCCTTAGAGATAAATATGGGCAAAAGTCTGCCGCAAAGACTTATGGTATCTTAGAGTTTGTTAGAGATAAGAGTCGTGTCCAATATGGACATATCTTGTAATTCTCGGGTATAAATAGACCCCGAGCCCTATGTAATGATTAACACACACGTTCAATACAATTTCGGCGCATCGCCACCCTTTTTGCTTTAGTTTTATTTCGACGAGTTATTGCTTTCGGGTTGAGCTGCATCGGTTTCGATCTTCAACAAGAGGTAAAACTTGTTATGGCGGCTTGTGTTCTCGCGATTAGTGCTTCCATCTTTATGATACTCTAATCTTGTTTATGTAATCCGTCAAGTTATCATATATCTTGCATAATCCTTGACAATATCGTCATCTAACCTACAATCGGCTAACATCTGTTACCAGAAGGCAGCCGATTAGGTTAAATAACGACGTTGGCT